GCGATCTGGAACTACAATAGCTTGAAGTCGAAGCTTATGCAAGGGAATGACTCCTACGCACAGGACTTGAACATCCGAGTGTAGATTTTTTTACGGCTCAATCTGCCTCTGATCTTTATAATAACAAAACGTTTTTTAAACCTTGATGATTTCTGTCGCACTACCTACCGTTTTCGCCAATCTGCAGTTTTTTAGCCTTTCCAAGGTGTTCTGCAAGGCTCTGGTAAAGAAACAAAAAATCATAGTTTGCTTTTGGTATCCAGTGGTACATTCAAAATGCTCGTATGCTCCTCATTACAGCGGTGCCGGATCCAGACTTTGAGATAAGGGAGGGGGCGGGGAGGGGGCGGTAATCCACACCCTGAGATAAGCAAGGGGGGGGTGGTCTCCAAAAATTTCTTTCCACCCGTCGACCCTCAGTTTGGTCTAAAAATAGGGGGGGGGGGCGGGTCCCCCGGGGTCCCTCCCCTGGATCCATCACTGTTACAGGCTTGAGGCAAGGGAACGCAAGACAGTCTATACAACTGGTTTGAATGCCACCGTAAAAAGCGGAAGGGGTATTTTGCAGAACGCGGAACCCAACATGCAGAACGTCGAATGACTGAAGATTAGTGACTAGTGTGGGGGTTTGTTCGAGCAACTCGCTCGCTACACGATGAGGTACCAGAAATCGGATTTTCATCTTGGTCTTTATTCTTCTTTGACTTCTGATAACGATCTTATTCTTCTCACTTCTCTATTCACTGCTAACTCTCCTCTCTAACTACTCAAATAACCGCCGTTTTTTTATAACCAAAGGTGGGCATGTTTGCGTTAGTTGACGGCTGGAATAAAATCAAGGTGAACTCGGTGTGGGTAATGTTTTGGTATTACTGAACCTACATGGTTGCGATCGGCGAGAGGCTACAAACCAATGAAAAACTAAAACGCTGGTTAACAAACCCAAACAGGAACTTCACCGAGACTAATGTAACAAGGTCAGCTCTAACATCACAAACACGACCACCTATGAAGAAATAACATCTGACAATGGCAAGCGACGAATATTACTGAAATGGCGTTCAGTAAACTCGCGAGTTAAGCAAAAATTCAAGTACAAGTAAAAGCAAAAGATCAAAATAGGAAAACACTCACGTCGACAAAATCAAGACTAACCTTGACCCAGTTAATCAAAAAAAAAAAAACGAAACTTAAAGATGAGACAGATCTGTCTTAAAAAAAACTTTCAAAATACTTCACAACACTAGGGTTAGGAAACTGAAAGAATCAAGTTTCAGGTCAGTTTTGATTCACTGCGGTAGTTTCCTAACCCTAATCACTAAACTTAACAGTTATAGTAATGCGGTGTTTATTTATACAAATATATTTTACCGAAATTTTTTTACAGACTTGAACTATTTTACCCTTTACCGTCAACCAATGGCATTTTGAACCAATTTATTCCCAACACTAATTTTCTGCTAATGGGATGTAATCAAGGAGCTTTTTTGTTTTTCGCGCTTGCGTATAAGCCAAAATTTGGACGTCGCCTTTCTTTTATTGCCATTTTTGTTGCCCGCTTTTTGTCTTTTTATTCGCATGAAATTTTGGCTGGCTTTCTTTCCAACAAAGGGACAAATTTAATCCGTAAAGGAAGGTAAATAGCAAAACAGACAGTGGATTTTGTCCCCAAATGTTGCTTGTTTTTCAAGATTGGTCAAAGTTTGCTAAATGAGGTACCAGTGGAAAGATCTATCCTCGCTGATTCTGCTTATTACCATGGAAAGCCTGATGGGTCCAGGAAGAATAATATCAGCTTTAATATGTATGGGTCCATATGCAACCAAAACGACCAAAGCGGACGTCAAAGAGTTAAGATTAATGAGCTAACCAACTTCTCGTGTGCCCTTATTAACTTAATAAAGCTACGTTAACGACAGCCATTTAAACAGAATCAAATTTTCACATTAACAGTAAAAAGACTCAGTTACGTGAAAGTAACAAAGCAATAAGACAAAGAAATGTTATTCAACAATGAACCGGACGAGAGCTCAATTATAGAATGATTGTGAATCTTTTTGTATGTTTAAGAGCTAGATTTAAAAATGAAACAATTTTTTTCAGAGAACCTAGTGAAATTATCTGAAGATTAAAGATACCAATTCAAGCGAAGGGTCGATCGGTCACTTAATTGTTTCTATACGCGCAAGTTTACAGGATAAAATTGATTTTTATCGTATGAACGATAAAAAGAAAAGCAAATTATCTTGAAATTATTGAAATTTTGAAAACAAAATATTTCACCCCTTTGAGACATGATCGAAGAAAAATTATACAGCTTTCAAGTAAAAATCAATTCGGAAAAATGCTCAAGAAAATAATACATTTTCTTCGAAAAATACCTGTATCATTCGAGCAATGGAAGGCACGTCCTCCTTCGTAGCTTCCCTGGTTTGATATTGCAGTTTTCTCTCAGGAAGGACCGAGAGCTGGAAGGTAGAAGTGTCGTCCATGTTTTTTCGCAACTCAGATTTTGATCTAGCAATGATTTTTTTTCCACTCGAAATATCTTAAGCAAGAGACACTTTTGCTTTAGAACTTCCCGACCCCATTCTTGATTGACAGGTTGCACTGACGTAATGGCTTTAAAAAATTTGCATTGGACATGTCGTTAGATTTTGCCTTTTCCAATGTGTTTCAAAACAGTTGTTTCCATAGCAACCTCGTTCCCAGGCCTTCTCCAAATTTACAATGAAAATACGCTCGGAACGAGGTTGTTGTCAGAACTTTGTTACTTCTGTCCAGCGGTTAGTAAATCTCCCTCTATGCATTGCAGGCATTTCAAAAAGTATTGTGTGTCCAGAATGCAACACGAGGACAAAAGTAATTACTATAACAGTGACAATAAACTTGTGCGAGGATTCTGACATTTGGATCTCCATCGGCCTAGACTGGATATTACGCTGTTTATTAGCTCTCTTCATATGTTCACCGAAAGCATAATATTAGTTTTGTAAAGATTGTTACAAAATGAAAATAAACGCCTCCTAACTATAAAACGCCCGTCCGCTTTTTGGACCTCTAAAATTAAATAAAAGCCCCGGACGTCTATTAGATTATTTACGGTATCTGTTAGTAACCAGTTTGGTTTCTATTGGCATGACGTAACGATATGACGTCAGCTATGGATGCCCTTTTACAAACATAAAGACTCGCCTTTTGGCTTCAGAGGCAGCTACGCACACACACTAGTGAGGTGTTCTGTCTAAGCTACGAAACAGATAGTATAGTTTGGTCACATCATGGGGACGTTGTTGAAATCTGTAGTTGCTTCATTATGTGTATTGGTTTTACTGCTATCCCAAGGACACGGTACGTTCTTATACAATCTAAAAGACGGAATCTAATCTATTATCTTTAGAAGTTTTAATGGAAATAATTTTTCTAATAAGTCACAAATAGATTAACTCCAAAATCGGGCAAGGACTGATCGGAAATTCATCATCAGCGCAAATTATTAAAATTGTAAAATGAATCTAATCACTTTTCTCTCAGCTCTGATTTGAAATCGGTTCAGTTTGAGTTCAAATCGCCTAACATGAGAACATGATTATATGCTGGAAAATGGAAAGTCAGTGTTGGTATGGGATCGAAATAGAAAAAAAAAAAGAAAAAAAAAAGAGGATTCAAATTAAAGGAGTGGACCTACTCAGCTACGAGGCTATTACAAATGCTGTAATTTTATCAAGTCGCTCGATTTATAGAGAGTAAGAAGAAGTATTATTATTACTTATCATTTTACTCAGTCTGTTTTTTTTTTTACCGATTGAAGTTTGAGTGCGAATACCATTTGTTCTTCATAATTGCTTCCGATCGAGGCATCAAAAGCAGTTTTGCTTTCTTAAAACCCTCGGGTTGAAAAGTCAATCGAAATTAGCTCACATCGATATGCTTGGCGATATAGGTTTCTTTTCTGTGAAAAGTGCGAGAAAGAATTTTATACCTTCAGCGCGTTAAATTAGAAAATTCATTCCAAAATTTATTATTCACCATGCGAGATTTACCCTATATAGTATTTGGCATGGTGCAATATTACGGAGTACATAACAGTGGAGAATTTGACAATAAGCCGTTAAAATAGTTTATTGTGTGCCTACTTTATGAAGTCGTAGAATGGTTAATTTTCCCTCGCCTTCTTCTCAAGAGGAGAAATGTCAACGTATTTAACAAAAAACTACAAAACTTCTGTTCTTCATAACTTCTTCATGCATTCACCAAACTTATGAAATTTGGTGGCTTTGTTTGGACAGAGTTAACGCAATGTAGAAACAGTTATATTAGATGAAAGCACATTGAAGGATTCAAGAGCCGAGTTTATTGCTTTTTCTAGTTAAAACAAGCTTCTCCGCCCACTGAATGTTGAATAATTTTAATCTGGATCTTAAGCAAAGACAGCTGGTCTGCTGTTTATAATTTGGTTTGCACACGATAGTGTCCATGCAGATATCTTGTTAGCTGCAAGATAGTTTGACTCAAGGTAACTTACATTGAATCGACTTATTGGATAACCTTAACATTTGACTTTCAAAAGAAAAAGAGGGTGCTTTCCAAGCTCGTTTCCAGGGCTCTCTCCTAATTGCGCTCCGGGAAAAGGACGAGAAAATCCTGGGAACTAGATTGATTACTTTCCTCGTTCTTCGGACCTCTTTCTCAGAGTCTCTGTTTTTCCGGTTAAAGCGAAGAGGGTTGTTGCTGAGTGTTACTGAGTGTAAGGGCGCCCATGATTAAAGTATGTTAATTTCACAAGCCTGTGTGGCATTTTTCTATACTACAGCACTTATCTGATTGCCTGGCTATCCTGGCTCACTTTGATATAGAATATCTATTTCGCATGTATTACGCACATTATTAATGCACGGACTAGACCTGACATCAATGGCATGCCATAATATCAGGCACTTTAACACATATGTGCACATCCGATGCCCTTCTCCAGTGTGGTTGCCTGGCTTTATGATTAAAACGGCATTCATTTTTCTTCACTCTCAGGCCAACAGATCTGGCAGCAGATCAACTTAGGCCCAGTGTGTTTTTACGCCAATGGTAGAAGACCCGGGTCGTTCCAGTTTTTAGGCAACGAAGGACGGCTCATGGCCGCCATCAAGCTTGTCTATCGAGAAGGAACCGTGCGTTGTACTTCGAGTACAGCGTTTAACAGTCGCTGGGGTTGTTACCATCATCCATCCTTTCTGAATCACCCACTTAACGTCGTGGTGACGGACCGAAGCAACAACGTGATCTTCCCAGATAAAAAGTACATCAAAAATGCCGCTGGCCTCTGGTACTACCTGCCCTTCACGGATCCTCTGCACTCAGATGAGATTGTCTTCGGTAACTACGCAAATCCAGTCTATCTTACACGAGGAGCTGTAATAAAAATCTGGTATGGAGAAGACCTTCAAAATTGGAATCAGGGAGATAATGGCGGCAGAGTTTGCGTGGATGTTTATGCTCATCTGCAGTGACTCATGATTACTTAAGAAGTTAATCTAGTGAATGTGGAGTCTATGTAACCATGTGAAATGAGAATAAAGGTGTTGAATGCCAAGAGAGACTCTAACTTTTTCTCTTTGCCTCAGTTTTTCTCTGCTTTCAAACTCAAAGATGCCAAAGATCTTCCCCAAAGCCCAGTTTTCCGAAAAGCAGATAAAGCTATCTACTGGATAATGCAATTGGTTTCTCTTATACTTATTCGCTGGATAGTGATTTATCCTATGGATAGTGCTATCCAACGTTTGAACAACAGTGGCCAGGGCGTTTGCAACGAGGTTGGTCCAAGATGGTGACAGAAAATGTTTTATGCTGTTGTGGATGGTGACGCAACGCGTAAGACTTGAACGACAGTGAATTATATCCAAATCACTCTTCGTCCAAATTGTTTTTTTTTTCGTCATGCAGTCTGACTGAGTTTCAAAAAAACGTTAGAATTCCTTGAAGACCTTACAAAAGTCACCCACTTTCTACTTCCCTTCTGCTCTTTCAGTTTTCAATCTTTCTATTTCTCCTCTGAGTTATTACCATTTGTGGGCTATTTCTCTGACCTTGCAATTTCCGTTCTAGTCTTCATATTTCCGGTCTGCTCGCCTCTGTGTTCAGTATTCTTCTCATTTCGTGGGTTGCAATTTGTCGGTCAAAAAAGGCCATTCTCACAATGACCTGAATTGACTACAAACATCAAATCTTTTCCCTTTTCTTATTTAATTTATCAGTCCCAGTGAGTTTGAAGATACAATAATACTGCCTAGTGTACACAAGAAAACAACCAACTGAAGGATTATGCCTGTATTTGTAGTAAACTAACGTCATAAGGTAGAAAATCATACCTTTAGTTTGTATTCCACTCTCCGGAGTGTTCGTTTGGATCCCACGGATTTGCGAATACGTATAGAGTAAGACTATTAAAACCGGATATATTCAATGCGGTTTCACCCACCCCGGATTTTAGTGGACGGGGATTAAGAAAATACCCCCCATTCATAACTAGAATTTTCCAGTTAAGCTTGTTTGCATTTTATTTAATCTATACAGGAAACAAAAGCAAACCAGTGGCCGTGTGGGCGAAAATCAACCACTTTCCAGTCTGTTTCCACGCCCGTGGACAAAAACCTGGAACATTCCATTACCTCGGGGACGGAAGACTAGTCGGAGCAATGAAGCTTGTCTATCAGAGAGGTTTCGTGCGCTGCGCGAGAAAACGCGTACATAACAGTCGATGGGGTTGTTACCATCACGCAGAGTCCTTAAAACATCCCCTCAACGTTCTGGTCACCGATGCCGATAACAACGTGGTATATCCCTCGGAGAAATTTATACAAAACACAGGCATGTGGTATTACCTTCCGTTTACGGATGCTAAGTTCTCCAAGGAACTTGTGTTCACTGATTACGCCAATCCGTTTTACCTTGCTAATCACACACAGATTAGAATTTGGTACGGAGAAGATATGATGCAGTACAAGAATTGTGATAATTTTGGCAGAGTTTGCGTTGAAGTTTGGGCTCATCTTATGTAAACAATATACACTGTAAATTTTCTCTGTTCCGTAGAGGCTTTCCTTGGGTATAGTATGTAAAATAAAAATAGCAACAAAAAATTGTAAGCGTGCAGTGGACGATGGGAAGAGAAAAGATGCCAAAAGCATCGTCACCGCCCGCATAGCCTGGGAGCAAGCTCTCTGGTAGGCTATCCCTTAATCCCCTGCGCGCTTTCTTCTTTTTCTGTCTCCCCAGCCTCCCTACGACACAAGGAGGCTTCCGCGGAGAACTAGAGTTGATAAATTAATATCTCAGATTTGCTCCTTATAAAAATGTCGTGATTTATTTGGCGAATGGTTTTATGAGTTCGGTGATAGGTTAACCTATTCAAACTTATACTATTAAGCAAAAGCTGAAGGGAAACAAACAGCCACTGTTTTACTTGATGGAATTCACGAACGGGCACCGAAAATTCCCAATATTAAAAATTTTGTCTTGTTCCTTTCAAATAATTTTAGTCCCTTTAAAACCGTCATTAAGAAATCGCGTTTTTGCTGGCCATAAACTTGTAAGACATTTTCTTCCGCGCTGAGCTACACGTGAAGTTTAAAAGGTCAGTGAAGCAAAAGGTGGATGATTTTAAACATTTGCATTTTAATTTTGTTTATTACAATGATCAGCAGTTTTTGTTTGTTTGCTTTTTGATAATATCTACATTTTATAAACAACTAAAATCTGTACATGCTTTCTCACGTTATTTACACTTTACTGAACTGCGAATATGTTTCTCGATATCATTTTATGAGTGGTGTACAAAACTCTTAACAAATTAAGAAAGAAGAACTTAAAGAAGAAAATTCAGAAAAACTAGTCGTTGGTCTAGAATTGGGCGAAACATTTCCGATCGATAAACAAAGATTTCCGGCCAAATCAACTAACAACGAACCATTGAGTTATTGAAAGGAAGGCTTCAATGCTCCTTTTTTATTATCTTAAAAGAATACTGATTTGTTGAAGCTGACAAATTTCGATCTGATCGAATTTGTAGCTGAAAATTCAACAAGCCTTTCGGTATAACCAACACACCGGCCAGCGAAAGTTAGTGACCTTTAACAAAGTTAGACGCATCTTCCATCACCTTTAGGGTAGCTGAACATTTCATGTTTCCATAAAAATCTTTGTTTATTCTTTTTCCGCGTCTCTTTGGCCATGGTCAATGCCTTGCTTTGTTGTCTCAACGTTCTCTCTCCACAACATAGGATCGGGGCTTTCTGAGAAATCACTCCAGTGTGGCGTGAACCCTCGTAATGGAGTCAGCAAAACTCTCGGTTGATCAGCATTGGACCTCTCGCACTTGTTTCCTGATTTAGACTCTTTTGATTTCATTGCTTTTGCAGACTTTTTGCCCTTGGAAGAGTCTGCATTGTTCACTTGCTCAGTTTTTGACAATTTATAGCAATGGTGTTTCTTTTCACTCGAACTATCCAAGCTTCTGACTGAATCAATGGTTTTTGGTTTTGTTTTTCTTGACTTTTGAGCGCTAGCAGCATTTGCGGAATGATGCGATAGATACAGCTTTGGCAGCGACAAATATTCACCAAGCTTGGCACCCGTTTGGTTTTCTAAACGCAAACAAGGCACGTCATCTTCTACAACCCTTAGAGCTGGGGGCTTTTCATAAATAACACCTAGATCTTGCTCCACATGAGCGCGTTCCTTCAACTTTAGTTTACATTTAAGGCGTTTGAGTTGCTCCGATTCGCTCTCGCTGTTAGCGTCTCGTAACATCTTTTCATCCAATTGGCGACATTCTGAACAGACATGGCAATCATTCTTCAACGCAGGTAATCTATAACTTACAGTGTTTCTGTTTACTGAAGAAAAACTATTATTCATGGTTTGCTGAAGTACCGGGGGAAGTCGATGGAAGCACCGAGGATTGGGAGGCGTTTTTGAACTGATCCTCAACACCCCAGAAAGAAAACCATTATCCAGATTGTCAGGGAGCGGAAAAGTTCCATCGGGATAAACTATCCGTCCAGGCTTGAGCAGTTTCTGGTTGTTCTGTTGCACTGTCGCGGAGTAATGTTTAATGTCGTCGTTTCTACGTTCATTGCACTCGTGTAGAAGCTCGATAAGACGAGAAATATTTCTATCCATCCTCTTTTCTCTCTCGATATCACCGGCGATTGGCTCAGCGATTGACGGAGTTTTCACAAAATCATTTTCCCACGGTTTGACGTTCACAGTTTTTAACGTTACAGCGTTGTCCGATCTGTCAGTTTTGGAAGTATGTGCACTCTTTCCCAAAGGGTTTCTGATATGGCGTCCGGCGTCTCTTCTGACACCGAAGAAGAAGCGTTAGGAGGTTTGGCGGACTCGAGTCTTGATCCGGAAGTTTCTGTTACAGTCCCACTCCTACAGCTTGGTGTATTCCTCCGAGATTTTCTCTCAGTTTGAGGAGAGCGTTGTTTTTTGTAATCGCGAGAGTTTGTTTTCTTTTTCGAAACGTTGTTATCCGCGGTCCTATTGATCTCATCGCGTTCCAAAGCTCTTTCGAAGGACTTTTTGGCAGAAAGATACAATGAAGGTCGATGTATTTTTGCATTTCTCAGCGCTAACGCAACCCGCGAGTTACCCTGTTTTAACTTGATTCTCTCTTCCACGAATTGCTCAGCAACTGTCCACGGCGTAGATTTCGTTTCGGCGATTGCACCTGGCATTCTAATAATGCGTTCAATTAACCTTTTAGTAAGTTTTCTGGTATATACGCGCGCCTGTTTTGGAGAGTAGTCATTCGTTCCTCATTGTGACAAATATCTGACCCTTTCCTTGGACTGTTTAAAGTTCTTAGCACCTTAGGAAGTCATTCTTTAAGTATTTTCACAACGTTGTTGCCATAAGAAACTAAAGAACTTGTTATGCCGGCAAAATAGGGTATTCTTTAGAAGAATTTAGTACAACAAGAGTCACGTTTTTGGACCTCAAAGAAACCAACCTTAACAATAGTGTACGTGACCAAACAGCCGGCAAAAAGCTATTGATCCAGGTTCTTTTAATAACAGGTATAAGGTGGTTATTAAAGTAAGTGGTCTCTGGGGATATCTTTTAAATAAAAGTATGTATTTCAATGATTTAAGTATTATTACATGACATTAAACGGGAAAAAGTCATGAACATTCTAGAATTTCCTGTCCTTTTAACAAGACTTCGGCAGTAATAAAAAGGGTTTCTGTAAGGGGAGCAAGATTTTGCCCGAAATATATGACCTGTTCGTCTCTTGACAATCAATCAATCATTAGGTATTATTCCTTATTTGAAACCTAAATCACTAAGCCTTTTTGACAACGCGGCAATCAGTTTTGTTACTTCTTTTGAGCACCGGTTCTTTCCATTGCAAACAATCTGAAGCGGGAAAAAGTCACGAACATTCTAGAACTGATTTCCCGTACTTTTGACAAGACTTCAGCGGTAATAAAAATAGTTTCTATAAGGAGAGCAAGATTTTGCCCGAAATATATGACCTGTTCGTCTCTTGACAATCAGTCAATCATTAGGCATTATTCCTTATTTAAAACTTAAATCGCTAAGCCTTTTTTTACTTATCTCGATACGTCGCAATTTTGTCGTTGTACAAGGCGAAAACAACTAAATCCTCAATAATCCTTTAATTACATGATGCAGCCGGTGTGAGTACCGTAAAAATTTCCTGCTAAACAACACAACCATACCTGCTGTAATGGGATCGGGCGCGGTTTCGCGGCTACTTTAACTTCCGATGGTAAAACTTTATGTGACCGAAAATTCTTCTTTCAAAAACAAGTTGACAGTGCGAAAATTTTAAAATATCGGAGGATTGATTTTCGATGTGTTGCTTTCGAACGGAGCGTCCTTGTTTGAGGATCTTGGAGTGAATTTAATTTAATTTCACTTTATCCAAGCTTTATCGTCCGAAAATTTGTGTCTGAAAATTTTCGTGGTTAAAGGGCTTAAAGTGAAAATTCCGAGATTATTCGAAGGTTCTTACCTCTCGTAATCCAATGATAAACGTTTTTTACACTGAAGAACAGTGAACAACAATTTCATAATACCTGCTAAGGATTTCTGGATTGACAGCTTTTGTGAATTTTCCTTCCCCTAAAAAAGAATAAAAGAGTTAGAATTAAATAATCTGAAATTTGCGAGTTTTCATTTATTTTTGTAGACGTACTGAGCGTCGCGTACCGTGGTAGCACTCATTGGACGAGTAGACCTGGAATCAAGTTAATGTTGCCATGACTACAAACTACTAATCGATTACATTACACGCCATTTTGGATTTTGAGATAGTTTCTCGCTTCCTAGTTCGTGAGTGGATTATACGAGCAATTCTTTTTACGTTTTAGCTTTCATAATGGCATCCAAAGGAAACGCCGAGGTTAATTACGTCCATCAAAATGCTATTTTGTGCGAAACAATCAAGAAAGAGCAGAGAAATCACAAGCTATACACAAACTACAGCATAAACCCATTCAAGAAAAGTAAGAAGGAGACAAGTGTTTAGCATGGCATCCTTTTGTTTTCTCAAAAATAAGTGATGATTTTGATAAAATTCAGGTTCTAATAGGTTAATTTTTTTGTATTTCGTAGTGTACACATTAACCAGAAAGCCAAATTCTTTGCACGACTCCGCGGATGGTGAAGAAGATGGTGAGAAACAAGACAGCCTGAATATAGATTCTTGAGCTTCCCATATATATAGCAATCATACTACGGTACACTGCTACTTTACCATGACATTAATATTACTATCCTTGTTTCTACAGATCATTTCTTAGAAGTGATCAAGAAATCCAATGAAACACCTGTTAAAAAATTTCAATTTCCACAAACATCAGCGCAGGAAATAGGATGGAATACAGAGCCTCTGGTGAGTGTTTTTACCGTGGTAGCTAACTTTCTAAATCGGGGGAGTAACTGAAGAATGCCTTGCAAGTCGACTGCATTACTAAAAAACAGTCACTTCATTGTAGGTGAAAACTGTTCTCAGTTGAAATCAGAATTTCCTTTGCCTCCTGAGTATGGCCAGGAGGCAAAAGAACAGCTAAACTTCAAAATACCCAGCCACTTTTTTGCATATCATTGAACAACAAAGTGTCTATTGTGTTATACCTCGTTCTTTAAAGCGTTCCGACAAATATAAATGATGTGGCCAGGTATTAAGTTGCTCCAAAAGAACTTCTGAATCAAACTACAGTGGAACCCCACTCTACAGATACCTGCCTAATACAGACACCCATACAATGGACAGTCTCATTTGCACCAACAGTGAAAAAGCTCATATATTACTTCTAAAAATAACTCGCTTCATACAGACACCCGGATAATCCCACTGGTGTCTGTATTAATCGTGTTACACTGTAAATGGTGAATACTGGTTAAACCTGAGAAGGGATTATACCTACAGTGGTAGTCAATCAACGAAATTGGCAGATTAGCAATCAGTCATAACTCATAACAAAAAAAGTTCAACATAAAATAAACATATAGTCATGTAAGTTCCAATACATTTGGTGGAAACTTTGGATGTGTGGACCAAATCGAAGAAAAAAAGGGGCAGGAGGCGCCAGAAATGCAAGGTATCGGGGATGAGAGGTTTGGAACCCCAGTCCCTCCTCACAGACCTTTACACTGATAAACCTTAAGCAAAAGATATTTAACCCGAAGAGCTTCAAAGAATATCATTTTAGGTCTTACTTGCCAAAAGTGAGTCAATTCTTTTTGACTTGGATGTATCTGTTTAGAAACTTAATTTCTTTTTCCAGATTGACAGATTGTGGAAAGACCGCTTAGAACATCCCATAGTTAATGCTGAAATAACAAAGTTCATGGACAAGAAATGGATGGTTAAAGAACAACAGGATATTAATCAGAGTTGAATTAATGTCATCACATTATATTAAACTATATAATTTCTGGAACAGAAACATTCTTGTTTTTGTTGTAATTTTCCCTGGGCTGGTCCCTGGCTCAGGGACTCATCTTTTTCTTATACAGATGCAAATTCCTTTTTTTGTCACCTGTCACTGTAAATTATTTCTATTTAAGCAGAAATGGACTGAGAGGTTATTGAAATGAGCAAAAGAACAATTTCATCAGTTTCCATTTTTTCTCAGCCACTATTTCTAATCTATTAAATTAAGTCTTGGCATTGCTATTATTTTTTGATGTTGATCAGTTTTCGTACGATTTGCTTTATTAAGAGAGAACCTAAATAGTTGCTGATAATGTATTTTTTAAAGTAATATTGATATTATAGTATTGGCTTATAAGATAATTATGGACTGTACGCATTTTGTTTTAATAGTTATGTACCTTAAGATATCATACCAGCTAATATAATGAGAGCAGATATTTTACTAGCCTGAGAAATTTACAACTGTCTCTTATGTGGTGCAAACATCTTTAGTTCAATGTTAGTGGATCTTAAAAGCTCTTAGTATTTCTGGGTCTTTTACACAAAATTACAGTTTAGCATTAATTCTTGCAGAACTAGCAAGAAAGATATGTGCCTGTACATATATGTAACTTTCATTTTCTCTTCTTTTATAATTTGTAAATATCTGACTTGAATAAACATACATGTACAGTTGATAAATGAGCTAGCACTTTCCTTAGAAGACTGTATAACAGGTTCTTTAGCTGTGCTATATCAAGATTAAAACTCTGACTAGCGACATTGCCCTGAAACAGTATGTGACATAATGGAGATGAGAGGGCATAGGAGGAAAATAATTGTAAAATATCAACAAAAATATGGCTTCTTCCTCAATTTAAATAATGAAACCATGACCTTTGCAATTCACACTAGAGACATACAGTGTATGTACCCTCCAAAGAGAAGGAAAAAATGTGGGGAGTTATGCCTTATCACAGTCTGTGTGACTACTGTGTTCATTTCTTATTCTTATTATCTGTTTTTAATTCTGCTACAGTGTATGTGCTTAACTAAATAATGCCTGTTACACTGGGTTTTTCACTTATTAGGCTGAATTAGCAAAACAGAATGGGAACGTCAGTTGATGACGGCATGCGGAAATCAAACAACTGGCTTGACCAATTGCAAAGAGGTAAATTGGGCACCGGAAGTCGAGTTCAGTCCTTTCCATGCGCTTTCCCGTCGTCAACTGACATTCCCGTTCTGTTGCTATATCAGCCTGATATATAGCTGTCATGACATGGAATCGGAAGAATCTGATTTAAGCAGCAGGTACAAAACACAGGGCACAACTGCAAGTTACAGTACAAGTCACTTTGCTACAGTAAATAACCAACACTCAAAGTGTCTCATAGCCCTAATCACAATCCAAAAAATAGAGATTTACCTTAAGGGGAAACTGCTTATCTCAGTTATTTATAATAAAGCAGTAATCTGCACTTGTGACCAGTGACCTGTGACGTATGTTCAACCCGCCAATGCTTATTTTGAGCAAGTTCAGCATACCATGTGGGTATTTACTCCGAAGTATTGTTACAGTATCTTTCAGTAAAAATTCAAATGGCATTTTTCAATACTTTTTCAGGCATGAAGGGAATTCGAAGGCCAGACATTCAATTAATTCCTGCAAAAAGTGCCAAAGAAATAGACCAAATTATTATTATTATTCATGCTTAGCACCAAAACAAAAGAAATCACCTTAAGTGTCAGGGGTGAACAAAACAATTCTTTTGCTTTTCCACGAGGCCTCGAAACAAGAATGAATTTCAATACTTCTGCAATACTTACTTGATTCAGTAATTACGTGTTGAAGTAGATTAGAGCAAAAGAAACTACCTCATGTATGCCCCCTAAAAAACCTTCGACTTCTTAAAAGAGGCTCGGTGGCTAAGCATAGAGCTGAAATTCAAAATGGTGGGCATATTGAGCAAGATACCTCCGCCGGCTCAATTGCTGAATTCTAAAGCTGCTGGAATAGCAGTCGCCTCTGTAGGTGCAGGCATTCTTTTGCTTTGGAAGAAAAAGCTTGAGGATCTTAGCGCAAAAAGGTATTGACGCTCGTATTACCAGTTTCAACCTGGTTATTCTCAGCTGAGCTAATAATGTTCCAGCTTTCATTCTTTGATCATATTGATGTGCTTGTGAATTGTTCGATCTATCTGTAGATATATAAAAAAGTTGAATTTTCGCATAGCCCTATACGTCAAATGGTTATGCAAGTTTTTTTCCCGTGCAATTAAGTTAAATTGTTCGCTGTTTCTTTACGCATTGTGGTTTACGAGAATAAGTTTGGGCAGGCATCATGAGAATGTTTGGGCTCTGCAGAAATTTATCGAGAGAAAGAACATCTCTTCGATCAACATGATTAAAAGTGAGTTCTCTTTTGCGCACTTGCAGAAAGGATCTTACCGGCGATTTACACATATCCCTAGATGAGGTGAGTGTTAATTATACTTTACGCATGACATTACGTAATTCGTGACGATGCAAATCTTGATGAGGGCCCTGTTGTTCGAAGGCCGATTAACGCTAACCTAGGGTTAAATTTTATTCAGGGTTTCTTTTCCGTTTGTTCAAAAGCATTTTTCCTGGGTAATTTTCTGTCTTTTTTTAGAGCATCCAATCATTTATAAAGCTTTTCTATCTGAAATTAAATTTCCCCCTAACCCAGGGTTAACTTAACTCTGCTTTGAACAACCCGGCCCAGATGTTCATGTACTTGGGCGTGCACAGCTGGACTTGCATATAAAATATTTTTGTTTTTCATTGATAATAATACAGTCAATGTCTATTACTCTTTATGATTGTTTTAAATTTAATGTTATTAATGGTCCTAACACCTAAGGATAACCTGTAGGATACCGGCCCACATATTTTCATGCAGGGTGCAAAGAAAGTCAGATAAGCCTTAAATTACAGCTTGCCCAATGTAGTAGTCCAAGAGTGTTTTTCACAAGCAGGAAATTGATTATTCCCTGGCTACACACCAGAGTCCTAACAACACAAGCAGAGGTCTCTCATGGTAAGAAAAGATAGAGAGTAAAGAAGGAGACCTCTGCCGGTCCCTGATGCATTTCCTATTACGCATGCACTGGTGTTTCTTTAACAACCAGTAATGTTTTAGTCACATGCGAGGGGCGGATCCAGGATTTTTCTTAGGAGGGGGTGCACCCTGACTCGTCCCTAGTCATCTCTCTCTCTGTCTCTCCTTAGTGGCGTGACGGGTGTGATGAGAAGGAGGAAAGCGAGGGAGAGAGTCTTCCTCCCTTTTCCCTTCCCATCACCCCCTGCTCCCGCCGCGCGTGTTACGCGAAGACGACTGGGGATGAGTCAGGGGTGCACCCCTAAGGAACTATCATTTTCATGCCATTTAACATAAATTTTTCAACCTCGTCTCATGTTTTACTTCAACACCAATAAATCACAAAGTATTTTTTTTGGCAGAATACCAGTTGTATTAGAAAGCTGCAGGTCATTTTTTTTTTTTTTGGTGGGGGGAGGGGGTGCTAACCCCCTGCACCCTCCCCCTAGATCTACCCCTGTGTTCAATGCAACTTACAGAACTGGTTTGCATGGAAATTATGACTATGGACTCTGAAATTCCTGGTATAACATCTCAACAGGGCATGCGCATTCAATACTAATTTTTGAAAAAAGACGAACCTGTTTTTGAAAACCTGTCAATCTCGACCACAAATGTGATTGGCAGCTAAATAAAAGAATGTGTCAGAACCTGGTAGAGGTCTCTATCCTTCCTCATTTTTTCTCCCGCTGTGATAGACCTCTGCTGGCAGGAATTTAATTCCAGAAACTTCACTTACCCAGAGATTCCCAAACTCAAACTCATTTTTAAACCAATGCATTACCTTCACACTGAATACCAGAGCGTCTCGTTTTTGTATACTTCATTCAACAGGAGATTGAGAGTCTCATCAGTAAATAGATGGGCGGGTATTCTGAAATCATTCTTGCAGTTTAGTACATGTAGTAAGGACAGTTATTTGTTATGCATGCTCATCTTGAAGAAGGCATTTCTAAAGATTTTATAAATACAGCCCTCAAGCGAAGGTTATGTTTCAATAAAGAAAAAGAATGTGAAACCAATTTGTGGCTTAAACTATATTGAAACTGTATTTGAAAGCACGTTTCTTGAATAAAATAACGTGTTGTGTATGGTTATTGGCAGTTTATTGTTGTATACTCTTTCTTGAAGCCTGCATCGTATCGTTTTTATTAGGAAAGAAAACAGAAAAAAGAGAAGGCTGCAGTGGATGCTGTATTTTTCAGGTAATGATAATTGAACAGCTAAAAATGACAAAATGAGCATAATTTTTGATGAATGGATGACAATGTAAAGTTGTTTGACTTTGGTCTTTAGCTGAAGAATTTCGTATTGGTAATTGAAAATGGTGTTGTTTTAACCTAATTGCTATCTGTTGTACTCTCCAACATCAGAATGAACACCTGAAATTGCAGGAATTTTGATTCTGTGTTGACCAATCACAAGGAAAGTCATGACAGACAAGCAGATCACAACACAACAAACTAATTTCTGTTGCTGCTAATGGTTTAGTTTTCTTATGCCTGATTGGCTTTTTCCTTGAAACATGATAACATTCCAGATTTTTTTTGTGGTGTGCATGGTTTTTTTTAGTTTTACCATAAAACTGTATATTTATTCAGGACAGCATGACAGACAATCTAAAAGTTTTTACCTGTTATTAATTGACCAAAACTGATTAAACATGGTTTTGCTGACCCCCTTTTTTGTCAAGACCTATGAAATACAGGTATATGTTGCAGTTAATTTTTTATCGCAGGTAATTTTTACATTTCTCTTGTTTCAACTTCATTAGCATACATTTCCATATCCAAAAACAGAAGGAAAACAAAAATTACCTGAGATAAAAAATTAACTGTAACATATACATACAATGATGATGTTATTTGCCCCTGAAAGGAATGTTTGTGGAACTACATGTACGTATGCTGTAAATTGGTTTCTGTGATGATACATATCTGTCGGCCTATTTTGAAAGAAAAAATTCGGCAATTATTTTCTACGTTAGTCTGTCTTCTCCTTTACTGAGCAGATATCACTTCTTTGCTTCAAAGTTAAATACAAGTTTACCATTTGTTTGTTCTTCTTTACACATTATTTAGGAAACTGCTAAGAATTTTGAAAATTATTGTCCCTGGATGGCTTTCTCCTGAGGTACACAGTTTATTTAGTATTTCTTCCTTGTGTGTAGATAAAGGTGCACACAAGCCAAAGGCCCATATGGCCAGACCCTATGATGGTTTCCTTAGCATCAAGCATGCCTAGGAGTATTGGTACTCCCCCTACTCCCTTTCTCGATACGGTATTAAATTTGAAAGCTTTTGCCTGTTCCGTTACTAAATTTGGCAAAAACTGGGGTGACATCAAAAAAGCTCAGTGGATCTTGTCAAGGAAAACAAACAAAACTAACAAGCGTGGAGACCCAGCTTGGATAATAGTAGTTTTGTTTCTTTTATTCTAAAATTTAGCGCTTTCACTAAGGGCCATGGGTCCATGACTCCTCACAACTTTTTAAGAAAACAAAAGGAATATACAAATGAGTTTATTTCTCGTGTAATTTCCGTGCAATGTGACCTGGATCTACATGTAAGAAACATGCATGTAATGCTGCAATTCCAAAAAAAATGCCAGGCTTCAATTTCCTGCCTACAAATTGCATGTCCCCAGGCAAATTGAAATCTTATTTAGCGCCCTGATGACTCTTTTCCGTGAAAAATGGCCTTATTTCATAACATCTTTTTTTCCAGACTGGCTATTTGGTACTTGTGGCTCTATCTCTCATAGCAAGAACATATTGTGATGTGTGGATGATACACAATGGTACTGCAATTGAGAGGTGAAATCCAAATGTTTTTGATACATACACACTGGTAGACTCAGGGGTCCTGGGCCCCCCTGTTTTTAGACCAAACTGAGGCCCAAAGGGCCGAAAAAAATTGTTTTTGAGGCCATCCCCCCATCTCAGGTTCTGGATGACCACCCCAAACCTTCCCCCCCCACCTCCCCCGCTTAACTAAAGGTGTGGATCTGCCACTTCATACATGAAGTTTATTGTAGTTATATGTCTTGATAATGTTGTGGTCAAGTCTTAGATTTAAATCAAAGCACAAATATAATAATAATAATATTAATAATGATGATGATGATAATAATAATAATCTTTATTATGCTTTTGTTGATGTGCATAGTTGATATTACAATCTAGTCGATTTACTTACAATAGAAAATTAATTAATAATAATAGAATTAATGTGCAAGCTAGGAAGCTAAATGAACCAGTTGGTTTTCTTGTTACATGTAGCTCCTTGAACAATTTATGTTCTAGGTAGCAGGTAAAATCAAAATAAATACTACGAGGAAAAAAAAACAACAAACAAAGACTGAAGAACTTAATTCAGGTTAAAATAATTATTGTTAAACCTACCGTAGGTTGATTTTCAATATCCTTTGTCTCCAAGTCCTAGTTATTCGTGAAATAGTGTTAAGAGCGAGCGTTAATATTTTTTGTTCTTATTTTTGATAACCTGCCTTGATTAGCTATGCTAACTGTGCTTTGTCAATGTTGTAATATTGTTCCCTTTGAAAACGGAATAAAATTAAGTATTATTATTGTTGTTATACTAATCACGTCTGCAGCAAACCCATTTTTGAAGCACCTTAGATTATAAGACTAGCATTGACAGTTTTGTCACCACTGTGTTTGAAGCTTGTAATGTGGACTCTTATCTTGGAGCTGTCCCGTAGTAGTGAAATTAATTTCTTCCATTCAATCTCACTGTATGTTATGATATTATAGGTCCATTATTGGTGGAGATTTTGGAGGATTTAAATACAACCTTCTTCAGCTTGTATATGCCATGCCATTTGTAAGTTCCATTCTCATGTGTGCCAACTTATTGGTTTTTGTCTCACATCGATCACAAATTAATTTTGCATGGCTAATGTTTTATACCGTAAATTTGTAAATGCTGATTAAGAGATTATTTTGTTTGCTTTATTCATTACAGTTAGCTGTTGTCAACCAACTTATGAAGGTCAGTGCAAAATGATCTACATTTTTATCATTCTTGATTCAGGTCAAAGTCGCATAAAAGCAAAACTTTGTTTTAAATGTACACTGTAAAATAAAGTAATGTTATGCTTCAGAATTAAATTTTACTCTGAGTGAAACATTATTACTCCATTTTTCCTTGGTTAGTCCCAATGTTCTGACTGGCCAGTCTGGCTATAAATCATAGAAGGTGTTGCATGTCTTTTGACATACATCTCAGAAGGTTTAACTTTAAGAGTGTGTGCAAGTGGACTAACCCTGACACCTTCAGTCGAACCCTCACTGCACTTGCTACAATGTATATAAAACACAGTGCAAAAAAAACAATGAATTTCCGGACATTTATATTTCTGTGTGCCTTTAGTTTGGACTAAATGAGCTGAAGTTGAGATTTCGCACGAGGTTAACTCTTCACCTGTATGAGCAATATCTTAGGTAAGTTGCATTGATCAATCATCCAATGATCAGTTACACAGGGTAGATTCCAACCCTGTCGACTAACAAAGGGAGGTTTTTGGCATGGTATACCCGCACCCACAAGCACTGAAGGTGCGAGCCCCTAGAGGGATCCGGTGGCATACTCCCCTGCAAATAATTTTAAGATATTTGCCTCTAAGATGCCATTTCCTGCATTTTGAGACCATGAATGAATGCAAACCTTGCACAAAGTTGAGGCAGTCCAGTGTATTAGCATGCCCAAAGATATTGCAGGCTAGATGCTTGGATAAAAATGGCTGAGAAACCTCAGAAAAATGGCAAAGAATCATGCTAAAAAGACTGGTTAAACAACGAAAGGAAGAGTTTTAAAAACTGGGAAGGCAGGAAATCTTTGTCAAAAAATAGGAGGCTTCTGGCCAAAACAGGAGGGTAGGAATCTCTGACACAGTGAGTGGATTGAATTGTGATAAATTTGTGGTGAATTTTTTTCTAACATTGCACACTCTCATGGCTTATACTTTGAGGTCACTTGAGATCAAACAATAAAACTATATCCCACTTTGCGCAATACTGCAAAATCCACGACATCAGAGGATTACTATACTCTGGTACTCACTAATTTTGATTGCTTAATTGTTGAGATTTGGTTTCGTAAAATTTGTTTGTACAGACAGAATTATTCTCTATTGGCTTGGTTTCCCAAACTGGAGCTAGGCCCCAGTTGCTTCTCTGTAGTCTAATCTTCTCTCATGAGCGAGTATTGTGTGTAATAATGATTAATTTGTTAATCTTTCAGTTCTTTTACCTTCTACAAAATGAGCAACTTGGATAACAGGATTGCTAATGCAGATCAACTTCTTACTCAGGTAATTGTATATTGATGTTTAAAAGAGTCTGTAAAATGCAACTCATCAACTTGACTAAGGCAATTATATTAATATTTTTTGGGGGGTTGGTTTTGAAACAAAGTGTTGTTGCATTAGTCTTTAGTTCAACAGGGAAATTGGTTTTGATGTCAACTAAGTTGGATAACGGTAATTTCTTTAACGTGGCCATTATGATAGGATTCTATACTGAAATGGCCAGGACAATTTTTGTTATTATTCATTCATTCAAATATATTTTTCATAACTCATCTTTTAATCTGAGCAAAATAATTGCGAGATTAAAGGATGTTGCACACAGCATTGTTACTCTGTGCAGGTCTTGAGAAAAATGGCTGGTTTTTAAGATTGCTAAAAATGAAATAAATGTGACTTTATCATGATTACCAATATTAAAGCAAGAGTATGCTGTATTTATGGATGTAAAACTTTTCTTTTTTTATAAGGATGTAGATAAGTTTTGCAACAGTCTCGCAGAGCTATATTCCAATGTCAGCAAGGTGGGTGACTTCAGTTCCGTTAATACATGTATCATGAATAAATTATATTTAAATGTACCTCTAAGAGCAGCCGCTGGGTCTTATATTAATTTTATTTGGGAGAAAAGGTTTTTATGATTGCAATGTAGGATATAACTGTAATAATACTGGGTTCTATCTGTTCCAAGGGGGTTAGCACTAAAAATGGTTAAAATGCCCAGCTTCCCGGTTTATCATCAGTACAGTTCTATCAAACTATACCAGAACGTGATAATTTTTAAAATGTTTTACCATTGTCCAATTTCTCAAATTGTAGGCAAAAAGAATTCAACTGAATCTCAGGCTTTTTTCAAAAAATTTCATATTTGAGTTCCCGGACCCCCTTGGAAGCTCTAACCCTGGGTTATCTTAAATCCTAGATAGAACCCTGAATACTGGTGATTATGATGGTAATGTCATGTAGATGATAAAGAAAGTGAACATTATGATGATGATGATGATAATATTCCACTCCGGGAGAAACTATGTGTGTTTCAACCCTTTGTACAGTTCCTACAATGTGATATTTTGTTGCAATGTGCCTTGCTAGAGGCTTAGAATAAGCGATTTTGGTAACACTACTTCACAGTCTGCGTATATTGGCTTGAGTTATGTCTACAAATTCTGGGTAGAGTGAAAAAGACATGTGAGGCTCACTTGGAAATCCTTAGGTAAAATCCCTGAAAAAAGAATTTGTAAATAATCCCTTTAAATGAGCCTTTGATCAAAGATACAGAAAGGCCCAGTTCAAACGTCAAACTTTTCATGTACCGTACTTAATAGCTATTTGGGCTGACCCAGATGATGTAAGTTTGACTGTTGATTCAGACGTTGAACCTAATTCGTCAAACTCAATTCTTTTTTGCAATGTTCAAATAACAATGGCCTACTATGTTTACCAGTGAAAATAATATGTACTAGGTTCGGCACATGAAAGGTTTCATGTTTGAAACCAAGTCCCTCCTCTGTTAAAATTCCCATGTGGGCTACTCGAACTTAATTCACGGGTCAACCAAATCAGATATGTCGGATTTAATTGATTGAAACACAATGAATACCTTGGCCGCTTACAAAATGCCCAAATAGGCGGGCGTGGGAGTATTACACTAGACAGCAAAACAGTTGGTTTTTTCTCTCAAAATCGGTTTTTTGTAGCGTTACAGCGGCGTGAAAGCCCCACGCGCCAAAGCGTGCGAGCCTCACACATATTTTCAGCCTCGCTCCAGACCTTTGTGTGACCGTTCTTGCGTACTTGTAGACTGCAAAACAGTCTGTATTTTTACAGTCTACAATGTAGTATTACACAGTGTAGATGAACATTGTCATTTGTGAGTTTCTCAATTTTTTACTAACATGCTTATGGTCTATTAACTTGCAGCCCTTACTGGACATAGCGATATACGTCCAGAAACTTACTGGAGCAATTGGCATCCAGGTATTCTATTAAATTCAATGCCAACTTGCACCTGCACACTGTATGTTGACTCTGTGTTCTTGCTTACCTTTTGCCCAAAGGTTTACGGTCAAGTTGGCAGAAAGTCATCTCGCCTGACTTTTTTTTATTGGGTGACATAACTCAGCATTTCAGATCACTTAACAAAAAACTGCAGTAACGGGGGCGGATCCTGGATTTTTTTTAGGAGGGGGTGCACTCGTCTCTTGCTCTACTTCAACACTAATAAACCACATAGTTTTTTCTTTTTGCAGAATACCAGTTGCATTAGAAAACCGCAGGTCATCTCGGGGGGGTACGCACCCCCTGCACCCTCCCCCTAGATCCGCCCCTGAGTAACATAACTTTGGGCGAGATTTTGAACTTCGGGCAACTTGACCAGTTAGCTACCCAAAGGCAGAGCTATTCCGTTCAAATAAATTGCCATTAAAACATTAATTAGGTGGACTTTTAAAGGGGCTAAACAGTTGTTCTGCTTCATGAATGCGATTTTCATATGACCTTCAAAAATGGTTTGGGTAAGTGTTCGTTATTTGTTTTATCAGCCAATGGATCAAAAGATCAAAACATGGACTCTTCGTTTTCCCGCCAGAGAAAACCCTAATATGTAGAAGGCATTGTTCGATTGGCCAATCGTGTTGCAGTATGACGTCAAAGCGAAGTATCGATTGATTTCTAGAAAGTTCTCGGGCATGAAGTTTTTTCAGCCGAGTGTTCGCTTAACCAACCAAAAGCTCCTCCTTGCTCTCTTTGGGAACCTTTGTGTTCATGCATGCGCAATTTCCCTCCAGCAATGCTACACTGCGTATTTCATGGCTTTCAAATAAACTTCACTCGCACACGTACCGCTGTCAGTTTTGTTTGGAAGTCTTTTTTTGGCTCAGTATAACCTTTGCATAAAGAGTTGTATCATATGAGTTGTGATGTTTGTTTTACAGGGTCCTGCTATCATGTTAGGGTACTTGGCTGTGTCAGGACTTGTACTAACAAGGTACAATGCCTCTGTGATATATAAATATGTTTTAATAACAAGATGATCAATACGAGTTAGTATATCCTTGAATTTCATTGTGTGGGGGGTTATTTCAAGCAGTGAAAATGTTGTTTTAAGAATAAATATCCAAGCCAGATCAAGTTTAAGGCAGTAGTAGTCCAGGGAGAAATGCCGTCGAGCGAATCGACTTTCGTTCGAAACGGCCGCCCAAGGAACCAACATTAATTTGATAGTTTGATTTTGCGGGGCTTCAAGGATAGGGGGATAAAAGTTACTGAAACCGACCTAGATGAAAAGCGAAATTAGGTCAAATTAGGTTGAAGGTCGAGTAAACGGTGTTCGAGTTACCAGAGGTCTAGTGCGGAATTGGTCTCTCTGTAAATTTTACATAAAAACTGTCTCTTGATTTTTGCCAGATTACGGCGGCCTGTTGGCAGAATGACAGCAGAAGAACAGCATCTTGAAGGAGAATTCAGATTTGTGAACTCTCGTCTAATAACTAACAGGTAAAGTAAGCACATTTGATACATGGAACTTTCTCTTCTGTGGGAGCTAACGACTAAGGCTATGTTCATACTTACTTAAACTGGATAGCTGTTGATGTTGACACTAAAAGCTATCCGATATAGATTTGGTATAGTATGAACACGTATCCAATACGTGACTCCCCACTTTTGAGAGCGGCGCGGCGTAGCTTCGCTCCGTTACAAAAATCCCGCCGAAATCACCGTTCCTATGTGTGTCTGAACAGAAGCCCTGTCCTGTATGTTTTTCGCGCCGGCGCAAAAGCGATCCAGTATAATGTGACTCTGGACGAGCACATTGAACATTCAAGTAAAAGTTCTTCACCAATTCCAGATATGGGGTCTGTGTTAATTGTCGTGTGTTTTTAAAGAGTTTCTGCCTTATCAGTCTTACTTTTTGGATCTACTATTAGGAAGATTTATCCAGCCTGTGTACAGCCGTTTTCTTCTCAAACGTTTGAGGGAAGGGGGCGGTTTTACACAGGCTAGATTTATCAAACTAACAAGTTATCGGTACCTTAGGCTGGTTTATATTTTGTTTTAGTAACTTTTAGTGCACTGTCCCCTCTCGAAGAGTTCGCCGGAGTGCGTTCTTATTTAACAAATGCTGGTTCCTTTTTATTCATTTAAGCGAGGAAATCGCCTTTTACCAAGGAGAGAAAAGAGAAAAGCAGACCATTGATAGCACTTTCCAGAGATTGGTAAGGTTGCGTATTAAAGAGATGTCTAATTGTCCCTTCAAGCGGTACCAACGACCCTGCCTGGCTCGCGCACTAATATTGTTTTTGTAACAAGTGACAGTGGACTATTGAGTGGGGCCTGGCTGATTTTTCCATTGTGGTTGACCAAGCAAAGATTTGGTTTGGCATCACCTTTTGTCGCTTCAAGGAAAAGTGTTTCTAACGCGATTCAGTAACTTAAATTTGTCTGGGAAACATTTGCGCCCGCCACGGTGTCTCCTCAGCAGTGTTTCAAGGTTTAACAAGACCCTGGCAGTCGTTGTTTTGACAAATTAACCTTCTTTGCGGTTATTATTATAGAATCGCGTTTTTAATTCTCCCGGCTATATTTTCTTAACCAGCAACGTTGTACGCAAAATCGCATTCAGTCTTATAACTTTTTTCACACTGCTGTTGTTTTAGGTAAACCACCTCAGAAATTTCATTCAATTCAGATCAAGTATGGGAATCATTGACAATGTTATAGCAAAGTGTAAGTAGAACATGGTGATAAAACAACTTCAATGGACGCCTGTGTAGCTAAACAGCAGTTTTGCATGGGGGTTAAAAGGCTTGACTAGCAAAACAGCACTTGTTTGTGCGTTAAAAAATTAGCATAACAGCACTCTTGAAATATTGTCAATGGCAAAGCTGTACGTACGTACTGTTTTGCTTATTAAAAGTTTAAACTGAATGCTTACCTTACGAGCAGCTCTAGCCTTACAGAAATGTGTACACAGCGAGCAGAGCTTTTTCTCTTGCACGGCTTTTAGCATTTGCGAAGTCGTTCGCGTGGCTTGTCTGTGGCGTAGTTATTTTGTAAACAAACGGGGCGTAAACAAACCAACCACGCGACTGACAAACGACACGAGCGACTTCTCAAATCCTACAAGCCATGCGAGAAAGAAACCTCTACTCGGAGGGTGGCAAATGTGTTGTTTTGCCAGTCAGTCTTATAAAGACATGTGCGAAGATCTGGTTTACAAATTAAATCTTTAATTGCACGTGCAAATGCGTTGATTTGTTAAACATGCTTTTCAGTGCACGTGCAAAGTTGATGTTTTGCTAATTAATGCTTTTAATTTGCACGTGCAAGTGTTTTGTTTTGGTAACAGGACTTTCCAAGGCGCGTAAAAGTGTTGCTGGATTCTTTTACGTATGGCGCAAATTTAATAACCTAAAAATTATTGATGCAGAAGTAAATGTTTCTCATTATAGCCTCCATTTCGCTGTTAGATGATTAACCGTATAGCTTGATCATTTAAACTTTCAGATGTAGCTACTGTTGTTGGTTTTTCTGTTGTCAGTCGGCCTTTCCTAAATAAGACAAGCACAAGACACCTTAACAGTACTCACAGCGAGAGAATGGAGGTTAGTTGAATTGGTTGTCGGTATTTTCCGCGTGTTGTTGTGATGAAGTGATTGAAGTGTTGAATGGGTAATCTCGAGTTTTGCAGCTGGCTTGAAAAAAAAAACTGTAAAATGCAGGAAAATGAAGTTCAAAGCTTTAAGAAGGAGAGGGATGGGGTGGGTAAAGCGTACCCCTCCCCCGAAGAAGGGGTAAAACGGCCTTCTTCGGGGGGAGGGTGCGGCTATACGTAGGGTAGTAAAGAAATAAGCCATCTGTTTTACAACTACTACCAGAATCGTTCAGGGTTTTGCTATCTTGTGCAAAACTGTGCTTTTGTTATTCAAAACTCTCTGGGATTACCAAACTTGAATACATTAAACTAAGGAAAAGGAAAATGAGTTTCTTATTAGTAGTAGTATCGTGCATATGGCCTTTGTACATCATAAAAATCTTTACTATGAATGTAGTTCTATGACTGTTGGTTGTACTCTTTTCTTGACAAAGCCTAGCCTTACTTAAACTTAAAAGTAAACTTAAAAGTAAACAAATGCATGTCAAAAAAAGTTAATTTCTGAGGTTCTTTTGAAGTGAAGTAATGTTGTTGTTTCCGTAGGACTACTACAGAAGCGGAAGAATGTTAGTGAAAATGGCAGAAGCTATTGGTCGCCTTGTACTAGCTGGAAGAGAATTGACAAGATTAGCGGGGTAAGGGTCAAAAACTGCGTAGCGGTGTGGGCGGGGTGGGGGGGAGGATATTATTGACTTTCTCTCAGACAACGAAGCTTCAGTTCTTAGGAAAGTTGTTAGGTTCAGTTTTTAGGAAAGTTGTTAGCTTCGTTTTTAAAGCTGTTTAGTCATCAATGGAAAGATGCGTGGTCACTTCAATTCAACTTTCTTTGCAGATAGCGTGACAGCTTTGGTTCCGTTTTTATACTCAAATAAAGCACGCTTTTTCAACCAATCAGATTGCTCGTTATATCTGAACTTTATTACATAATTGTTTAAAAATGTATCTTTTGTTAGCGCAAGGACCTCTGCTTCGTGTTATGTTACAGCTGGGAAGCTAATTAACCCTACTTTCGTACTAATCGATTTTCAAATGACTTGTCGCGAAAGGAACTTGGCATGCTGGGAACAGTTCCTGCGTCATCGTCAACCTTACAAAATTGCTCATTACTGATATTTTCCTAGTGAAGATGATCGTAGCGAGTGTTGCTTTCTTTCTTTAGGTATACGTCTAGAGTCTCTGACCTAATGGGTGTTTTAAAAGACCTGAGTAAAGGCAAATATCAGAGAACAATGGTATCCAGCCAATCAAAGGGCGAAAATGCAAAGCAAGGTATGGTGTCTCAGTAATATGTATCCGTATTTAATGTAACCTTGAGCAATCATAGTGAAGTCGGAACCCATCATGATAAATATAGGTAACTGAGGTTATGTTTACACTATACCGGGTAGGAAAGACCATCCGATATAGTGGAAAACATAGCCTGAATCTGCTTATATATCTCGCTGTCCTGGTCCTGAGACTCGTTACATTCTTAATAATCCCCCAACATGATCATAGACCCACCCCAGTCCATCTTTCGTCAGTGAAAAAGTACGGCTCGAAACGCGCCAATCGCGTTTAGATTCTGCGCAACCAATAGCATCACGGCTTAACTGACAGACAACCACTGCCCTCCCGACTTAATTGACCAATCAGGTCAATAACCAGAGTTTATCTTTAAGACATGACTCTTAGCTTAAACCTTACAATTTCCAAAAAAGTTTAGTATTTGTTATTCAATCTATTCATGTAACTTCATTTTCATTTTAGAAAAAACATCCAAAGAGTATTTGGATTCCAATCAAGGAGAAATTATCGAAACTGACCACTTGATCAGGTGACGTTTAATTCTTAATTCTACTCTAACCTTCAGAAACGTTTTGTTGTTTCCAGGGAGCAAGACTTTATTTCAAAACGTGTCTCGTGTAACTTAATGGAGCAACAATTCCATAAACAAGAGCATTTTTTTTAGGTCTTGCAACATGGCGTCCTTTGGTTTTGAATATTTCTTGATGAACAGTTCAATTATTATTCTTTTTTTTAAGCGAGCGTTCAGATTCGGATACACTAACAACCTGTATGCAATTTTATCAGGTCGAGACTGTTATGGAACACTATCACGGATACGTTTACTTTACCCCCTAAGAAACAGAGATTTTTGCGAAACAGAGGACATGATTTTATTTTACCTTGTTAAAACAGTTAAATTTTTATTAATAGAAATTTAATTGTACTTGATCTTAAATAGATTGCATTGTCATGTATGTAAAGCCACACGTATGTTGTGATTACCCAACTATGAATGAAGACTCTTATTATTATTATTATTATTATTATTATTATTATTATTATTGAAAAAGATAATTGTGCATTTAGTGATGATTCTTTTTATTTGTCACCAGGTTCGAAAATGTGCCACTGGTAACCCCGAATGGAGACGTTCTGATAGACGATCTTTCATTTGAGGTAAAGATACTTTTGTCTGTTTTCTCTTCATTCCCTCTTATATATCGCCTGTCATTTCAATAAACATGTTTTATGTTTTTTTCAGGTTCGCTCTGGAATTAATGTGTTGGTTTGTGGGCCAAACGGATGTGGCAAAAGTTCATTGTTTAGAATCTTAGGAGAGGTGAGAATCTGATTACGTAGCTCAACTCAACATTGCGGAAAGATTTTTAAATCTTTCTTTTAAATCTTTCCCTAACTACGCTATTTAAAAGTAGCGTAGTTCTGGGTTTTCTCCGAGCCGCCATTTAGAATGATAGAGGGCCTAGAGACGAGATCAGCAAACACTCTGCGATGGTCTTTTTTTGTTTTTGTTTTTGCGTTAAAATCTCTAAACCGTTAAGTTCAAACATGGAATCGTCATCTTGGATATTTTTGCGCAGAAATCTTTGGAGAGAACAGTTTGCTTGAATCACTCACACCACCTCTCCCATCGCAACCCACCCCGCACCCCCACACCACACCCCACACCACCTCTCCCACCACAACCCACCCCGCACCCCCCCACCACCCCCACGCGTTCGACCGTTGTTGCACCCCCACACCCCCCCCCAACCACCCCACCACCAAACCCCGTTTTTGCACCACACCTCGATAACAAAGCACCAATGACGACCGTTGTTCGGCAAACTGGAAAAACTTTTTTGCATTTACTCGACAACAAAGCGCCAAGGACGTCGCGGTCTAGTTGCTTGATTTGTGACTCTTACTAGAACGAGGCAAATGTTAAAATTACTTCGAACAATTATTTGTTCTTTTAGTTGTGGCCTCTCTTTGGAGGGAAACTCGTCAAACCACACAGGAGCAAGCTTTTCTATGTTCCACAGGTAAGACGCGTCGAGTTTAAATAATATCCTTTCTTCTGGCCGTGTCTCGTTTGCAGACCGTAAAAGAACTGAATGTATTCAGTCTTCAATATTCTAAGGATTTCTTCTTAGAGTTTGTTGTATTTCAGCGAAATTCGTACGATGCTCCTTTGCCTGATTTGGCCTTATTTTAACCAGGGTCGGGTTGTTCAAAGCTGGGTTAAGATTACCCGCCAGGGTTAGGGCGAAATTAGAGTTCAGATATGAAAGCTTAATAAGTAAATTCAGTTTAATTCTTTTTGTCAACAAGTTGATGATTGGATGCTCTTAAAAATAACAGAGAAAATTATCCAAGCAAATGTTTTTGAGCAAAAGAAAAAGAAACCCGGGTTAAGCCAGGGTGCAAAGAAAATCATTTTTACAGCTTGCCATTCGGGCAAGCTAAATTTCAAACCCAGAATTGATTTCACAGTTCTTCTGTTATTCAAATTCCTCAAAAAAAACCTCTCGGACAGTACTTTCTTTGCACGCTGGTAAAGCGCTAATCGGCCTTCGAACAACTGGGCCCAGGAGAAAAGAAACTCCTTAACTTGACTTTCTTTTGTATTTTCTTCATGGCTAAAGAACAAGTTTTTTAATTTACTTCAGCGTCCTTACATGACACTGGGAACTTTGAGGGACCAAGTTATTTATCCTGACACCAAAGAAGATTTACACAGGAAAGGGCTCACTGATCAGGATCTTGAAGAGTACCTGAACCAGGTGAGTAAATCTTAAGGGTTCTTACTATAATATCTGACCCTCAGAACATCCTCTGAGGAACAAATAACAGTATTGCAGGTTGTTATGGTTCCTATATGGTTTCAGCTTTAGCTAACCGACATATTTTCGTTAAAAGCATTTCTGTTCTCCTAAGCTCACTCCAAAGACATTTCTGGTTCTGTCCTTGACAAATTCTTGATAATTTTATATGTGCTTAATGTATTTATTTTTTGTATGTCAGGTTCATCTTGGTAATATTCTCGAGCGTGAAGGAAGCTGGGACACAATTCAGGTGTGATGATTTTAGTTTTCTCGTGTTCGTGTTTTGACATTTATTTTTCTTCCTGAGCTTTGTGCAAAAACTTCACTTGGAGCTTTGTGCCTTTATTGGTTGCTGCTACTCTAACTGCTGTTCGTATTGGACGTCGCATCTTTGACCGGACAGCGGAAACCATCTCTATCAAGTGCCAGTCTTCACAATATTTTGTCCATCTTGATTTAATCTCATCGTTCTCCGTAAGGATAGCCGTATCTTTCATAACTTTCATTTGCAGTCGAAACTTCTCTATCATGGAAGAGAATTTATCTCTTTGAACATTTCTTGTGAGTTATTGCATGGTGCGACTCTATCTTCAAACATTTTGCTTTGAGTTCTTCTGGTTACTCTTTGTTATCAGGACACCCATTGATATCAGCCCTGCTGAAGAGACAAATACTGTATAAATATAGGTAAATAAGTAATTTGTTATTTATCGAGTGTTTTTATCTGCTTTAGGACTGGATGGACGTTCTCAGCGGAGGAGAAAAACAAAGAATGGCTGTAAGTAGCTCATTGCTTTTAAACAGTCTATCTGTTTTGTTTTGTTCGGTTTTGTCCGTGTTCCGTAGCCGCCATTTTTCGTGTTAACTTCTTTTGTACTTCATTGTGTCAGCATGAGGTAAACCTACATTTTCAAATTCGGGGGAGTCAAAGAGGAAGACGTCAAACTGTAACGAAGTTGTTGTTGATGTTGTTTTTTTTCGTTTATGTACAATAGATGGCTCGACTTTTCTACCACAAGCCACAGTTTGCCATTCTTGATGAATGCACAAGTGCTGTTAGTGTGGACGTCGAAGGCTTTATGTATACTCGGTGTAGGGAGGTAGGTGTGCTTGTTGTTCTTTTGTGCCGCTTTCGTTCTGACCACAATCGTAAATGGATGAAGGGTTTAGTTTCAATTAATAGAATACCCAAAATAGAAACTTTATTTAACACAGAACTCAAACAGTTGAGCACTGATTTACATTGAAGTTGTGTAAAAATTAATTTTTGTTTATTTCTATACCATCTAAGGTTGGTATCACTCTGTTCACTGTATCTCATCGCAAGTCGCTGTGGAAATATCACGAGGTTTGTGTATCGTTTCTTTTTTGTTTTGCGTTAGTTATTTCAGTGCAGTCCCTTTGAATGGTCACATGTAAGTTTTGACATGTCTGCAATGATCTGTAATGGCGCTGGGAAGGAAGGTTTCAACAAAAGATACATCTTGTAACGTAACAGTAGAAACTTGTTCTGGAACTGTTTTAGTCTAACCAATGAAGGCAAACGTTGTTATTTTATCATCACAGAAAGTGTTGCAGGGTTGCGAAAGTAGAAGTTACGTTTCGTGAAACTATTTCACACTGCAAATTCGAAAGCTTCGTCCGAACTAACCACATTACGACCTGCAACGCTTGAAACTTGTTTATCAAAACCTTTTACTTTTTTCTCGTAGTATGTGCTGTACATGGACGGGAGAGGTTCTTATGAGTACAAACCAATTGATTCTGCCACCACAGAATTTGGCTCTTAACTGCTCACGCACCATCATACTGGACACTACTGCAAAAAGGGGACGCACCCCCGTGGTGTAGTCCACCTTTCAGGGGTTGTATGAGGAAAGGAATTGTCACGGGGCCACAGTATTTAACGTATTGTTAAATTCAGTTAATGAGTGTTTCCCTATTTCGGCTAGTAAAGCAAGGCCGTTATAATCTAAGGGCCTGTTTACATGGAGGTGGGGGACCCCAGATGGGTGAGGTTAACCCGCTTTGGTGGGGTAAACCCGCCTGTTCACATAATCTCTCATTTTAATTTGATCACGTTTACATGATAGGTGGGGTGACCTGCTGCATGTTACCTCACCTATCTGGGGCCCCCCACCTCCATGTTAACAGGCCCTAAGTCACGAATAGATGCATTGGGTATTTTGCTTACTTCTTTTCGTGATCGCTTGCGTCCGTTCAAGTTTGTAAACTCAAACAGTGCGTTCTGTTCTTTTCTACACATGTAAACAATGAAAATCCGACATTTTTGCCAGCAGTGTTCACAGTAAGCAGGTTTGTAACAGGATGAACGGTAGTGGAAAGCGGTAAACACATTTGTTTGTATGCGTTTACAACCTTACACAGACTTGTGTCAGTTAGACAAAAGTGTACTGATTTGTGCACCAACAATTTTGAAATTAATTTAATTGGCCAACTTCCGGTTGCGCTTGAGGCTGGATCGGTGTTGTTTCGAGTTACATTGTGGGGCTGCTTTGAGGAACACATTTTGACTCAGTTTCTTCTCCTGTGCAACCGCAATGCAATTCGAAACAAAATTAACCGACTCAGTCTTCGTGCAGCCCGAAAATAGCTAGTCGTGTACGCTGGTCCATACGATAAAACTGCCCCGTTGGCGGTCAGTATACTTTTTAACGAGAATGCCTTAATTTTATACAATTATATTATTTGCATCTATATCGATATATGAATGCAATTTTAATTGGTTCGTGTTAGTGGTTAGCCCGTTGTCTGTTATAACAACGTTTATTTTTTACTCTCAGTATACAAACGACGTTGGAAAAGCACTGCAAAGATAAAAAAGGAGAAAAAAAATCCTTGTTGAAAATAATAAATCTAAAAAAATCGTGATATAAATACAAAGTGATTGTTTTTAGTCTGATAAAACACTTCTGACTTGTTAGGACTAATGTTCTCGTAAAACGTAATCTAGAATAAGAGGATTATTGAAAGAATAGACAGATTTTGGGACAAGATTTTTAAACCGTTTCAATAATAAATTCATAGTTCGTGTTTCATCTAGTCTAAAACATTGTTTTACAGTATTAATGTAATATAACAGCTTTAATCGGTTACTCCACGTGGGACAAAAAAATTAATCCCTGTTCTTAAAGATGATTCGACTGGATTTTTAGGGGCAATACCTTTCACGTTTGTGTTTACGTAGCGATTAACAAAGATACAGGGAAAAATCAGCACATCTGCATTAGATAAAGATGAAAATTTGTCAAGATCGATTAAAGTTGGCAAAGTATCCTAATGATGTCAACATATTTTACTTTTAGTCATATATTTTGCTGGGCACTGGTTGGTTTTCTTCCAAATCATCCACGAAATATTGTAAAGAACGACCTTAGGTATGTGGTGTACGCGAGGGCTACCAGGGGACTTTTATTTATCACAGATTGGCAGAAGCATGATTTTATTACGATTTATTATAAAGTTCAGATATAACCCGCTCTCTGATTGAATGAAAAAGCGTGTTTATGAGTAGAAAACATGCTGAAGACACTCAATCGCTTTGAAAATAAAGTTTGTTTTGAAAATTAGAACCTAAATGCGTAGACTTCTTGATCTTTGTCGTCTGTCGAATTTAGTTATCGGGAGTCGACTTTATGTGTCGATTTAACACACCCATAACCGCGACTACAATGAGTTGCATTTTTACACTCTTTCGCGATAGGATATGGGCTCAGTTTGACCCCAGTTCTTGTTAAGCCCGGGCTCAAAAACTTGTTTTTAAAAGCTGGTTTTCACTAGCGTCGGAGTCGGAGTCGTAAGAACGCTTATGACCTAGTGAACATCAAAAATCGCAGTCGTAAGCGAAGTCATAAGCGCGACGGAATCGGAGTCAGAAGAATCAGAACGTTTCCATTTCTTCCGACTCCGCCGCTTACGTTCCCCTTATGATCTAGTGAAAACCAGATTGTCGGAGTCGGAAGCAGAAGTGGAAGGATAAACCAATCACAATGCACGTTCCCACGCTTTGTGATTGGTTTAGGTCTTCCGCTTCTGCTTGCGACTCCGACGACCCAGTCTTCACTTGATCGTAAACGACCGAGTCGAAAGCGGAATCAGAAGGTTGTTTCCACTAGATCGTAAAGTTCTACGCTTCTGATTACGACTGCGACTCTGTCGCTAGTGAAAACCAGCCTTCAAAGGAAGCTACGGCCCTGGTTGTGTTATGAAGACCTTACAACTGAGAAAGCCACCACGGAGCTCATTTTTCTTCTCGCTAGGTCAGTGTCCACCGCGACTTTAAAGATACACGATTTTGCACTATGCGAAGGCAGAAAAAACATGAAATGTGCAATTTTTGATACTGAGAGAACGTCTGATCCCTTGCTCTAGTGGCCACATCGAGAAAGTAACAAAGGCTTCTGGTATTGGGGCCATAAAACGAATAAGGCACCTTGTCCCTCAGGCGACCTTACAACTAATATATCAGGGTTAATACAGCCACACTTTGATTATTGCAACATTGTTTGGGGAAACTTAACCTTGAATAAGGTTCAAAAGCTACAAAACAGAGCAGCCCGTGTTTTGACCTACTCAAGCTATGACGTAGATGCTGGTCACCTTTTCAAACTTCTAGGGTGGAAAAACCTAGATTGCCAGCAACAATTTCAAAGAGCTACGATGGTTTACAGGTCTCTGCACGGGTTGGCTCCAAACTATCTTAGTTCTAAATTTGAAAGGCGAGAAGTCGCATATAACCTAAGGGACTCTGAAAATAAACTCAATGTTCCATTACCGCGCACAAACTATTACAAAAACAGCTTCAGCTATAGTGGCGCCATTCTCTGGAACAGTCTTCCTTGTAACTTTAGGGAAGCAGAGTCCCTTGGGCAATTTAAACGATTACTCAAAGAACTGTAAGGCACGGCATTCGTGGAAAGCAGTTTTTTTATTTAAATATTTTTACTATATTAGTATTAGGCATTTTTAAAGCTGACGAATTTTGTACCGTGGATAAATAAAGATTATCTATCTATCTATCTCTAGCCAGACACGCAGAGTAATACATCTTTACCGACCTTGAGGGTTATGGTCAGATATTCCTCATTGATACTGACTATGACCGTATTTTCTTTATCTGAAAGAGCCGGTCCCCCCCACGAATTTTTCATCTCGGGCTTAAAAGATCATGAAAGATGCTATGTCCCTGATCACGAGTTACTGATTTTACATCATTAAATGCGGGTTGAGATATTAATCCGTATTCCATTCTTGGAGCGTAATATGAGTTCAGGAATCAGATCATCCACTGGGACGACGTTTGCGGGATCAAGAGATAACTTGAACCTGCGTTTAAAAAGAAAAGTAAAAAAATTATTTTAATGAATAACACCTTAGACTCGACAAGGAGAGGGATTGAAGCCTGCTTAAGGCCTCTAAATCAGCAACCATTTCAGTTAGTATTGAGTCACAGAAATTTTGTCCTCCCTGGCAATAAACGTTTTTATCAAAGCGTTTGAAGCTGACTTGAGGTACCTGATTCGAAACTTTATTCACATTTAATTACGGATTCATGAACCAGTAATGGGGACAGAAAGAATTTGGACAGTCAATGTCTCCCTCGATAGTACCTACGAGATTAGACTTGCACGCTACAAGTCGACCTCTCATAAGTTTAAAAGAGAGCGAAGCGAGCTTCACTGAGGAAATGTGAACGAAGCGGGCATCAATGAGGTCGCACGCAACCGAGCGAACGACGAAGTAGCGAGTCGACTATTGGTCAGTTGTCATGAAGTCATCGATGGAATTTTCGACCTGTGAATTTCGCGCCAAACAGGTCCTTTAAAATGGCATAACCAACTATGAAAAAAGGAGGACTTTCAGAAAGTCTACTACGAGGTTTTTGACTTGGCCAGTTTGAGGTGTCACGTGACACTGGTTCGGAATTGGGTCGAACTGCACTTCGGGACTGTTTTGGGAGACAAACTCCTGCACTGGCCTGATTTGCGAAGTCATTTTGTCTCCATGCAGAAAAGCTGTTCTAAGTTAAACTCACTTGCGAAGTATCATGGCTACTGAAATCTTAACCTCTGTCAGTGCAAAGTTTTGTCCAATACAGTTCCTATATCAGACAGATGAAGAAATAGATTAGGTACGCAAGAGGGAAAATATTGCGGTTTGACGATTTATCGGGTGTCATTTAAACACTGCCAAGGGGTCTATTATTCTTCTGTTTCAACTTCTCTTACTAGTTTCCCCCTAGCGAACATAGACACGGACAACGAACTAAAAAAACTACAACAATAACAAACGACAAACAGCAATGGACCCCGACTCTGGCGTTTTACTTACACCCCATGCCATTCCATCGTATCGTGGATGTAGTAGTATAGAGCGCAAGGAATTATCCTTGTATCACTTATGATTTTATCTTGATTAGTCTACTTAAAACTAATTCTCACACCTCATAAGAAGAGTGGGTAAAAGCTGTGAGCCCAATGATCTCTTTGATCATTCTGATGGACACACGTAACTTATGACTGATTAATGGTTGCCCTTCTACAAGTGACTTATCATTTACAAACGCTTTTCCACCCAAATGATCCCAAAAATCGTTGCGCAAAAGCCTGTAGACATTCTTCCTTATAGTTCCTGAATTTGGGAATAGTGTTAGTTCGTATCCTTTGCAAACATTACCGGGCGTCACGAAGCTTTCAGAAGGAGTTGTCTAATTAGCTAACGAAACAACTTTTAAGTCATGATGGACTAGGGACGAGTATCGGCTGCCAGACACCCAAGAGCGGATCCAGTCATTGAGTGAAAAGGGAGGCACATTCATCCAGCTCTTCAGATTAGGGAAAGGGGAGAGTCTTCTCTGCTATTTAGGTCTCTTTCTTGTCTAAATTAAGGGCTTCCCCCAAGGTCTATCCCTCAGGCCTCTCCTCACCAGGAACCCGACTGAGATCAGGGAAAACATACGGAGCTCAACAGAAAACCTTATCAAACAAGTAGTAACAAACGATCGACTGTCATAACGCTTACCTTGGGCCTGCTGAGAAAGGAATGAAAGCATATGGCGACGTGTCCTTTACGTTCTCAATTGTAAACCGCAATGGATCAAAGATCTACATCATAATATAAAATGGAAAAACGCAGTGAATGATTTTTCATATGGGCGATGTTGATTTTGATCTGTTCTAGAAAGTTATAGCCTCTTTTTGAAAAGGTAGCAGTTCTTGAAAAGTAATAGGCTTGTCCTCTCGGCAAAAGAGGACAAAAACTTGAAAACGTGACTCAAAGCGAGATTGTAGATCCATCAGCGCAGTGTGGTTGCTACATTACACGACATTTGAAGGCTCTAAACCTGAAAGACTCCTTCTGGTTTCTTATTTGATCAAATTACATCGACCAACCTCTGGGTCCTTCCAAACGTGCGGGTTGTGGTGCAGGGCGTAAATATTTGTCATCACCCAGGAACCTGAAATGGAGCAATATTCTCCTTTTTTAATGCGTTTGCCAGAAGACGAAGATTTAAATCAGTAGTGGAAATTACGAAAGGCAGACGAGTGTAGTGCACAAATAAAGTTATCTAGCTAAAAATCGTAAGAAAAGCGTATGAGAGTTTTCTTTATAAATTTACATTTCACACTCGAAAGATGTAGAACTTTATGATATTTACAACCCCTCTATAACAGGGGTTAAAATTGACAAGACCTGTTGCAATTGTGTCTGTATACCTTCAGGAACAAGATGACCGTCTATTTCATAAGTCTTGTCCAAAGATCGACTTATCATGGGGACTGGGGCAAATACCCTGCATGACTCCTTAATGCACATGAGCATGTACTTCAGTTTGCTCAGGTGTTTCCTGTTAAAACAATCAGAGCATGCGCAATTGAAAGTAGCTAAAGTAACATTCACATTGCAAGAGCCAGTCGTGAACTCGTTTGTCGAAAATTAAGGGAGTGGTTATGGGAACAAAAATGCCTAATTAGAGGGTCCCAAACAGGTTCTTCGGGACACGGGATTTGCCTTATTTGAATGTCTGAGCTAGGGATTTTAAAGCAAAATGGGGGCGAGATTCGGGATTGAAATTATGACTGGATACGAAATGCCGAGAATAACCATCGGGAGTACGGAATAAAAAAATCCTACTGGTGGCATTGGTGACACACTGAGTAGCAGTATAAGAGAGATAGTAAGCAAGCTCGAGAGAAACGCCAATTACACCCGGGCAACACGAAAGTCACTTGGCTATCTCTGGCAGAGAAGTCAGCGAAATGAATTTAGGAAGGTGTAGCGGAGGGTTTGTGAGCAGCCTGAAATAAGCTCTAAAAGAACAGGCACTAGGCTCGCAAGATGCGGAAATAAGAAAGTTGTGAGCAAAATTTTCAGCACAGAAGGTCAGGTCACTTTTTTCGATGACTGTTACTAGCTACGTTCTTACCAGTCTAAGTCTTGATTGAACCCAACCACTTCATCGACTTCCTGTCGGCATTTCTCTTGATGTTCGGGATACTTTGCTAAGTTGTATAAAGTCCATGCAATAACTAAGGAAAAGTTTAAGGTAAATAGTGATCAATGGGTCCTTTCTTGAGGTTTTGATAGGCGTGAGGTGATTCCCCCGTAGGGGAAATGCTCAAAATGTAGTCCTGAGCATGATTACTTTGGTAAAAATAATGATAACGATGATGATGATGATAATGATGATGGTGATGTCGATGATTATAACTTTGATGAGAAGGAGGAGAAAAATGGTAGTGATGATACTGATGATGATAACGAAAACACTAATGAACAGTAAGATGCAAACATTACATGAATCACTAAGACCAAAATATTAACGACATCAAAGCAAAGAAATAAATAAAACTATCTCTCTCGTACACATACCACTAGCAGTTGTATCGTGACCAGCAAACATGAACGTCATAACTTCACCAACAATTTCTTCATCGCTCAGCCCATTTCCGTTGTCATCCTGAGACAGAGAACACTGAAGAAGCTAATATCCTTTTAATTTTCACTGAACAAAAAGTGAAAGAAGTCACTGGAAATAAATATTGCCTTTACAATTGTGAAGACTCGAACTTTCCCTCTCAAAAAAAAAAACATCATTAAAGAGTTTTCGCGATGCATAGCGCAAAACGCAGGAAGAAATTTTACGTTAGATGCACCGTAGCCGGGAAAAATTGAAAAGAGGCAAAATTAACGTGCAAGCGCAAAGAGAGCGAGCTTTTTAATTATGGGGATCTGGAGGTATCCCCTTCAGAAAATTTTGGAATTACAAACTCTGAAACGTTAGTTTCGACATTTTCCATGTAGTAATTCTTTTGTAAAAGCAGTCTCGGTAAATTCTAGACGAAGATAGCGCCTTTTCTTGCGTCATGCTAGTCGGGGTCCGTAGATCAAAAAAGTGAGAATGGCTTACTGAAAGGGCTGTATTCATATGCCTTCCCCTAAGTCTTAGAATGACCTATGAATGTCTAAAGGTTAGATAGTGAAATTTTCGTTGAACAAGATCCCTCTTACCTTAGCCTTCAAAAGAATGTCTAGAAAGTCCAAATGTTTCTTTTCCCTCAGTTTTTTATCTTCCTGCCGGGGAAAGAGAAACTCTTATACATAACAGAACAGTTAAACAAGGAAACGTTTTCGACAAGTTTTATTCTGAATTGACACAAATCCTGACACAAATGATTGAATTTGTACTCACAGTGTCTCGGTGAAGAGTTTTCCTTCTAGCTTTGACAATTTGGTGTGCTTTGGTCTTCGCAAAATCACAATTCTTGAAGAACTTTCTTCCTTCTGGGGTTAGTTTATAGACTTCGTCCGCATGGTGAAGAGGATTCCTGTTTTATTAGAAAACCTCATGTGTTAAACCACCAACATTGCTGAGTCAAAAACCAAGAATCACCCGGTACGAAAAGTAATCTGTTTTCAGGGAATCGAAAAAATTTTTTTTCTGGAATCCGGAATCCCGCTAACAATTGAAAACCAGAATCCACGTTCCACTGCCAAGGCATCCAGAGTCCAGTACCTGGAGTCCGGAATGCACAATGTGGAATCCATACATGGGGCAAAACGAAGAAATCAGTATCATGGATGTTCAACGTGAAATATATAGACTGAAGCTGACATAATGTTTGCAGTTAAAGTGATTTTCGTCAAGACAGGATCCTAACTTTTATAGTCTCACACACTCCCCTCCCTTCCTTTTGATAGTTTCATCTTCAGCGCCCACCGCCCCCACCCACAGAGTCTGGAACGGTCGGTCAATTACCTGTTAACCAAACTAGAAAAGGTTAACCATATTGGGCCCTACCCCACCCGGGAGAATATCTTATACCAGTGGTGCATGTGTATAAAAAGAATAAAAGCGAACAAAGCGTTAAATGAATGTCTTACATGAGCCTGTTAAGAATCTGATTTGAAGCTTCGTAGACAACAGCGATATATGGGTCTTGGTCCCTAAACAAGAGAAGAAAAAAATCTCAAACAACGTTAGCTCAAATAATTATTTATGTTAGAAACAACACACGGTGATAGCTCATTACTTACTCTTGTGTTTGGCAGTTGCTTAGGTAACTATGAGCACATTTGAGGATAGAGTCCAGCGTCATTAAACTCACGTGATGAAACAACTCCACCTCACCACTCCCCTGCGAGGACCACTTTTTCTGAAAGAACAATTGAAAGATCGAGGTTATGCAAGCTATAATTCCCGTGACACTTAACGTATTTGTTGCAACAGTATCTGAATTGAGATCATACCAAGAGAACATCTGTAGAGTCCTGAAAAACCCGAACGTATGGTTTGAGAATTTCGAAGTGAAAGGCAGGAGTAAGAAGCCTTCTCATACGGAACCATCTTTCTCCTTCGGATGTCACCAGACCATCCCCTGGGGAAAAAAACAGTAGGGTATCTGATTAATAAAAAGCCAAGTAGTCTAGAACTCGTAAAGTGTGTCTGACCCAGAATAGCTACTGGGCTGTACACTTTGCCCTGTTATTTAGTGGGGGAGGATAAGGGGTGGGAGCCCGGGAGGGATACGGGAGATGGGAGAGGAAAGGGTGGGGATGGGAGTTCTAATAGGTTGGGGAGCGGGGGATATAGAGGGGAATTACGGAACAGTGCTTAAATGACGAGCGGCAGAAGGTTTGGACCCCTTTTCCACCTCCCAGTATTTACCATAATATATTATGTACAGGGTGGATGTTAAAACTTTTGAGTCTGAATGAAATCCTGAACTGCGACTATTCAAAGGAAAGCTTTGCAGTACTTACTACTTTCTGAGGGGCTTTAGGAAGGCTTATGGAAGGGGAGCTTATAATGGGACTATCGTTTCAAAGTGCTACATAACAGTGCTGATAAAAATACCTTTTGAATTTACTCTTTTCTAAGCTTCAAATCGTCGTAAAAATCGATTTCATTTTAATACATACCAGAGGGGAGCTTCTACCCCTGGGGGCTCATAAGTGGGGAAGGCTTCTTTTGCTGGGGGCTTTTAACCGGGTGTATATTTATTGTTGTTTACAGGTAGATGGGCCTATAACTGGCTAGTTAACATGTTTTAAGCACTAGGTTTTGCAGTAAGATGCACATAATTTTTTGGGTTCTGTGTTGTTGAGGTAGTGTAGGAAATGGCATTATAGAAAACTTGTAGCTGTACCAATCAAAACTGTGTAGGCTAACCCTTACCAAGAAATGGTCTGACAAAATCATACACAAATCTTTCTTTCGGCGCATTGCTTGACTGAATCACTTTGATGGTGTCCGGGTGACAGATGATCACAGCTGACCTGAGAGGCCCAAACCAGAGCCTGTAACACGTCTTAAACTCAGCTGCACACTTGACGTGGAATTTAAGTCCGGCTCCGTCGAACCGTGCCTGGCGACAGAATATTTCATAGAAATTAGTGAAGTGACTACATCGCCACAAGAAAGGGAATCTTGGATCTTGGTTTCCAGGTTCTGGATTCCGGATTCTTTGTCAGTGGAACTTGGATTAAGGATTCCAATCATTAGTGGGATTCCTTACCCGATTTAAGACCAAAAAAATTTAATTTTCCACACCTGCTTTCAGACCAGACCTATAAAATTCATACCCGTTGCCAGACATGGCCTTTAGGCCGAAATTATGTTATCAGTTCTTAGATTACAGCGCAAACAAAAAAATTCTCCAAATCCATTTCGAATTCGCATATTTCTGTTTCTTTCTTTCTCATTTAGAATTGAAAAGATAAATACGTTCATACACTCCCGTAGTTCCCTCAAAAACCATACCCGATTCCAGACCTGTGCATACCCGTTTTCAGTCCAAAACGGCCCAAAAACCCTACCCGATGGGGCGGCACATACCTGCATGGCTTATCTAAGGGAGTATTCCCCCCCCGGAGTCATTACTCAAAGTGATAATATTACCCGTTTTGGGTGATGGAAGTGAAGTTTCTCCAGTTCATAAGAGACGCTCCCAAAAAACCTTTTAAAACTGTAAAAATGATTTATGACGAGCGTTTCGTAGATTACTTATCAAAAATAATGCTAGTACATTTCATGACTCGTGAGGACCGTTTAAAGGTGTTCCATGACTTTTTAGAATGGCAATACTTTTGTGAGATCGGCGCTTTATCTACTCTACTCTGTGAAAGGTCTTTAAAAGCAGCAAATTTTGGAAGCTCTACATCCTGCATACACCATTTTCATTACAAAAGCGTGCCCGTTTTAGGCTTAAAAGGACTAAAAAACAATACCCTTCGGGGAGTTACACCCAAGATATCTCAGTAATTTGCCTTGGGTGCGGTGTTAACTGGTCACTCAATGGTAGACCCCCTACCCTCCCCCCAACCACCCCTTCCTTGCGACGCCTCTTTTCTTAAATCCAAGTGCAAGTGGAATTTTGTATTTAAGTGACTCGAATCTCTTTTAATCTCTCTTTGCTACGAAATCATTGGGCTCATTTCTGCTTTGTCAAATTCTGATCCTTTACGAAGATCGGTTCTGATCTTCATCGCCAAGTTCTGATCCTTATTCGAGTCTTAATGAGTCTGCCCCAAAATAACCTTAAAGGACTTGATATCAGTGTGATATCAGGTGAGCGCGCACTTGATTATCGATGATTAGAGAGTATTAGAACTTACGTAGTCAAGGTGTCCCTTTAGCCAGTGCCCCGGTGGGCCAGGAATACCAGCAACCGATTTTGCAGCACGCCTCCGTTGTCGAAAACATCCGATCCCAAAATTGGCGAGGAAGTAGACTCCCACGGATAAAATCAATGCAATCCACAGCGAATATGACGCAGGCAATATTCTCAAAACATCATCCGTTACCTCGGCCATTTTGGAATTTAAGTGAACTCAAATCTTGGACTTCTTAATACTTGCTCAGTGTAATCTTTAAGTCCAGCGTTATTCTTCTTTCCAAAATCAACGCAGTTTAAGGAAAAATTTTGGCGTTTCAATCGAGATCTTGTTTTCAATTTACAAAGTATAATGTAAACAATTTCCCTTGATTTGACCCCCAAAGTAAAGTTACATTAAATGATTGACAAATTAGGTCAGCACTTTGTTTTAAGTAGGACAAGTCTTTTGTTCGTCATACAAAAGGCATTGAAAGTACATCGAAAATAATAAACAATTTATTGTAATAAACTATCTTATTTGTTCTGCCCGCTTAAATTAGCCCTGCTATTTGCGAGTAGAGATGTCTTCACATTTTCCTTTAAAATACTAAAATAAGCTTGAACTTATAGATGTAGAGGAAAGTATGTGGGCACATGCGGGGGTCATAGAGATTTCGAATCGATTTGAAGACCAGTCTAAAAGATAAATTTCATATCTACGAGCGTTCTTTTACTATACTGTTTATTATGAGAAATATTATGTAGTTACATAAGACAATATTGTTGCAAGGTAAAAAAAGGAAACCCATAGCAGCTATTTTTGAAGTACGGAATTATCAGGTTCGTCACACGGAAAGTTTCACTAAGAAGCCTCGTTTGTAAGCAAAATTCTTCGAATTAGCACTTTTTGTGTGTGAGTATTCTTTCAATTCTACTGCCTTGGGAATTCATTTATGCAAAACTTCGCAACTTAGCAATACTAAAATGAGGCTTGGTGATGAAATTTGCTCGTTTTACGTAAACATGCATAAGGGCTCATACGGATCCTGGTATTTATTTTCTTTGCTTGTATCCTCCACTGGGCTGGTTCCATGATTCTGACTTTTAAAGTATCGAAATTGCACTACTGTTCAGCTCTCTGTGAAATGTTATTATTATACGAGAGATAAGCACCAAGACTAATTACTATTTTCAGTTATTTCGCTGACGTCGGAAAAGACAGCTGTCATGGATGTCCATAAGGATGTTCACTATCAAGTTAAACACAGATTGTATATATCTTGGACACATAGTTAGTAATGCCTGGTCATTACAAGAAAACAGCCAATCAGAGTGCGCGTACTATTGTAGCCATACAATAAAGCGCAAACACTGTTTTTGTACAAAAGATTTCATTAACTGGAACTACAGTATATAGAATAACAATAAGTCAGAGTTACTCGTTACTCTATGAAGGACAGAGCGATAAACTAAAAAAACTAGTAGAGAAAACTTTATCTAACGAAATATTTAACAATAATTCCTCGAGTCCGAATGGGCTCTGAGTCAATAGCCTATGAGGCCGAAGGCCTCATGGGCTATTGACTCAGAGGCCATGAGGGCGACAGGAATAATTGTTTCAGTAAAATCCAACTAATTGGTCAAAAATATCAAGACAAAACAACTTTAGCTAGCAAAACGCGATTCAGCCGCCATTGTTTTGGTTTTCAAAGCCGGCTCTTCTCCCTACTAGTGAGCTATAACATATAGCCTAGTAGTAGCTCAACCAAACAGAACGCAGCATTAATAATAGACCACTAGTTGGATTTTACTAAAATATCATATGACTCTGAAGATTGGTTTTACATCATTAAATGCGAGGTGAAATATTAATCCGTATTCCATTCTTGGACCGTAAAATAAGTTCAGGAATCAGATCATCCACTGGGACAACGTTTGCGGGATCAAGGGATAACTTGAACCTGTGTTAAGAAAAGTAAAATAATCAATTTAAGAACAATATGGGTAGTTTCCCACCCATTTACAAACATTTCCTCCGCTGAAAAATTAGTGATGCTAATTTTTAGACCAGGGCCCGGTTACATAAAACGTCCGTAACAACTACGGGTACACGTACGTGTACTCGTAACTTAAGTCAGTTGCATGAAATCACTTAAGTGGTCCACTTAGGGAATTCACTTAAGTGGTTGCACTTACAATTTTCGTAAGTGTTCAGTTCCGCCACTTAGGTGTCATTTATGCAACAGAAATTGCGGGTGTTGCATAAAACTTTTCTTACGGGAAAAATAGCACGTAAATTTACGGGACCTATGTAGGTCCCGTATCGTTACTGTTTTTACTAAATTTAACGAGATCTTTTACTGAGAAGTGAAAAAAAGTATTTTCTTCACGTAATTCGTTCTAATGCGCTTTGTGAACGTTTGATGTTCCCTTTTGTGAAAAAAGAAGAACTATCAAATTTCATTTTTTGAGGGGCTTAAAAGTGTTCGAAACGACCTTTAACTTTCTTTACACCCACCGATGGTTAGCTTAAAAAAAGAGTGAATCATTTATAAAGTACTATATCAAGGTTACGTGTGCCCTTAAGTGAGCCCGTAAGTTACCACGTAAAACAGAAACTTACGAGAGTGCTTAGTGCGTTCCATGCAACACCCGTAAGTATACCCATAACGGATTTGTAACTGACCTACTTAAGTGAGCACTTAAGTGAGCACTTAAGTGCAGGTTTTATGCAACCGGGCCCTGGAGCGGGATCCAGAGTGATGTCCTTCTAAGTTAAGATACATTCACACAAAATACTTTGCGGAAAAGCAATTTATAGCGGAGCTTTTTAAAATTTTAAGTTGGGATGTTTAGGTGTTATGAGGCTTTTAAATCCAAATCGACTGCACTGGTTTCATTTGACAAGCCACCTCTCTGTTCCTACGCGTAAAAATTGTTTTAAGTTACACTTACTTGCGAAGAATCATGGCCACAGTAATCTTTACTTCGGTCAGGGCAAAGGTTTGGCCAATGCAGTTCCTGTGTCAAACAGAGACAAAAAAGGAATATTCGGCGTGTAGGAAAAATCCAGTTTGACAAATCATCGGGTGTTGGTACTAAAACACCGTCTAGGGGTGTGGTCTGTTATTATTTTGTTTTATTTCTGCTGTTTTTCCTTAACCAAATCATAAAACAGTATTCTCAACAAATTAAAAATGGACCTGTTAATCCATCAGGACCTCAAAATGGGGTGTGGAAAAACAAAGCTATAGATTGTAGCGTATTAACAGCCACAAAGGCAAATACAACCGAACGCTTTATTCGTTCAACTGCTCTGGTCGACACCAAGTCCACTCACTCACTCTACGCCCGCTCACACTGTTCAGTTCCCGTATGTCCTGCACGTACAACCGCTGTGCGCTATGCACTCTTGCTCATACAACCGCTGTACACTACATAGATGATGATGATGGGTCCTCCAGAGACTTTTAAAGAGAATGGGTACAAGCACTCGACGCAGAAAATTCTGGGATCGGTTTGTTGGGCAAAGAGTTAATTATACATGATTGGTTAAAAGAGCTGTGTCACGGCTACTGCGCATGCTTGCATTTGACAGATGCAAATGATGTAAACAAGGCCATGTTTATATGAGCCCATGTGAAAAGCCTACTCGCGCTGCGAAACCTTCATCGAGATTCTTTATTTTCGATGGAACCTTTGGCAGATTTTTGACAAATTTTGACCCAGTTTCTTCTCCTGTGCAACCGCAATACAATTCGAAACAAAACCTACTCAGTCTTCGTGCAGCGCGAAGATGGCCAGTCGTGTACGCTGGTCCATACGATAAAACTTCCCCGTTGGCGGTCAGTATACTTTTTAACGAGAATGTCTTAATTTTATTCAATTTTATTATTTTGATCTATATCAATATATGAATGCAATTTTAATTGGTTCGTGTTAGTGGTTAGCCCGTTGTCTGTTATAAGAACGTTTATTTTTTACTCTCAGTATACAAACGACGTTGGAAAAGCACTGCAAAGGTAAAACGCGAGAAAAAAATTCCTTGTTGAAAATAATAAATCTAAAAAAATCGTGATATAAATACAAAGTGACTGTTTTTAGTCTGATAAAACACTTCTGACTTGTTAGGACTAATGTTCTCGTAAAACGTAATCTAGAATAACAGGATTATTGAAAGAATAGACAGATTTTGGGAAAAGATTTTTAAACCGTTTCGATAATAAATTCATAGTTCGTGTTTCATCTAGTCTAAAACATTGTTTTACAGTAAAAATGTAATATAACAGCTTTAATCGGTTACTCCACGCGGGACAAAACAATTAATCCCTGTTCCTAAAGATGATTCGACTGGATTTTTAGGGGCAATACCTTTCACGTTTGTGTTTACGTGGCGATTAACAAAGATACAGGGAAAAATCAGCACATCTGCATTAGATAAAGATGAAAATTTGTCAATATCGATTAAATTTGGCAAAGTATCCTAATGATGTCAACATATTTTACTTGTAGTCATATATTTTGCTGGGCAGTGTTTGGTTTCCTTTCAAATCGTCCATGAAATCTTTTAAGAACGACCTTGGGTACGCGGTGTATGGGAGGGTTATTAGTGGACTTTTATTTATCACAGATTGGCAGAAGCATGATTTTATTACGATTTATTATAAAGTTCAGAAATAACTCGCTCTCTGATTGGATGAAAAAGCGTGTTTATGAGAGTATAAAACATGCTGATGACACTCAATCGCTTTGAAATAAAGTTTGTTTGGAAAATTAGAACCTAATGCGTAGACTTCTTGATCTTTGTCGTCTGTCGAATTTAGCTATCGGGAGTCGACTTAATGTGCCAATTTAACATACCCATCACCGCGACTACAGTGAGTTGCATTTTTACACCCTTTCGCGATAGGATATGGGCTCAGTTTGACCCCAATTCTTGTTAAGCCCGGGCTTAAAAGCTGGTTTTCATTAGCGACGGAGTCGGAGTCGTTAGCGGAGTCGTAAGAGCGCTTATGACCTAGTGAAAATCAGCAATCGGAGTCGTAAGCGGAGTCATAAGCGCCATGGAATCGGAGTCAGAAGAATCAGAACGTTTCCAATTTCTTCCGACTCCGCCACTTACGTCCCGCTTAGATCTAGTGACAACCAGATTGTCGGAGTCGGAAGCAGAAGAGGAAGAATAAACCAATCACAATGCACGTTTCCACGCTTTGTGATTGGTTTAGTTCTTCAGCTTCAACTTGCGACTCTGACGACCCAGTTTTCAGTTGATCGTAAACGACGGAGTCGTAAGCGTAATCAGAAGAATCAGAACGGTGTTTTCACTAGATCGTAAAGTTCTATACTTCTGATTAAGACTCCTACTCCGTCGCTAGTGAAAACCAGTCGTAAAAGGCAGCTACGCCGCTGGTCGTTTTATGAGGACCTTACAACTAAGAAAGCCACCGCGGTGCCCATTTTTCACCTCGCAAGGTCAGTGTCCACTGCGACTCTAAAGATACACGATTTTGGACTATGAGAAGGCAGAAAAAACATGACATGTGCAATTTTTAATACTGACAGAACGTCTGATCCTATGCTCTAGTGGCCACATCGAGAAAGTAACAAAGAAAGTCGCTTCTGGTATTGGGGCCATAAAACGAATAAGGCACCTTGTCCCTCAGGCGACCTTACAACTAATATATCAAGCTTTAATACAGCCACACTTTGATTATTGCAACATTGTTTGGGGAAACTGTGGGATAACCTTACGGAATAAGGTTCAAAAGCTACAAAACAGAGCAGTCCGTGTTTTGACCTACTCAAGCTATGACGTAGATGCTGGTCACCTTTTCAAACTTCTAGGGTGGAAAAACCTAGATTGCCAGCAACAATTTCAAAGAGCTACGATGGTTTACAGGTCTCTGCACGGGTTGGCTCCAAACTATCTTAGTTCTAAATTTGAAAGGCGAGAAGTCGCATATAACCTAAGGGACTCTGAAAATAAACTCAATGTTCCATTACCGCGCACAAACTATTACAAAAACAGCTTCAGCTATAGTGGCGCCATTCTCTGGAACAGTCTTCCTTGTAACTTTAGGGAAGCAGAGTCCCTTGGGCAATTTAAACGATTACTCAAAGAACTGTAAGGCACGGCATTCGTGGAAAGCAGTTTTTTTATTTAAATATTTTTACTATATTAGTATTAGGCATTTTTAAAGCTGACGAATTTTGTACCGTGGATAAATAAAGATTATCTATCTATCTATCTCTAGCCAGACACGCAGAGTAATACATCTTTACCGACCTTGAGGGTTATGGTCAGATATTCCTCATTGATACTGACTATGACAGTATTTTCTTTATCTGAAAGAGCCCGTCCCCCCACGAATTTTTCATCTCGGGCTTAAAAGATCATGAAAGATGCTATGTCCCTGATCACGAGTTACTGATTTTACATCATTAAATGCGGGTTGAGATATTAATCCTTATTCCATTCTTGGAGCGTAATATGAGTTCAGGAATCAGATCATCCACTGGGACGACGTTTGCGGGATCAAGAGATAACTTGAACCTGCGTTTAAAAGGAAAAGTAAAACAATCAATTATTTTAATTAATAACACCTTCGACTCGACAAGGAGAGAGATTGAAGCCTGCTTAAAACCTCTATGCTAACAACCATTTCAGTTAGTAGTGAGTCACAGAAATTTCGTCCTCCCAGGCAATAAACGTTTTTATCAAAGCGTTTGAAGCTGACTTGAGGTACCTGATTCGAAACTTCATTCACATTTAATTAAGGATTCATGAACCAGTAATGGGGACAGAAAGAATTTGGACAGTCAATGTCTCCCTCGATAGTACTTACGAGATTAGACTTGCACGCTACAAGTCGATCTCTCATAAGTTAAAAAGAGAGCGAAGCGAGCTTCATTGAGGAAATGTGAACGAAGCGGGCATCAATGAGGTCGCACGCAACCGAGCGAACGACGAAGTAGCGAGTCGACTATTGGTCAGTTGTCATGAAGTCATCGATGGAATTTCGCGCCAAACAGGTCCTTTAAAATGGCATAACCAACTATGAAAAAAGGAGAACTTTCAGAAAGTCTACTACGAGGTTTTTGACTTGGCCAGTTTGAGGTGTCACGTGACACTGGTTCGGAATTGGGTTGAACTGCACTTCGGGACTGTTTTGGGAGACAAAGTCATTTTGTCTCCATGCAGAAAAGCTGTTCTAAGTTCAACTCACTTGCGAAGTATCATGGCTACTGAAATCTTAACCTCTGTCAGTGCAAAGTTTTGTCCAATACAGTTCCTATATCAGACAGATGAAGAAATAGATTAGGTACGCAAGAGGGAAAATATTGCGGTTTGACGATTTATCGGGTGTCATTTAAATACTGCCAAGGGGTCTATTATTCTTCTGTTTCAACTTCTCTTACTAGTTTCCCCCTAGCCAACATAGACACGGACAACGAACTAAAAAAACAACAACAATAACAAACAACAAACAGCAATGGACCCCGACTCTGGCGTTTTACTTACACCCCATGCCATTCCATCGTATCGTGGATGTAGTAGTATAGAGCGCAAGGAATTATCCTTGTATCACTTATAATTTTATCTTGATTAGTCCACCTAAAACTAATTCTCACACCTCACAAGAAGAGTGGGTAAAAGCTGTGAGCCCAATGATCTCTTTGATCATTCTGATGGACACACGTAACTTATGACTGATTAATGGTTGCCCTTCTACAAGTGACTTATCATTTACAAACACTTTTCCACCCAAAAGATCCCAAAAATCGTTGCGCAAAAGCCTGTAGACATTCTTCCTTATAGTTCCTGAATTTGGGAATAGTGTTAGTTCGTATCCTTTGCAAACATTACCGGGCGTCACGAAGCTTTCAGAAGGAGTTGTCTAATTAGCTAACGAAACAACTTTTAAGTCATGATGGACTAGGGACAAGTATCGGCTGCCAGACACCTAAGAGCGGATCAGACATGGAGTGGAAAGGAAGGGACATTTATCCAGCTCTTCAGATTATGGAGAGGGGAGGGTGTTATCGGCTATTTAGGTCTCGTTCTTGTCTAAAAGTAAGGGCTTCCCTCAAGGTCTATCCCTCAGGCCTCTCCTCACCAGGAACGCGACTGAGATCAGAGAAAACATAGTTACGGAGCTCAACAAAAAAACTTATCAAACACGTAGTAACAGACGACTGCCATAACGCTTACCTTGGGCCTGCTGAGAAAGGAATGAAAGCATATGGCGACATGTCCTTTGCGTTCTCATTTGTAAACCGCAATGGATCAAAGATCTACATCATAATATAAAATGGAAAAACGCAGTGAATGATTTTTTATATGGGCGATGTTGATTTTGATCTGCTCCAGAAAGTTACAGTCTCTTTTTGCAAAAGTAACCGTACTTGAAAAGTAATAAAACTTGCCTCTCGGCAAAAGTGGACAAAAACTTGAAAACGTGACTCAAAGCGAGATTGTAGATCCATCAGCGCAGTGTGGTTGCTAGATTACACGACATTTGACGGCTCTAAACCTAAAAGACTCCTTCTGGTTTCTTATTTGATAAAATTACATCGACCAACCTCTGGGTCCTTCCAAACGTGCGGGTTGTGATGAAGGGCGTATATATTTGTCATCACCCAAGAACCTGAAATGGAGCAAAATTGTCGTTCTTTAAAGGCGTTTGCCAAAAGACTAAGATTTAAATCAGAAGTGAAAATTACGAAAGGCAGACGAGTGTAGTCAAAGCGAGCAAATTAAGTTATCTAGCTAAAAATCGTAAGAAAAGTGTTCGAGAGTTTTCTTCATAAATTTACATTTTACACTCGAAAGATGTAGAACTTTATGATATTTACAACCCTTGTATAGCAGGGCTTAAAATTGGCAAGACCTGTTGCAATTGTGTCTATATACCTTCAGGAACAAGATGACCGTCTATTTCATAAGTCTTGTCCAAAGATCGACTTATCATGGGGACTGGGGCAAACACCCTGCATGACTCCTTAATGCACATGAGCATGTACTTCAGTTTGCTCAGATGTTTCCTGATAAAACAATCAGAGCATGCGCAATTGAAAGTAGCCAGAGTAATATTCACATTGCAAGAGCCAGCCCTATACTCGTTTGTAGCAAATTAAAGGAGTGGTTATAGGAATTAACGAAAATGCCTAAGTAGAGGGCCCACACAGGTTGTTCCGGATACGGGATCTGCCCGGAATGCGGGAGCTTGGGATTTTAAAGCAAAATGGAGGCGAGATTCGGGATTGAAATTATGCACTGGACACGAAATGCCGAGAATAACCATTCGGGAGTACGGGATTAAAGAACCCTATTGGTGGCACTGATGACCCTCTGAGTAGCAGTATAAGAAAGATGGTAAGCACGCTCGAGAAAAACGCAAATTACACCCAGGCTACATGGAGGTCTCTTGGCTATCCCTGGTAGAAAAGTCAGCCAAATGAGTTTAGGGAGGTGTAGCTGAGGGTCTGTGAGAAGCCTGGAATAAGCTCTAGAAGAACAAGCACTAGGGTCGTGAGACGCGAAAATGAGAAAGTTGTGAGCTAAATTTTCAGCACAGAAGGTTAGGTCACTTCTTTTAATGACTGTTACTAGCTACGTTCTTACCAGTCTAAGTCTTGATTGAGCCCAACCACTTCATCGACTTCCTGTCGGCATTTCTCTTGATGTTCGGGATATTTTGCTAAGTTGTATAAAGTCCATGCAATAACTAAGGAAAAGTTTAAGGTAAATAGGGATCAATGGGTCCTTTTTGAGGTTTTGATAGGCGTGAGGTGATTCCCCCGTAGGGGAAATGCTCAAAATGTAGTCCTGAACATGATTACTATGGTAATAATAATGATAATGATGATGATGATGATGTCGATGATTATGACTTTGATGATAATGATGAGGAGGAGCATAAGGAGGAGGAAAATGGTAGTGATGATACTGATCATGATTACAATAACAGTAATGAACAGTAAGACGCAAACATTACATGAATCACTAAGACCAAAATATGAACGACATCAAGGCAAAAAAAAATTAAAACCATCTCTCTGGTATACATACCACTAGCAGTTGTGTCGTGACCAGCAAACATGAACGTCATAACTTCACCAACAATTTCTTCATCGCTCAGCCCTTTTCCATTCTCATCCTGAGACAAAGAGAACAAAATAGCTAATATCCCTTTAATTGTCACTGCCAAACAAAAACTGAAAGAAGTCACTGCAATTAAGTATTGACCTTCCCAAGTGTGAAAAATCAAACTGGCTCAGAAAAAAAAAATGATTAAAGAGTTTTCGCGATGCATAGCGTAAAACTCATGAAGAAATGTTACATCAGATGCACCGTAGCCGGGCTAAATTGAAAAGAGGCAAAATTAATGTGCAAGCTCTAAGAGAGCGAGCTTTTTAATTATGGGAATCTGGAGGTATCCCCTTTCGAAAATTTTGGAATTACAAACTATGAAACGGTAGTTTCAACATTTTCCATTCAGTGATTCTCAGTGAATTCTAGACAAAGCTAGCAACTTGTCTTGCGTCATGTTAGTCAGGGTCAGTGCATCAACAAAATAAGAGTTGCCTACTTAAAGGGCTGTATTTATATGCCTTTCCCCAAGTCTTAGGACTGATTGGGGAAGAACGAATGAACTGTAAATGTCTAAAGTTGGATAGTAAAATTTTCAATGAACAAGATCCCTCTTACCTTAGCCTTCAAAAGAATGTCGAGAAAGTCCAAATGTTTCTTTTCCCTCAGTTTTTTATCTTCCTGCTGGGGAAAGAGAAACTCTTGTATATTAGAGAACCGTTAAACAAAGAAACGGTTTCGACAAGTTGTATTCTGAAATGACACAAATGATTGAATTTGTACTCACATTGTCTTGGTGAAGAGCTTTTCTTCTAGCTTTGACAATTTGGTGTGCTTTGGCATTCGCAAAATCACAATTCTTGAAGAACTTTCTTCCTTCGGGGGTTAGTTTATAGACTTCGTCCGCATGATGAAGAGGATTCCTGTTATATTAGAAAATCGTACGTGTAAAACCACCATGGATGAGTAAAAAAATCAAAGAATCGCCCTATGCAAGGTTATCAGGATTTCGCAATGGGAGAAATTTTTTTAGTTTTAGAATCCAGAATTGCGTTCAGGAAATCTGGAATCCTGCTATTGCAATCTGGAATCCCGGATGCACGTTCCACTGCCAAGGAATACGAAATCCAGTTCCTGGATTCCAGAATCCACAGTGTGGAATCCAGGATCCAAGACTTACATGGGGCGAAACGAAGAAATCAGTATCGTAGATGTTCAATGTCAAATATGTAGGCTGAAATCATGACGTTTGCTAGTTAAAGTGATTTTTCGTCAAGACAGTATCAAACTTCCTACCTGGCACTCCCCTCCCTTCCTTTTGATAGTCTCATCTTCAACTCCCCGCCCCCACCCATAGAGTCTAGGAAGGTTGGTCAATTACAGTGTAGAGTGCAGATCCAGACCTTGAGATAAGGGGGGTGGAGGCGGGGGCGGTCATCTAGACCCTTAGATGAGGGGGCCTGGTCTCTAAAAAAAATTTTTCCTGGGCCCCCCGGGCCCCTCCCCTGAATACGCCACTGAATTACCTGTTAACCAAACTTGAAAAAGTTAACCATATCGGGCCCTACCCCACGCGGGAGAATATCTTATACCAGCGGTGCATGTGTATAAAAAGAATAAGGGACTTGTCAGAAATTAGCAAGGGGGGAGGGGGGGTGTGAATTTTAAATTTGGGCTCGGAAATGAGGTGACCCACCCCTGCAATGGAAGTGAAATTTGCTAACCCTCCCCTTGACCTTGGCTTAAAATATAATGACCCTCCCCCTCTTGTAAAAAATGATAAAATCTAGTTCTTGCAATACACTAGGTTGAGTCCCTATTATGAAAGCTCAAAATATATTTCTAATCTGTTCTTTGTAATGCCATATACATACATTTTAGATGAACCTACATGATCACGGACACATATTTGCATGACCCTCCCCCTTTTAACCGCCCATTTTTCATGACCCCTCCCTTTTCTGCAGTCTCAAAAAGTTGTGACCCTCCCTCTGTTTCCACCCCCCTCCAGTCCCTAAAAGCGAACAAAGAGTTAAATGAATGTCTTACATGAGCCTGTTAACAATCTGATTTGAAGCTTCATAGACAACAGCGATATATGGGTCTTGGTCCCTAAACAAGAGAAGATAAAAAGCACAAACAACTTTAGCCCAGTTAATTTATTGTTAACGTCAGAAATAACACACGCTTAAGGCTCATTACTTACTCTTGTGTTTGACAGTTGCTTACGTAACTATGAGCACATTTGAGGATAGAGTCCAGCGTCATCAAACTCACGTGATGGAACAACTCCACCTCACCCCTCCCCTGCGAGGACCACTTTTTCTGAAAGAAACAATTAAAAAATGGAGGTAATGCAAGCTACAATTCTCGTGACACTTAACGCATTTGTTGCAACAGTATCCGAATTGAGATCATACCAAGAGAACATCTGTAGAGTCCTGAAAAACCCGAACGTATGGTTTGAGAATTTCGAAGTGAAAAGCTGGAGTAAGAAGCCTTCTCATACGGAACCATCTTTCTCCTTCGGATGTCACAAGACCATCCCCTGGGAAAAAAAACCAGTAGGGTATCTGATTAAAAGCCGAGTAGTCTAGAACTCGTAAAGTGTGTCTGACCCAGAATAGCTACTGGGCTGTACATTTTGCCCTGTTGTTAAGTGGGGGGAAGACAAGGGGTGGGAGCCCGGATGGGAGCCAGGGAGGGATACGGTAGATGGGAGAGGACAGGGCGGGGATGAAAGTTCTAATAGCTTGGGAAGCGGGAGAGATAGAGGGGAATTACTGATCAGTGTTTAAATGACGAGCGGAAGTAGGTTGGACCCCCTTACCCCCTCCCAATATTTACCATTTTGTACATGGTGGATGTTTTAACTTTTGAGTCTGAATGAGATCCTGAACTGTGACTATTCAAATGAAAGCTTTTCAGTACTTACTACTTTTTAAGGGGCTTTAGGAAGGATTATGGAAGGGGAGCTTATATACGAGGGGACTATAACCGGACTAGCGTTTCAAAGAGCTACATAGCGGTGCTGATTCAAATACTTTTTGAATTTACTCGCTTTTCTAAGCTTCAAAATGTCGTAAAAATCAAATTTCAATACATGCCAGCGGGGGGCTTCTATCCCTGGGGCTTATAAGAGGGGAGGGCTTCTATCCCTGGGGGATTTTAACCGGATGTATATTTTTTGTTGTTTACAGGTAAATGGGCCTATAACTGGTGGGGGGGGGGGCTTATAAGTGGGAAGGGCTTCTATCCCTGGGGGATTTTAACCGGATGTATATTTTTTGTTGTTTACAGGTAAATGGGCCTATAACTGGTGGGGGGGTTATAAGTGGGAAGGGCTTCTATCCCTGGGGGCTTTTAACCAGATGTATATTTTTGTTGTTTACAGGTTGATTAACTGGCAGAGAGCGAGAGGGGTGCTTATGAGGGGAAACAGTGTTTTTCAGTAGGTAAAGATGCACATAATAGGTAGGTAAAGCTTAATTTTTTGGTTCTGTTTTGTTGAGATAGTATAGGAAACAGGATTATAGAAAACTTATAGCCCTACCAATCAAAACTGTGTAGGCTAACCCTTACCAAGAAATGGTCTGACAAAATTATACACAAATCTTTCTTTGGGCGCATTGCTTGACTGAATCACTTTGATGGTGTCCGGGTGACAGATGATCACCGCTGACCTGAGAGGCCCAAACCAGAGCCTATAACACGTCTTAAACTCAGCTGCACACTTCACGTGGAATTTAAGTCCAGCTCCATCGAACCGCGCCTGTCGACAGAAGAGTCCATAGAAATTAGTAATATGACTATATCGCCACACGTGAGGGAATCTTGGATCTTGGATTCTGGATTCCCGGTACTGGATTCCGAACTCCTTGTCAGTGGAACTTGGATTAAGGATTCCAAACGTTAGTGGGATTCCGGATTCCTTGAGTTGAATTCCGCCGTTGTTCCACAAGCAGAAACTTCCTGACTTCCGGAATCTAGATTGCCTCATATGGGGCGAGAAGAGTCATTCTGGGGGGTGTACTCCTGGGAATTCTCCGTAGTTCCCTCGAAAACCACACCCAATTCCAGACCAAAATGGGCAAAGTGTATATCCGTTTTCAGACCAAAACGGCACAAAAACCCTACCCGATGGGGCGGCACATACCTATATAGCTTATCTAAGGGAGTACTCCCCCCGCCCGAGTCATTACTCAAAGTGATAATATTACCCGTTTTGGGTGATGGAAGTGAAGCTTCTCCAATTCATAAGAGACGCTCCCAAAAAACTTTTAAAAATGATTTATGACGAGCGTTTCGTAGATAACTTATTAAAAATAATGCTAGTACATTTCATGACTCGTGACGACCGTTCAAAGGTGTTCGATGACCTTTTAGAATGGCAATACTTTTGTGAGATCGGCGTCTTATCTACTCTACTCTGTGATAGGCCTTTAAAAGTAGCGAATTCGAAGTTAGGATTATTAACTGATCATACTTTGGAAGTTCTACATCCTGCAGACACCATTTTCATTACAAAAGCGTGCCCATTTTAGGCTTAAAAGGACTAAAAACAATACCCTTTATGGAGTGACACCCAAGATATCTCAGTAATTTGCCTTGGGTGCGGTGTTGACTGGTCACTCAATGGTAGACCCCCTACCCTCCCCCCCAACCACCCCTCCCTTGCGACGCCTCTTTTCTTAAATCCAAGTGCTTTTTATTTAAAGGGGCTATGTCACCCCACACGCATGCGCGAGCCAATGAAAACAAACTTGAAAAAGTTGGCCTGTCTTTTTCAAGTTCTGTCGGAGATTTTGGAAGGCTGTTTTTATCTGTCTAAATCTCAGCCATCGTTCGATAGTTAGCGAAGTTTTGTATTAAGAATCATTCTATGGTGATTACAGAATAATTTTTTGGCGTTATTTTGAAATTGTTTGCCTGTGGAATGTTTTTACGTGGATTTACTGTGTCCTCTTATCAGCGGCCGTTTTAATGGCAGAGTTAATGACGGGTACTCCACAATGAGTGATGGAATCTTTGATGGAATCTTCCCTATAGTTCACAGAACCTTTCTACTGAGTTATTTTAGAGGTTGCTGGCTCTTGGATTTTTCTTGTGCTCAAAGTATGTGGACATATAATGAAGCGGCTATCGAGTTGGCGGCGGCCGTTTTTGGTAAACGATTACATTAGCATCAGGACATGAGTTTCGTGACCAAACTAAACTCCTGGCGAAGGAAACATTATAGAATTAGGCTAGATTTCTTCTTGTATTTCTCTGGATTCACGGCAAAGATAAACACGACCGTTTGCTCGTCCAGATTGTTCTCAACGGACTTACAGAGGCACCTTAGTACGAGTTAGATCCTGTAAATGCCATGTTTTTGAACTGTTTGTATTCGAGCATATTTTTGGAAAATAGCAGAGTTTACTTTCCCTTTTTATCAACGGACTGCTTATAGTGGAGTAGTACACCAATGATGCTTGGTTCTGTTTTTCTCGACGTCGCAGTGATTCGGCACGATCGAACAATTTTGCGCGATAATGTATGTTTCCCTAAGATCAAAACAGAGACTTGATGTCTCTTGTTCTATCAGCATCTAAATTATAAAATCACTAGCGACAGACAAGTCTAATTGTTAATGATTTGAAACAGTCTCGGTCTTTACCTTCGGTCTAGCGTCTTTTGTAGCTCGTTTGTAAAATACAACTTCGATTTATTTTGTTGAATAAGACAATATGCTGTTGTTGAATTTTTGTTTGCGCACTATTTTATGAATGGCATGCGTTTTTACCCCAAAACTACAAGTAAAATTGTCGTCACAATCATATTCTTGATCTAGCATAACCAGAGAAGAAACGTTCCGTAAATTCTATCGAAATTTCCCTTATCTAAACCCATTTCGCTTGTTAATCTCTCTAAATTCGGAGCCTTGGTAGCCTGAGTATCAGGCGTTTCTGGGGAAAAGGGGAAAAATGGAAGTCTCCCCCTCCCCCTCCCCCATCTAAAATCTCCTCTTCCGTAGCCCTGTAGGAAGGCCTGATACTCAGGCTAGAGCCTTGGACGTGACAGAGAACATGGAGAAAGTCACGCGTTAAAAACAATAGAATTTTGACAGTTGAAAGTAATTTGCATAACCTCAGAGCGCACATGGAGAAAGTCACGCGTTAAAAACAATAGAATTTTGACAGTTGGAAGTAATTTGCATAACCTCAGAGCGCATGCTCTCCAGCTGACATAGCCCCTTTAAGTGACTCGAATCTCTTTTAATCTCTCTTTGCCACCAAATCATTGGGCTCATTTCTGCTTTGTCAAATTCTGATCCTTCACGAGGATCGATTCTGATCTTCATCGCCAAATTCTGATCCTGATTCGAGTCTTAACGAGTCTGCCCCCAAACAACCTAAAAGGATATGATCTCAGTGTGATATCAAGTCAGAGCGCAATTAATTATGGATGATTAGAGAGTATTAGAACTTACGTAGTCAAGGTGTCCCTTTAGCCAGTGCCCCGGTGGGCCAGGAATACCAGCAACCGATTTTGCAGCACGCCTCCGTTGTCGAAAACATCCGATCCCAAAATTGGCGAGGAAGTAGACTCCCACGGATAAAATTAATGCAATCCACAGTAAATATGACGCAGGTAAAATTCTCAAAACATCATCCGTTACCTCGACCATTTTGGAATTTAAGTGAACGCAAATCTTGGACTTCTTCTTAATTGCTCGGTGTAATCTTTAAGTTCAGCGTTATTCTTCTTTTCCAAAATCAACGCAGTTTAAGGCAAAATTTTGTGTTTCAATCAAGATCTTGTTTTGAATTTACAAAGTAGACAGTAGAGTAAAGATACGGCGACTACGGACTACGACTACGGATAAACATGCTACTGCGCATGATCAAAACCACGTGACTGTTCATTTTTTCCGCGTTGTTCTGCGGTCGGCATAAGCAGCGACGTTTTTGAGCGACGCACGTCAACCGGAAGTGAGGTATTTTCCCTCTTAACATGCCTTGATGATATAAAATTTGTATTCCTTAGCTTCTTTACTATTATAGAGGCGATTTGACTGAAAATTTGCGCGAAACCACCGTCAAAAAATGAAAAAAGGCCACTTCCGGTTGACGTGCGTCGCTCAAAAACGTTGTTGCTTAAGCTCCCTATTTTTTCTACCCACCAAAACCACATCGATCGAGAGGGACTGAGATTGAATTTTGGACACCTTGTGACATGTTATACCAACGAAAGATGCCTACGATGTTTTGATGTATTCGCCTCTCGGGGATTCGCTTTTCTTTTGCTTTGAGCTTTATTATATTTGGGAGATCTCGTTCTCGCCAACAAAGGATGAATATAAAGAGTATAACCGTATTTTGGCAAATATTGTACATGAAGTTTTAAAACATGTTTCAGATATTTCATGGGGCTACGTGATACACCTCTAGCCCCGAACAATGTTGGTGGTTTTGGTTGATGTTGACTGTCTACATCCACCAAAACCACTCGACCTGTCCAGACCGCACATATGAGCCCTTACCTATAACCATTATTAAATCTCCAAAGAGGCAAGGGTTTTAATTTTTTTAGGCGCATAGTTACGCTTCTGCAAAAAAACAGACGGACTTTTTAAGACCATAAAGCATAATAATTATTGACACAATGAAAATTTTAATCATGGTTTTTATATATGTTGTTACGGTTTACACATACAAAATATTTTATTTTTTTACTTTTATTATTATTATAAATATTATTATTATCATTATTATTATTTTTAATGTGCACTTGTGAGCAGCACGCTTACACTTCCAGTGAACATTTTCACTTGGAAGAACTTAGGAGAAACCATGCTCGCCCGGGGCAACGAAAATTTTCGTGCCCCGGGCAAGAATCGAACTCGCGACCTTCCAAATCCCATCATTCCCGAGAAACAAACAGGAAGATCATGGCGGGAATTTTAAGTTACGAACCCGCATTCGATAGGAAAATTGTTGAGAATGTTGGATATGTTTCTTCCGTCCAAGAGGCTTATAAACTTATCGCAGAGGTTGAAACGAGATCGACGATCAAGTTTTCCTGCTTCAAAGTGGACAAAGATTTTGCGAACATTGGTGTGTATCTAAGGTTCATCTATTACTGCGCTTTTCACAAACATGCGAATTCTGAAGTTCAAAAGCCAACTGACGATTGCGTTTTTCGCTGCCGTCAATTATCTTAACGGACCTCTTAGGAAACAAAACTTTACTTTAACGGGTTCAAAAGGTCAAGGTTTGTGATTTGTGATTGGTGGATTTCGATCCGTTTTGTGTGTTTCTGTGCTTCAAGGTTCGTTGCTTGTGATTGTAATTATGATTGACGGCAGCGAAAAACGCAATTGTGAATGTACATTCATAAGTCTTACAAATTTAGAATTTTGGAAGTCAATCATAAATAATTTTGGAAGTCAATATAGTCGATAAAATCCATGCCGGAAAGAATCCTCTTCTTGCAGGGTAGGGGGGCAGGGAATATAAAGCTCGCTGTAATTTACACCTAGCTACCCTGGTTCCAGAGGTTGTTCTTGATTTTTCTCGGCGTGAGAAAGAACGAGCACTTACCAGCGAGCTTGGCGATTCGTTCTCGCCGTCTTGCTCATTTCCAACATCTTACTAACATCTCAGTCATAATGCATGAAACCCCACCCCCCTGATACATTTTCTGCACCCCCACAACTGTGAAATGGACGCAGCCTTTCTCGAGCCTTTCTCTTTCTTTCAGCTTCCAGTACAGAAGTGTAGTACACTCTGCTGGTATAGTAGAATTCCGACTTCACTAACGCTAGAGACATGGTGGTTCAGGGGTTAGAACCTCCGATCTAGTATTCGGATGTTCGTGCATATCATCCGTACATTTTCCGAGAGTTCTTCGGTTACCACTTTTAAGTTATTCAAAATTCAATCTCAGTCCCTCTCAATCGATGTGGTTTTGGTGGGTAGAATATAATAGAGAGTGTTAGCATTGACAACGAGTACGAGTACGAGAACGAGTCCATCTCGTACTCGTACTCGTTGTCGTTCTTGTAAAAAATGTGTAAGCAGGACATACGAGTACGACTTCACGAAAAAAAATATTTTGGGATAGTATTGTCATTTTAGGCGCCATTTTCAAATGATTCGGCATCTACCCCTGAGGCTTTCTTTTCTTCTTGATCTTTCTTCTCAAATTCCTCCATAAGCTTGTTAAATCTATCCCTACACGATCGATCTGTTGTCTTGAAATCGTGCTGCGTGTTGGTATTCAGGTTCTCTGCAATTACTCTCCACACTCTCCCTCTATCTGACTGTTTCTGATTGTAGGGTTCTAGATGTAAGACTTCACGTAAAAGACAAGAATCATGCTGACGCTTCCATATAAAAAGTTTTCTTTTCCTGAAACATAAACAGAAAGGGCATAAAACCTTAGTGAGACCGTAATTCTTAGGTTTATGTAAACAATGCGACCTCTTGATGTGACAAACTTGGTTCGTACGGACTATGCTCTGTAAGAAATAAAATGATGTGAATGAAAAATAATTAAAGAAACAGTAATACTTACGTCTCTGGTTGATTCGTCTTGAAAGAAGCTGTAAAAAAAACGAAAAAGGTTAAGTTTATGAGCACGCTAGACGGAGACCATGAGAGCTTCTCATATCTAAAATTTTGACACGATGTTGACAGAAAGGAAGGAGGATTAATGTGCTATTCAGAACAAAAAAATGCCCCAAAATACCATCCTAGGCCTTCGATGAAGAGTTTAAGTGCTTATGGGACACACCTATGGCAGAGATAACCCGCTACAAAAGATAAACTTTACCTTTCAAAAACTCGTTCTTCGCACTTCGAGTTTTGGAGGAAATCTCGTCGTGGAACGAGTTGCCAGAACGAGTTGAGCACGTGTTCTGAGCAGAACGCATGCGCATTATAGTCAATGGTAAAATCTCGTTCTCGTAGTCCTACTCGTTGTCAATGCTAACACTCTCTAGTATACTGTACACAGTTTCCCTTGATTTGACCCCCAAAGTAAAGTTACATTAAACGATTGACAAATTAGGTCAGCGCTTTATTTTAAGTAGGACAAGTCTTTTGTTCATCATACAAAAGGCATTGAAAGTACAACGGAAATAATAAACAATTTATTGTAAAAAAACTATCTTATTTGTTCTGCCCGCTTAAATTAGCCCTGCTATTTGCGCGTAGAGATGTCTTCACATTTTCCTTTAAAATACTAAAATAAGCTTGAACTTATAGATGTAGAGGGAATTATGTGGGCGCAAGTGGGGATCATGGAGAATTTATCGTCGAGTTTCGAATCGATTTGAATACAAGTCTAAAAGATAAATTTTTATATCTACAAGCGTTCTTGTACCCCTGTTTATTATAAGAACTATTAAGTAGTTACATATGACAATATTGTTGCAAGGTAAAAAAAGGAAACCCATAGCAGCTATTTTTGAAGTACGGAATTATCAGGTTGCGTCATACGGCAACTTTCACCAACAAGTCTCGTTTGTAAGCAACATTCTTCGAATTGGCACTTTTTGTGCGTGAGTATTCTTTCAACTCTACTGCCTTGGGAATTCATTTATGCAAAACTTCGCAACTTAACAATACTAAAATGAGGCTTGGTGATGAAATTTGCTCGTTTTACGTAAACATGCATAAGGGCTCATACGGATCCTGGTATTTATTTTCTTTGCTTGTATCCTCCACTGGGCTGGTTCCATGATTCTGACTTTTAAAGTATCGAAATTGCACTACTGTTCAGCTCTCTGTGAAATGTTATTATTATACGAGAGATAAGCACCAAGACTAATTACTATTTTCAGTTATTTCGCTGACGTCGGAAAAGACAGCTGTCATGGATGTCCATAAGGATGTTCACTATCAAGTTAAACACAGATTGTATATATCTTGGACACATAGTTAGTAATGCCTGGTCATTACAAGAAAACAGCCAATCGGAGTGCGCGTACTATTGTAGCCATACAATAAAGCGCAAACACTGTTTTTGTACAAAAGATTTCATTAACTGGAACTACAGTATATAGAATAACAATAAGTCAGAGTTACTCGTTACTCTATGAAGGACAGAGCGATAAACTAAAAAAACTAGTAGAGAAAACTTTATCTAACGAAATATTTAACAATAATTCCTCGAGTCCGAATGGGCTCTGAGTCAATAGCCAATGAAGGCCTCATGGGCTATTGACTCAGAGGCCATGAGGGCGACAGGAATAATTGTTTCAGTAAAATCCAACTAATTGGTCAAAAATATCAAGACAAAACAACTTTAGCTAGCAAAACGCGATTCAGCCGCCATTGTTTTGGTTTTCAAAGCCGGCTCTTCTCCCTACTAGTGGGCTATAACATATAGCCTAGTAGTAGCTCAACCAAACAGAACGCAGCATTAATAATAGACCACTAGTTGGATTTTACTAAAATATAATATGACTCTGAAGATTGGTTTTACATCATTAAAAGCGAGGTGAAATATTAATCCGTATTCCATTCTTGGACCGTAAAATAAGTTCAGGAATCAGATCATCCACTGGGACAACGTTTGCGGGATCAAGGGATAACGTGAACCTGTGTTAAGAAAAGTAAAATAATCAATTTAAGAACAATATGGGTAGTTTCCCACCCATTTACAAACATTTCCTCCGCTGAAAAATTAGTGATGCTAATTTTTAGACCAGGGCCCGGTTACATAAAACGTCCGTAACAACTACGGGTACACGTACGTGTACTCGTAACTTAAGTCAGTTGCATGAAATCACTTAAGTGGTCCACTTAGGGAATTCACTTAAGTGGTTGCACTTACAATTTTCGTAAGTGTTCAGTTGCGGGTGTTGCATAAAACTTTTTTTACGGGAAAAATAGCCCGTAAATTTACGGGACCTATGTAGATCCCGTATCGTTACGGTTTTTACTAAATTTAACGAGATCTTTTACTGAGAAGTGAAAAAAAGTATTTTCTTCACGTAATTCGTTCTAATGCGCTTTGTGAACGTTTGATGTTCCCTTTTGTGAAAAAAGAAGAACTATCAAATTTCATTTTTTGAGGGGCTTAAAAGTGTTCGAAACGACCTTTAACTTTCTTTACACCCACCGATGGTTAGCTTAAAAAAAAGAGTGAATCATTTATAAAGTACTATATCAAGGTTACGTGTGCCCTTAAGTGAGCCCGTAAGTTACCACGTAAAACAGAAACTTACGAGAGTGCTTAGTGCGTTCCATGCAACACCCGTAAGTATACCCATAACGGATTTGTAACTGACCTACTTAAGTGAGCACTTAAGTGCAGGTTTTATGCAACCGGGCCCTGGAGCGGGATCCAGAGTGATGTCCTTCTAAGTTAAGATACATTCACACAAAATACTTTGGGGAAAAGCAATTTATAGCGGAGCTTTTTAAAATTTAAGTTGGGATGTTTAGGTGTTATGAGGCTTTTAAATCCAAATCGACTGCACTGGTTTCATTTGACAAGCCACCTCTATGTTCCTACGCGTAAAAATTGTTTTAAGTTACACTTACTTGCGAAGAATCATGGCCACAGTAATCTTTACTTCGGTCAGGGCAAAGGTTTGGCCAATGCAGTTCCTGTGTCAAACAGAGACAAAAAAGGAATATTCGGCGTGTAGGAAAAATCCAGTTTGACAAATCATCGGGTGTCGGTACTAAAACACCGTCTAGGGGTGTGGTCTGTTATTATTTTGTTTTATTTCTGCTGTTTTTCCTTAACCAAATCATAAAACAGTATTCTCAACAAATTAAAAATGGACCTGTTAATCCATCAGGACCTCAAAATGGGGTGTGGAAAAAAAATTTGCCACAAAGGCAAATACAACCGAACACTTTATTCGTTCATCTGCTCTGCTTGACACCAAGTCAATTCACTCACTCTACGCCCGCTCACACTGTTCAGTTCCCGTATGTCCTGCACGTACGACCGCTGTACGCTATGCACTCTTGCTCATACAACCGCTGTACACTACATAGATGATGATGATAATTGACCCTCCAGAGACTATAAAAGAGAATGGGTACAAACATTCGACGCAGAAATTTCTGGGGTCGTTTTGGTGGGCAAAGAGTTAATTATACATGATTGGTTAAAGGAGCTGTGTCACGGCTACTGCGCATGCTTGCATTTGACAGATGCAAATGATGTAAACAAGGCCATGTTTATATGAGCCCATGTGAAAAGCCTAATCGCGCTGCGAAACCTTCATCGAGATTCTTTATTTTTTGATGGAACCTTTGGCAGAAATGAGCCTTTCTTAATGGCTGCCTTGAATAACATCAACCAATCCCACACAACTGACACCACAAGAGACCTACAGTTCAACATTGGACCTGATCATATAGCTAGATAGAGCGATTTTCGTATGACCTTGAAAAATGGTTTCAGTAATTGTTCGTTATTTGTTTCATCTGCCAATGGATGAAAAAATCTAAACATGGTGCCTTCATTTCCCGCCAAAGAAAACCCTAATATGGAGAAGGCATCGTTCGATTAGCCAATCGTGTTGCAGTATGACGTCAAAGCGAAGTATCGGTTGATTTCTAGAAAGTTCTCGGGCATAAAGTTTTTTCCACCCGAGCGTTTGCTTAACCAACCAAAAGCGACGCTCTTTTGTATCCGTTCGATAAACCAATTAAATCGCTCTATTTCTGTTTATTGGTTGTTTCTGTTTTGTTCGCGCGTTTTCATTTCAAGGTCATACGAAAATCGCTCTAACTCACGGTGAAGCTTACCTTGGTCCGGCCGAGAAAGGAATGAAAGAATATGGCGACATGTTCTTTGAGTTCTCACTTGTAAAGCGCAATGGATCAAAGGTCTACAGAATATCAAACAAAGACAGAAAAATAATTAGTGACTTTTGATATAGGCGATGTTAATATCGATCTGAGCTGCCTACTTTCGCCAAAAAGATAGTTGCGGAAGCACCTTCGCAATATGAGGCCTTAACTTGTAAGTACTTAATGAAAACGGTTAAAACTTATTTTGCACTGAGATCAGACCGTGACTGAATCTTAAAAACGTAGTAATGAGTTGTTTTTACAGATTGACAGTTTATGTTAGCTGAAAAAATTGCTCAAAAGCAGTTGTTTGGTCACTTCCTTGTTTCTCAAAGGAGCTACATCCCTTCATCTTGTAAGTGGAAGGCTGGTTGTTAGATTACAGGAAAACTTTGGAAATTGAATTATAGTGATAGTGGTGGCCCTTGTATCCCATCCAATCAAGCTTAAACGTGTCCCCAAATTATTAGCATAACTACGTTAAAAGGCTAGCACAGAACTGATAAAATACAGCGACCAACCTCTGGGTCTTTCCAAACATGCGGGTTGTGATGCAGAGCGTATGTATTTGTCATCACCCAAGTACCTGAAAAGACAAATCACGGTGAAGGATTTTGCAAGGTCGTATTTGTCGTGGTTTGGCACATCGAGGCATGCCAAAGCGAAAAAGCACGGAGATTGAAATCTGACGTTTAAATAAAAATACAATTATGACAATGGATCGTTCTCCATAGTTATTATAACTGTTCGATCTTTCGTTTGGTGTGACTATTTTTGTAATATTGTGATTTGACTTTTATCTATATTTTAAATCTTTTTTATTTTTATTTTTTCATTTTTAATTTTTTACAGGACCTGCATTGATAGCAGTTTTTTTCTTAAAACTGAAGCAGCAATCCTGCATAAATATGTTTAAATTATTATTATTAGTTACTAGTCCCCTGCACTAATTATTGTTTCATATATCATGTCTTGTTCAAAGGAATATGATCCTCCTTGTCTGTCTTTACTTGAAGGTGCAACTGACTTGTAAGCAACTTAAATCCTTTAAGAAGGTATAATCAAAGATGACACTTGCTAGAATCCTGTTTAAGTAATACCCTTGTAATCTTGCAGAAGTGATTTTTCCTTTCTTGGAGATTTTGCCACGAGGATAGATTTCGCAAAACTGTCGAATCCGAACGCATCACGTCTTTGTAGGAAGTCTCAACCTGCGTTCCAAAAGTGTGGAACTTACGTTACATTCACGAGGCATCGGACGAATTTTCGGCCGGCTGAAATGTTTGACCGGACTCTTCGTTCACTTTCTATATTTTCACTTCCTTCACACGGAAATTTGAACGGCAAGGCGTCTAATTTTTTGTACAGTTGAGATGGTTCCGTGGAAACAAAACACCTAAACTCGGGAATTTTCAACCGGGCAAAATTCCTCCGTTACCGCGTGTGAAGGTAGCCTTAAGGGCTACTAACTCTTCTCTATTAGCGGAGCTTGGTGTGCCTGCGGCCGCTACCTTCAGGTATAAGATGACCATCTATTTCATAAGCCTTGTCCAGAGTGCGACCGGTCATTGGCACTGGCGCAAAGATCCTGCTTGACTCCTTAATACACATGAGCAAGTATTTCAGTTTTCCCAGCTGTTGCCTGTTAAAAACATCAGAACAAGCGTATTCATAAGGTACCAAGAGAAAACAGCCGACAGTTTCAGACGCCACCACTGGTTTCCCTGCGAAATGACTTTTGAGAAACGAGCGCAGAAATCCCATACTAATGACGCGTTACTAACCAGATCTGAGTGGTGCTTCTCATTGGTTGCGCCTCGAGGGAAATCTACTTCAACTAATCAGAAGCACCACCTAAGTCTGAGTAATGACACGTCATCAGAATGGAATTGCTGCGCTTCTTTCTCAGACGTCATTTCTGGGAGAAAAAAATGGAGGAGGCGTGGACATTTTTTGGCAGCAAAATGCATTTCGCAGAGGCAGCGAGCGTAAGACTTATCAAACCGCCTCGACAGCACCTGCAAAAGGGGTGCAAGACCCGTAAGATTTTGAACTGACTTCTCTGTCCTCGTCTTAGGTAGACACATTATAACAAGTCCAGTCTCTCTAATTCTCGTCAGCCAGGACGTTTCACCCCGTACTGATAAAGAAGAAACCTTTAACTCGGCTTGATCGCTACAAAAAACTACTAACCTACCTTTAAACCTTAGATATGGTCACATCTCATGGTCTGTAAACTGGTGTGAGAGAAACCCTTTGGTATAATTATCATGATATGCTGGGCATAACTATTAGCTCTTACCAGTCTAAGTCAAGATTGTCTCCTAAAACTTCATCCAGTTCCTGTCGACATTTCTCTTGATGTTCAGGGTACTTTGCAAAGTTGTATAAAGTCCAGCAGATCACTAAGAAGACATTTAAGGTAAAAATTGAACGGTGAGTCTTGCTTTTAAAGCGATGAACCTGAATCATTGCCATTAAGCATGAGGAGATTCGCAACATGATGATGATAATGACGATGATAATGGTGGCGGTGGTGGTGATGATGATAGTAGTGATGATCGTGATGGCGGTGGTGCTGGTGCTGGTGCTGGTGGGGGTGGTAGTAGTGGTGGTTGTGGTGATTATGATGATGATGATGGTGATGTTGATGATGATGATAATAATGATGATGATAGTGATGGTGATGGTGGTGGTGGTGGTAGTGGTGATAATGGTGGTGATGATGATTGTGGGGGACGTGGTGGTAGTGGTGGTGCTGGTACTGGTGATGGTGATGGTGGTGGTAGTGGTAGTGATGATAATGGTGGGGACGTGGTGGTAGTGGTGGTGGTGATGATGATGATGATGATGACGATGATGATGATGATAATAATGATGGTGGTGGTGGTGGTGGTGGTAGTGGTGATAATGGTGGTGATGATGGCGGACGTGGTGGTAGTGGTGGTGGTGATGATGATGATAATGACGATGGTGATGATGGTGATGATGATAATAATGATAATGATGGTGATGGCTGTGGTGGTGATGGTAGTGGTAGTGGTGGTGGCGGTGGTGGTGGTGGTGATGGTGAGGGTGGTGGTAGCGGTGATGGTGATGATAATGATATTGATGACTATGATAATGGTGATGGTGATGATGATGATGATGATGATGACGATGGTGGTAGTGGTGGTGCTGGTACTGGTGATGGTAGTGGTAGTGATGATGATAATGATGATGATGACGATGATAGTGGGGGTGGTGGTAGTGGTGGTGATGAACGAAGACATTACTGGACACAATGAAGTCCGTAAATGAAAGTCTCTTATACACATACCACTGGCAGTTGTGTCGTGACCAGCAAACAAAAACGTCATCACTTCGCCGACAATTTCTTCATCGTTTAAACCATTCCCGTCTGCGTCCTGAGAAAAACAGCACATTAAAGTAGCATCTTTATGAATAGCGTTAAATGCTGGATACGAGGTGACCTATAGTTAGGCTGGGCAAGGCAAACTGTTTATATACAGAAAAGTTGACCAGGCTAGGCGGGTGACCCGGATAGGCGGGCCCAGTTGGCTCGCTCAGGGTAGCTCAGATATGGGGGAGGGGGTGACCCCTCTACCCGCGGGAACCTTACTCCATATAAACGGGGCCTAAGTAAGAAAACCCACGGGAGAGTATTCTTAATTCCCCCTGATTACTGTTTGGTTAATCTAGTGGTAGTATGTTTTAGGGCAAAATGTTAGCTTAGGGGAGGGGCAGGTGGGCAGTTTTCCAAAAACGTATCATGATCTAAAATTTCCAATGAAAGAAATCAACAGATACCCTAGCCTCTAAAAGAATGTCGAGGAAGTCCAAATGTTTCTTTTTCCTCAGGTTTTCTTTCTCTGCCTGGTGAGAGATAAAAAAAGATAAACATCGCATAAGGAAATGGTTTGGTTAGGTTGTCTTCTAAAAATGCAGAGGCAAGTACAACTACGACCTTTGTGGCTGGTTGGATGATGCTTATTTTGGAAATGATCCCACAACCTTGCCAGGGTGCCTTTTTCTGGAGGCACTTCGTTCTTTTTCGCTCGCGCCATGAGTGCACACGTTTAAAAGAAGACGAGAGATGACTGGAAACCAGCTAGGGTTCAACTTGTCCCCAGAGCCCGTCTACCGGCCCAAAATTAAATGGACGAAGTGAAATCTATAATGCGTTAAAGGCATGGCCTTAAAGCGACTTGTTAAGCCATAAAGGAAATTCATCCAAATAAAAACCAGGCAAAAAAAAGGAAAATTATGAAAAATGAGGAAGAAAAGAAAAGGAAAAAATAGAAATAAAAGGGAGAGGAGCTAGAAGCCTTGGCAACAAGAATTAGCAAGTCTCGTAAACTTGTCTATTTTTCAACAAACATTTTACAATTTGCAGGAAATTGATTAATGCTTAAAAAGTAAACACAACCTGGGTTGGACTATGCAACAATACTTCGAGGCGGTAGACAGTTCGTCGCGTTAAGTATATATGGGCCAACCCAGTTTAGCCAGTGTTTAACAAAAACCGCGTTTATAAGTCATTTTCAATTTGCCCAACGATTTTATCTAAAATATCAGATATTGTGAACAGTTTTATGAAAGCATATAGAGAAGACTAGGAAAGCATTTATCTTCTTAAAACACCCACCAAAGAAGAGATCTGGAGATTCAAATATTTGTTAAACCGCGGCTTAAGTTGAACTTCGTTTAAATATTTGGCCCTATAAGCTCAGTTACGAAGCCGCTGTTTTCTGGTCATTTAAGTCTAGGCCAATGCAAGAAAGAAACTTGCGGAAAAAATCTTTATAAAAAAAAGAACGAAATGTTCTACTCACGTCGTCTTGAAGGGCTTTCCTTCTAGCTTTTACAACTTGGTGTGCTTTGGATTTTGCAATATCACCATTCTTGAAGAACTTTCTTCCAGCCGGCGTTAATTTATAGATTTCATCCGCATGATGAAGCGGATTCCTAGAAAATATCAAGTATGAGAGTTATACTCACTAGTGAAGCCCCTAACAAAACTAGCAATATCATAGTTTTATGGCAATGTTGTTCTTTTCTGCTATCTACGGTCATCTCACATCCGCTCAAGTTCCTTGGCCATTTTCAGGCATGGGGAAGGATGAACCCGCTAACATCTGTGCGTTGTATGAGCTCTCACATGGGAGAAGACCCCCAGGGAGGACGCATACTTCCTTTTCCAGCCAGGTTCGGGAATGTATCGACCCCAATAAGCATTTCTCAGGGGATGACATCGTGTGCACTGCCCAAGACCGAGCCAGCTGGAGACGACTTACAGCAGACTTCTCTTCGGTCAACCGATGCCTATGACGATGTTGTTCTGAGATCACGCTCGTAAGCGACCAGCTCTATTTAATACCAACATTGTGAAACCTGGTTTCAAATGTGATCGAAGTTCTGTAATGAAAAGCTCCAGTAAGTGACTGCGGCCACTTTGTGAATCATCGGCCGGCTTTTTCACTTTGTTTTTACTTTCTTGTAAGCGACCCCGGGAAGCGACCGCTCAGGAAAGTTCGGCACATTGAGTAAGCGTTCGCCCCAACACGTCCAGTACAACAGGATCGTTGTAAGAGTTTGCCCAATAAACCTTAGCCTTGTGGAATCTGTGAGACATTTAGTTATCTTAGTTTCGCAGCTGACGCCGCTACAAGGTCCGTTAACTTTAGAAATGATCCTTAATAAAAAGAGACTTTTCAATCAGGTTATTTTACCTCATGAAAGCATACACAGTATGCCAAGCTTTATTTGTCGTAAGCTCTTGCAAGCGACGTCCTCAACAAGTTTATCATGATCACACAGTCATTTACTAAAGCAAATTCCGGCAAACGAAAAGCTCAGTGTACATTCGACCCCTTCGAGGCGGTCGCTTACGAGAGCTTTGACTGCATCAGATAAATGAAATAAATGTCTTACATAAGTCTGTTTAGAATCTGATTTGAAGCTTCGAAGACAACAGAGATGTATGGGTCTTGGACTCTAAATGAGAAAAAAAAGGCGTCACAATTAATTGGCTTTTTAACCTTCTTTGATTTTGTCGGTAAATATTTCGCCTCTCCGAGACTTAATAAAGGAAAATAACTGTGAAAAAAGTAAACTTTTATCGGGTAGCTTCGGGTGCACACATGAAAACTTGGAACTACTTTTTTTTAAATAATTTCTCTTGAAACAATTATAGTCCGGCCATATGGTGTAAAAAAATAGCTGAATTGTGCACTTTGGGGTAAAAGCATCAAACTCGGCACAGTGATAGTACTAGTTGCAGTAATTATTTTTAGCTATGGACCCCACTCAAACATGCACGGGGGAAGGCACATTGTGCCCTTGGGGGGAAGGGGTCATGGCCTTTTTGTTTTGGTCCGGAAAAGACTCAAAAACGGGAAGAAAGCGGCCTAAAAAAACTTTTGCATTCCCATTTTCTTCAAAGTAGTGCAAGGTAACCCTATAAAATACCTGTTACTTACTTTTCTGAGAGATTTTCTAAAATTATTTTAAAAGAGTGTGTAAGTGATTCTTGTCACAAGGAAAAGCCACGTAGAAGCAAGTTGAGTTCTGAAGGCCGGAATTAATTTGAAGCATTACAATATTATACATGCACCCCCTGACACATCAAAACACTTCATTAATATTTTTGAGACACCTCCTGATGGAACAAACAAGACTGCACATGGAAGAAACAAAAGGTCAGGCTACTCAAGGAAATTCTGCATGGCGGACAGGAATGGCTGGTCTTTTTGCTCTCTCGTTTGTGAGAGACAGTATGCCGTTTTTCACTCTTGGAAAGATACGATGTTTCATCTCTACACTTTGATTGAAGTAAATTGCACTTTTTGGGAATTTAATTGCTCAGCCAAACTACCGCAAAAATAAAACATGAGACACTTACAGAGACCTTCAACGACATGCAACGGGGAGTTATTAACCACTTTCAGTAGTGCGGGGCGACAAGAGTAGCCCGCAGTTTTCACCTTCAGGTTATTATTATATGCATGCATCGCAGGTATGTAGCCGGCATTCGTTTGGACTTCCACTTATAAGGATGAATGGAATTCACAGAAAGCAATTTGATCACTCGCATCTGGATCTTCTCTGGTCACTTAGAATCTGATCACGCGTGTTTGGAACATCTATCAAGTGAAACTTGTGCGAAGCACAGCGTTGGAGTAACGGCGTTTTCATCTTCCATCCTTGTCGCCCTCACTCCGTAACCTTTGGTTTCCTCTCGTTTTCAATAATATATTGATCTCTCTCACACTCTATTGTCATCTTTACAATTATCAAAAATATAAGTGCCGAGTTGAGGAGAAAAGGATATCTAACATCAGAAGTCTGATAACAGTTATATAACATAACATATAACATCAGACGTCTGATAACAGTTAAATGATGTCAGAAATCTGATAAAAGTTATATGGCAGCAGATGTCTGCTGTCATATATGTTATAGAACTGTTATATAACTAATAATGATGTTATATAACTGATGATGATATTATATAACAGTTATATATACTATTATATAACAGTTATATGTGTTATAACAATAGTCATATGACAGTATTATAACTGTTATATAACAGTATATATATAACTAATAATGATGTTATATAACTGATATAACTGTATGATGATGTTACATAACAGTAATACATACTGTTATATAACACCTATATAACAGTTAAATATACTGTTATATAACAGTATATAAATAACCGTTATATAACAGTTATATAACAGTTATATAACAGTTATGTAACAGTTATATAACTGTAATGTAACAGTTATACATACTGTTATATAAAATCAGACATCTAACTGTTATATAACAGTTAAATATATAACATATAACTGTTCTTATTTAAAATCAGACATCTGACTGTTATATAACAGTTATATAACTGTTATATAACAGTCATATAACAGTTAAATATACTGTTATATAACTGTTGTTATTTAAAATCAGACATCTGACTGTTATATGACAGTTATATAACTGTTAAATAACAGTATATATAACTGTCATATAACAGTTATATAACTGTCCTATAACAGTTATACATACTGTTATATAAAATCAGACATCTAACTGTTATATAACAGTATATATAACTGTTATATAACAGTTAAATATACTGTTATATAACTGTTGTTATTTAAAATCAGACATCTGATCTGACTGTTATATAACAGTTATGTAACTGTCATATAACAGTGAAATATACTGTTATATAACTGTTATATAAAATCAGACATCTGACTGTTATATGACAGTTATATAACCATATATATAACTGTTATATAACTGTCATGTAACAGTTATATAACAGTCATATAACAGTTAAATATACTGTTATATAAAATCAGACATCTAACTGTTATATAACAGTATATATAACTGTTATATAAATGTATATATAGCCGTTATATACTGTTATATAACTGTTATATAAAATCAGACATCTGACTGTTATATAACAGTCATATAACTGTTAAATATATTGTTATATAACTGTTGTTATATAAAATAAGACATCTGACTGTTATATAACAGTCATATAACAGTTAAATATACTGTTATATAACTGTTGTTATTTAAAATCAGACATCTGACTGTTATATAACAGTTATATAACTGTCATATAACAGTTAAATATACTGTCATATAACTGTTATATAAAATCAGACATCTGACTGTTACATGACAGTTATATAACCGTATATATAACTGTTATATAACAGTATATATAACTGTCATATAACAGTTATACATACTGTTATATAAAATCAGACATCTAACTGTTATATAACAGTATATATAACTGTTATATAACAGTTAAATATACTGTTACATAACTGTTCTTATTTAAAATCAGACATCTGATTGTTATATAACAGTTATATAACTCTCATATAACAGTTAAATATACTGTTATATAACTGTTACATAAAATCAGACATCTGACTGTTATATAACAGTTATATAACAGTATATATATAACTGTTATATAACAGTTATATAACTGTCATATAACAGTTATATAACTGTCACGTAACAGTTATACATACTGTTATATAAAATCAGACATCTAACTGTTATATAACAGTATATATAACTGTTATATAAATGTATATAAAGCCGTTATATACTGTTATATAACTGTTATATAACAGTCATATAACAGTTAAATATACTGTTATATAACTGTTGTTATTTAAACTCAGCCATCTGATCTGATTGTTATATAACAGTTATATAACTGTCATATAACAGTTATATAACTGTCATGTAACAGTTATACATACTGTTATATAAAATCAGACATCTAACTGTTATATAACAGTATATATAACTGTTATATAACAGTATATATAACTGTTATATAAATGTATATAAAGCCGTGATATACTGTTATATAACTGTTATATAACAGTCATATAACAGTTAAATATACTGTTATATAACTGTTGTTATTTAAACTCAGACATCTGATCTGATTGTTATATAACAGTTATATAACTGTCATATAACAGTTAAATATACTGTTATATAAAATCAGACATCTGACTGTTATATGACAGTTATATAACCGTATATATAACTGTTATATAACAGTACATATAACTATTATATAACAGTTATAAAACCGTCATATAACAGTTATATAACTGTCATATAATAGTTATATAACTGTCATATAACAGTTATACATACTGTTATATAAAATCAGACATCTAACTTTTATAAAACAGTTACATAACAGTCATATAACAGTTAAATATACTGTTATATAACTGTTGTTATTTAAAATGAGACATCTGACTGTTATATAACAGTTATATAACTGTCATATAACAGTTATATAACTGTCATGTAACAGTTATATAACTGTCATGTAACAGTTATACATACTGTTATATAAAATCAGACATCTAACTGTTATATAACAGTATATATAACTGTTATATAAATGTATATAGAGCCGTTATATACTGTTATATAACTGTTATATAACAGTCATATAACAGTTAAATATACTGTTATATAACTGTTGTTATTTAAACTCAGACATCTGATCTGATTGTTATATAACAGTTATATAACTGTCATATAACAGTTAAATATACTGTTATATAACTGTTGTTATTTAAAATGAGACATCTGACTGTTATATAACAGTCATATAACGGTTAAATATACTGTTATATAACTGTTGTTATTTAAAATGAGACATCTGAGTTATATAACTGTCATATAACAGTTATATAACTGTCATGTAACAGTTATACATACTGTTAAATAAAATCAGACATCTAACTGTTATATAACAGTTACATAACAGTCATATAACAGTTAAATATACTGTTATATAACTGTTGTTATTTAAAATCTGACATCTGACTGTTATATAACAGTTATATATACTGTTATATAACAGTATATATAACTGTTATATAACAGTCAGATGTTTCATATAACAGTTATATAACTGTTATATGGGAGTTATATAACTGTTATATAACAGTATATATATTACAGTTAAATATACTGTTGTATAAAATCAGACATTTGACTGTGCTATAACAGTTAAATATACTGTTACATAACTGTTATACAAAATCAGACATCTGACTGTTATATAACAGTATATATACCTGTTATATAACAGTCACATCTTTTATATAACTGTTATATGGCAGTTATATAACATTTGTATATACTGTTATATAACAATGATATAACTGTTATATAACAGTCAGATGTCTGATTTTATATAAGAGTTATATAACAGTATATATAACTGTTATATGACAGTATATATAACTGTTATATGACAGTATATATAACTGTTATATAACAGTATTTATTAAAAACTGAATCATTGGATAATGCAATTCTAGCATTTTGATTGGCTTAGCCGTTATGGTATATGAGCTAATATACCATGTTCTCCATATATGGTCGGTGTACGGGTCAGTTTAAAATTGGAAGCTAGCTGAGATTTTTTTTCGCGAAGGATAGAACGGCGCCCGAAGCAAATCGTTTTAATTCATTTCTTAGAATACTAGAAATGCAATTTCAACGAAAGAAAAAAGACAAAAACAAACAAAAAAGCCACAAGAGCTTGTTTGAAGGTTTGTCGAAAAAACACATGGAACTAAAGTACCTTGACCAGCTACGAAAAGAAGACAAGTGTTGTTTCTTCATGATCGCGAAGCCATTACGCCCGATCGAGTCACTTTCGCCGATAGATAACTGCAGCTCATTTATCCAACATCAAGAATATAAATCACAAGTAACCAGCTACAAATACAGGCTATGCAGCCATTCACTAGAGCAATCGAGGCGGCAGTATAGCTTCTTTTCTCGTTCAGCAAAACCAGCTTGTGGCTTCAAACAACTTCATAACAAGCGACGAGGTAATACCAGTAGTTTTTCTCCGTTGTTCTTACTTTTATAACTGCACCGAAAATCCAAATTCATAGTAATTTCGACGGCTGTCACTTAAAAAATTCCTTTCCTTCACATTATCTGCCAGGTTTTTTAGCTGTTCTGCTGTGTAAAATCCTAGAATCACGATGAGTTTTTAAAAAACTAATGTTCATCGCACAATGTTTTGATTTTTCATTCATGCAGTCTATACTAGGCGAGCCCGTACGCGCTTGACAGTTTTGATAGACGTGTGACATGTCAATAGCGGAAGTCCCTTGTCTTTTCTGGTTTGTTCTAGTCGGGGCGATTCAACGAGATTTTGTGGGCGTTTTTAATAAAACAATTATTCCACTCGGGCTTGTTGGATATGAAATGATTATAGCCAACTCGGCGCTATGCGCCTCGTTGGCTATCTATCATCTCATATCCAACGCGCCCTCGTGGAATAATTGTTAAATATAACTGTTATATAACAGTATATGTAACTGTTATATAACAGTATATATAACTGTTATTTAACAGTCAGGTGTCTGATTTTATATAACAGTTATGTAACTGTTATAAAACAATTATATAACTCTTATATAACTGTATATATACTGTTATATAACAGTTATATAACAGTATGTATAACTGTTATATGACAGTTATATAACATCAGACATCTGACTGTTATATAACAGTATATATACCTGTTATATAACAGTCAGATGTTTTATATACTGTTATATAACATTTGTATATACTGTTATATAACAGTTATGTAACAGTATGTATAACTGTTATATGACAGTTATATAAAATCAGACATCTGACTGTTACATAACAGTTATATATACTGTTACATATACTGTTATATAACAGTATATAACAGTTATATAATAGTTATGTTATGACTGTTAACGTCTGTTAACTGTGATGACAGTTATATGACAGCAGACATCTTGTGTCATATAACTGTCATCACACGTGTGATGTCTGAATTTATATGTTATGTTGCATAACGTCTGATAACAGTTATATGACATCAGACGGCTGATGTCATATAACTGTTATCAGACGTCTGATTTTTGTAACTGTTAGCAGATGTCTGACATCATATAACTGTTATCAGACGTCTGATGACAGTTATATTACATAATATATAACAGACGTCTGATAATAGTTATATAACATAACATACAAAATCAGACGTCTGATAACAGTTATATGACAGCAGATGTCTGCTGAGACTGGAGCAGTGCTATATTTGCTGTGATGTTTTACAGCTTGTTCACAACACAAATCTTTGACACATTTAATAACAGCAATGCGTAGATTTAACGCCATATAGAGATATTCTCGAAGTCTTTCTTGCCTTTTAAGTGAATACCATGCAATGTTTAGAGGAACGCCACAGAAAGAAACACTGATAGTGAACAAGCCTCACATCTCTCAGGTTTTAAAAAGCATAATTGAGATCATCCTGGACCGATGGAGCTAGTATTGAGACACAGTCAAGCAAAATCATACAGAATCGATCTGCTCTTTATAGCTTTTTAAACTTTGTGATTCGACGTCGCGAAGATTCATCGTGAGAATCCACTTCAAATTTATGTAAGTCTCCTGGTGCCGATAAAATCCACCATAACCCCAGTTCTTCCTCCTCTAACTGGTTCTTTACATGGCACAGCAATCATAAGGGCTCTCGAGTGATGAAGAGTGTTATAGGACGTTGTACTTTTATTACGCAATCACAAAATGCAATCAGACATCCCCTTTCTTAGGACGAGAAAACTGCCTAGGCCACAAGGCTGCCTTATGGAGAAGCCACTGAACTTTTTACATCCCTTAGGAAACTTTGAAGGGTGTTCAAGACACTATGCCCCGGTGCTTGAGAGATTTGTTATCCTAGTGTCTGACCACACAAACCGGAGTCGAAGAGTCAATGATGCCAAAAAAGTTCCGGCTATTTGCACAAAAGGGAAGAAACCTCGAGAACTTCTCCACTATATCAGCACACCAAGAGAGTTGCCTAGCAAAGATGATACCCTGGGTGCAAAAACTGCAACCACCCCACCCCCCTGAGTACAAAATGTCTCCCTGACTGGGGTCTATAGCTAATATTGTTCAGCAGCCCAAGTACTATTACCATGCCAAATTTGGTGCTTTTACCCCAGAGTGCACAATTTTTTCACTATATGGCTTGACTATTAGGTTAGGGCTCGGCTACCACCAACTCTTAAAGTAAATAATGAGAAACGAAACTAAAGCTGTGCAAGCTTTATTAATTTTCACATTCCAAAATATAAAACCGTTAGTCAGTATCGGTCTTTATAATAATCTTAATTTCAGCAAAAATATCAATTTGTGCAGAATAGGATTCCCCGTTAAAATAGATTCTTGTTATGTAACATCCAATGAACAGAAATCGTCGCCAGATCGGGTCGATAAATTTCCAAAAAAGTCCCAAAGTTCAGAGGTCCCTAGTAATATAGGAAAGGGTGGGGTTTGGTATTATATTTGAAAGCCGCATTAACTACAGCATACCTCCTTTGTCCTCTATAGGGCTACTCACATAATACCCGAATTACTTTCATTCTGGAGCGAGTTCGTTCCATCTCCACCCAATTTCTTTGTATCTGTTTACATGATACCAAGACGACAATTCGTTCCCGTACAAGTCATTCAAGAATGAGTTCATTCCGGTTTTCATTTCCAAAGAAATTCTCTTTCCGGTACGAAATTTCATTCTGGTACCATGTTCACTGGTACCTTGAAAACTTTGTTCTGATTGAAAATCGCAAAATCGGTAGTCTTGAGCGAGTGGCGCACGAATATCTGATCTGGCGCGCAAACCATGCGGGTGAGAACGCCTTAGACTGACCCGTTCGATTTCATGTGAATGCAGTACGAACTTCATTCTGGAATGAAAGTCATTCCGGAATAGTATAAACAGCTCCAATGAGGAAAAACAGATCGTGCAAAATGAGATCCCTTACTTACTCTTGTGTTTGACAGTTGCTTGCGTAACTATGAGAACATTTAAGAATTGAATCCAACGTCATCAAACGCATGTCGTGAAACAACTCCACCTCACCCTTCCCCTGTGAGGACCACTTTGTCTGAAGGAAACAATTAGCAGATCAAGGCAATGTAAACTAATACAAATTTATCCTCTGATCTTTTGCACAATACTGAGGTTGATTTCCTTATGGAGGTTTCAACGGTGAATCGATAAAAGCCGGCGTTTCTTAATGCAGAAACCACTGTTTATATAGGTATCGCGTCGTTGTGTGAGTAGTCAATCTTTTCCTTACACATTTAGCTATCACGCAAGGAAATTAACTGCCCACAAATTACATCCATAACAAATCCGATAACAACTTGGATTGTTTCAAGTTTTATGACAGTTAAGGGATGAGCAGAACACAACAGCAAGAACAACCAAAAAAAAAAAAAAAACAAAAAAAAAAAAAAAAAACAGAAAAGCCCAAAGGAAGGAAAGAGGAAGACTCAATAGGACCAGTGGCAGACCCAGACCTTCAGATAAAAGGGGGAGGGGGGCGGTCTTCCAAACCCTGAGATCAGGGGGGAGGGGGCTAATCTCCAAAAAAAATTTTTTCGGCCCTTCGTGCCTCAGTTTCGTCTAAAAATAAGGGGGCACCAGGCCCTCCTCCTGGATCCGCCACTGAGAACGCACGGTTTTCTTTCCGCTCGTCCGGTCGAACTAAAAGCTTTCAAAAGGCCAGGCTAGGGGAATGGGATTCTCTGTTACTAATTTTGATCATACCAAAAGGGTATCTGTTGATTCCTGGAAAACCCGAACGTATGGTTTGAGAATCTCAAAGTGGAAGGCAGGAGTAAGAAGCTTTCTCATACGAAACCATCTGTTCCCGTTAGACGTGATCAAACCATCTCCTGTGAAAAAAAAGACAGAGATATTTGTTCCTCACAACAAGGACGCACAGTAATATTAATGCGCTTACCCCCCAAATCAGAAAATGTTCGACCCCATTTTAGTAACTACTGAAAATGAGACCCCATTATAGTCAATCCAGTCGTGAAAATGCGACCACATTGAGCAACACATCCCCATTAGCCTCTTGGGCTACGGTCTCAGTTCCTGAGTGCAATCACGCAGAAAAAAGTCACACATGTCAATTTTTTCGCTGTTTTTGCCTGCCATATTTACAGGACCACGGTTTGTTGGGATCCACAAATTTTGCTACACTGGCAAGATGATAACAATAAACAAGTTAAGAACTTGCACAGTTCTGACATCTTACACTTATTTGAGGCGGGGTCAGTGTAAGTTGAAGACTTACCAAGAAATGGCTTCACTATATCATAAATGAATTTTTCCTTTGGTGCATTGCTTGACTGGATCACCTGGACAGTGTCAGGATGACAGACAACAACTGCCGCCCTTAGAGGCCCGTACCAGAGCCCGTAACAGGTCTTAAACTCAGTTGCACACTTAAGGTGGTATTTAAGCCCGGCTCCATCGAACCCCGCCTGCAGACAGAATGGTATAAAAGCAGTGAAAAGGCTGACTCCTCCCCCGTCGTCTCAAGTTGTCTCTACTCATTAATTATTTACTAGGGAAGCGCATATAAGGGAATACCCCACGGGTAAAAATACGTTATACCTCTAAGTGGCGTAGAACAGAACTGAGCTAACATACATGATAAGTCCCTGCTCCAAGAACAAAACCTGTGCCCTTAAAGTTGCTGTGTCGCGAATGTCCAGTTGATTTTGTTAATAATGCCGTCCTTATTCGCTATGGAACTTTAAAATATGTTTCGTTAACTTTCACTTTTAAAGTTTTTTGCTAAAAATATTTTTACTAGTACTAGTAAAGTTTTTAAAATACCTTGCAAACATCTGATGACCCAAATCACAGCTTCGTGGCAAACAAATATGTCTCCCAAGCAATATATCATACGTTGCAAACAACAAAAATGAACTTTGAAAAAATAGTTAGGATGACAAGTTTTCAAACCACAGTTTCAGTCCGATTCAGTCTTCTTCAAATTTGTCCATCCATAGCCTGCGAACAGCAGACGCATTTCCGGTCGTCGCATCTCCCTAGAGAAGCGACGACCGGAAATGCGTCTGCTGTTCGCAGGCTAGTCCATCCATGTCTCCTATTGTATTTGCTTTTCATGTTTTGAGCGGTTATTTTTATGCTTCATTAGTTTGTTGACAGTTCACAGGTCTTCCCAATGATTGAAGTTTGCTATTTCGTGACACAGCTTTTTGTAACAGGGCTGTGTAAAAGAGCGAGCGTGCGTACACCTACTTATTTCACTCATTGCGAGAGAGGGGAACTTGCCAAACAGATAGCCCAAGCTCATTCATGATTTCATTGCGTAAAAAGCGAAAATATAAGAGCTTGCGATCTTACGTAACAGTACGAAATATGCGAGAGGAATTTAACAAACAGCGATCTACTTCGCGTCTTTGATCTGTGCAATTTCTTGTTTTTCCAAGGCGTTTTGGGGATCGTTCCAGAACGATTGTAACGAGTTTAAGGCTCGCTGTTTACCTCTTAACATCGCCAGAATCGCTCTGAAACGGCCCTTATTTTAATTTCTTTCCCATATTTCGCACTGTCAGGTACAATCCTTACATTTCTGTACAAACCATTATAAATGTTTGGCTATTGTTTACGTTGACGGCTCCCAAAGAGTTTGGGATACCCGTGCTCGCCAATGTTTCAAAATTAACTTACATAGTCAAGGTGTCCTTTAAGCCAATGGCCGGGTGGAACAGGAACATTAGCAATTGACCTTGCGGCACGACGCCGTTGTTCAAAACAGCCGATTACAAAGTTGGCGAAGAACACGACTACCACGGACAAGATCACTGCAATCCACACTGAATACGAGTCAGGTAAAACTCGCAAAATATACTCCGTTACCAAAGCCATTTTAGAATTCGAGTGAAAACAAGCACTGAACAAACTGATGACAGAACCCCTGCGTTTCGCTTCTTATTAGATCAGCGTAGTCATTGAGCAAATTACATAAAATTAATATTCAGGTATCTTATGGCTGACCTGTTGGTATTTGGTCCTTGACCTTAATCAAATTATTGTCGGTCATAGCATTGTTTCAAGATATTAGTCTTTGAGCTGTGTCACGAAATTTAAAAATTTTTTAAATTCAAACAGCGGGAACAAGGCACCAAACTGAGTGAAAACAGCTGTAACAATAGCAACTCAACCTGAAAAAAGTATAAGAAACAGAACAAGAGGCATAATGCCCGGGGGGCCGGCGGTACTTGGGTTAATTTTGCAGTATGCCGCTGGCCTCTCAGCGCCCCTAACCCGCCATTATAGTGTATTCTGTGGCCAATTATAGACCCCATCTTAGTCACTTTTGGGCGAATAAGTAGTTTTCGCGATCCCACTTAGTCACTTTGAATTCTAGTTTTATGAATGGACCCATTTTTAAAATTGAATGAAGAACAGTTTACTTTCCATCTGCAGTACAAACATTCTGGTACGTTTGCTAACCGTAAATATGAAGAACTGTTTTACACAAAAAAATCCGAAAATGTGCGACCCCATTCTAGTAACTCTATTGAAAATGCGACCCCATTATAGTCAATCCAGTCATGAAAAAGGGACCCCATCCAGCGACACATCCCTATTAGCCTCTTATAAAGAATATGAAAGGGCCGCCCCATATGAAAGGGGCGGGGATGCTCGTCATCTCGCTAAAGGGTGTAAATTTCAGATTTTGGTCTCGCTTAGGGTGTTCTGGGTAAAACACCATTATATTTAGCCGTAAAGGTCTCTTTTAGGGTTGCACTCGAAGAAATATAAAAAAAAAATGTATTTTCAATTCGTCTTATTTACTCGATTCATTTAATTAAAGTTTAAAATGATCGCTTTTAGGGGTCAAAAAAAGGTTGGGCCACGCCCAGATTGGTCTCCTTTAGGGGTCTAATTCAAAATTTCCGACGACCATCCCCCCTTTCATATGGGAGTCCCCCCGGGCACTTTTGGACAACATCCTGTCCCGGCGGGGGGAGGGGGTATTCCCATATTTGAGGTATCTGAGTATGTATTGCTGTCGAGAACAATATAGGTAGGATATAGGACTCTGTGGTAGATGTCACGCTAGTGAAACTCGTAATTTGTTTTGTTAAAGAAATGATTATTCTTGTACATACAATCTTGGATCGATCGGGGAATAAACCAGTGAGGCTTCAGTATTACTGTAAATTGGACAAAAATATTCCCCACAACGCTCATCACTGGGGTATACTTTTTACCTCTCTAACTCTGACGCAGGGTATAAAAATCACCCTTAGCTTAGAAGAGCGGTATATTATACTTAAGTTTGACTTTGATTTCACCAACCCCTCCCCCTCCCCCCCCGGAATCTCAGATCATGCTTGATCAAAGGTACAAAGCTGTGCTCCCCTTTTCTCACTGAGAGAGTCACATGCAGGAAAAGGATGCCTATATTTATACAATTTTTGTCTGGAAGAGGGTCAAATTTTATAATTGGGCGTTTTCGGCCAAGAGTGCGGTTAAGATAGCTCTCGAGATGGCTGGGTATTGGCCAAGTCCTTTTTGGTAGACGTCATGGCCGCCATATTGGTGTACAAAACAATGAAACACAGGCCATGTTAGAGTGTACCAAAAAAGGAAGCCTGTGGGGATTCGACTTTTTTCTTGTATAAAAACTGTCTCCTGTTCTAATAAATTTGCATAGCTGCCGACAACCTGAGTGAAAGCAATCTGTAGTCGAGTCTCCACTAACGGCTACCTCTCCTGACAACAGCCACTTTTTCTTCTCCCGGAGGACAATAGTCTCCTTCGCAGCCGTTATTAGGGTCGTCACTTGTCACGCAACGCTCCCTAGTGGGGAGGAGCGTTGCGTGACGAGTGACGACCCTAATAACGGCTGCGAAGGAGACTAGGAGGACAAATAATCTATATACATTAGGGAGCTTAAGTAAGGACGACGGGGGCGGAAACGAGAACGACAAGAAAGCAACCGGTTTAGTTTAGCAACACAACAGCTTTGCACGTCGATCACGATTTCTTAGCCGTCGTTGCACGATGAAAGTGCCTAATTTCACGTTTTTTTTGTTTTGAGGACGGAAACACAAGACAACAACTTTCCTTTTCTTTTCCTGAACTTTGATACAGTCCTTTAGAATTCAATACCAAAAAAAAATTTGCCAACATTTGACAAATGAAACGAGATAAAATAAGCGCTATGAAGTTTCAAGCAGCGCGAATTCACTATTTAAGTGACGTTTTCGTAGCCGTCACGGTTGTTGTTGCTTAAGCTCCCTCTTGACTCTTGCTGAACCATTCTACAACGGAACACCTCTTTATTTCGGCCACGATCTTCTGTCCCAAGGGTAGCCGTTGTGGAGCTGTATAGGCGAAACTGACAAAAAAGCAAACATGGTGAACTGTCCACTAATTTAAGCGCCAACCTAGAACTACTCATAAAATACGCCATATATCGACGCCACAACATACAACCACGGATTCCGATAACAGGCGGTAGAACACTTGTCGAATCTTTCATCCAACAAACAGCGGCTTGTAATCGCCATTCCCTGGCTCTGTAAAGAGCCTAAATATACCACGCACACGAATTTGTATCTGTTACATCCCAGACCCTTTACGCAGTTTTTCAACTCTTCCGTGGCTTTTACCACAAGCTCTTTGCATTTTTCTGCCTCGTATTTCACGCCTTTGAAGTTACGATGCAAAACGTCTTCGGCAAGTCGTCGGGCTTGTTCGGAATTGAAAAGTTGCGTCAGGGATCATTTTATACGAGTTTTCCAGGCACGGAATTGACGCGTTGCCATATTGTTCGTCTTCCATGGGGTGAAGGATCGAGGGTGTTTGTAAAGTCGTCAGCGTTCGGCGGCGCGATAGGCTTTCCGGTTTTTTCAGTACTCCTCTTAGAGAAATTTCTGTAGAGTTTTCTTCCAACGACGTGCTTACAGAGCTTGCCATTGCTAATCAATAAAGCTGCATCAGACGTGTTGTTCTAACCTCGGACAATATGCCACTGGTTTTAACCTTAAAATTCCATTGTCCACCTTTTAAAACTTCTCTGACTGCTCAGAAGGGCGCTAGATTTTCCAAAAATGTGCCGCTTCTGAAAGCAGACGACCTTCGTGTTTGGTCGTCAATTCACTGCAAAAAACAAGCCTCTTGTTTGATTCAGTCTAACGCTCAGTTGTCAGTGTGGTAAATACAACAATGAGCGAGTTTAATTGAAGCTAAATGAATGAGCCATTTGTTCGCTAAGTGGCTTCACTTGAATGGCCACACTTTAGGCTGACTTATCCCTAGACCCGAAAGCTAGAACCCATTTTTTTTAACAGACAGATAAAAAAGCAAAGCATCAGTGGCTCCTTAGTGTTTATCAGAGTGTTGTAACTGTCATTCACAGACTCTTATAAACTAAGCTTGTAACAAGAAGTTAAAGAAGTTACATAATAGCCCCCTTGTTCTGTTTTAAAAAATTGAAACTAGAAGACAACGGTGCTCAAATTCCACTCTGCTTCGATCGTCCCGCTAGAGACTCCATGTCTCAGTAACAAGGCCTGGCTAGGAAGTATTCACATGATTATGAGTTTGCGAGCCGAAGACTATACTCATTCGCTAAATAGCCTATACTACGCGTAAACTTATAGATATTGCGAAGAGAGAGTTGAAGTTAATCAGATTTAGTAATGCGTTTCCAACGATCATCATGAATTTATTAGAAAGTTTGTTTTAACTAATTTTCTCGCACTTAAACAAATGATAATCTCTTGTCCTTAATTTAAAAGCTTTGCATTCTGAGGGGATTACAACAGCTTATCTTATGTGTTTTTCTGGAATAATAACAAGAAATTAACATATTATTTGTACTGTGAACAGATTTAAATCAAGGGCAAGCTGGGCTAAAGCATTCGCTCCCGAGACCTAACAGTATTCTGCGCAGCAAATAAGTCGCTGAAACATCAGATATCAACCTTTCATATACGTAAAGCAAAAAGGAAACAGGAGTTTATTGAATCAAGTTCCCCTACGATAAGAGCGTGATCATGTTCTAGTTAAAAAAAAAACCAACAGGCGATTTATGAAGCCTAAGACAATACACTTTATTGGTAAGAAATACATTAAGAATACATGTATCGTAAAAAATCAAAATAAAATACGAGAACACCACAGCCTGACACGTAAACCCCGAAAAACAAATTTTGGAAAAATAGGGACCGTGTACCCCCAACCAGTGCTATGGTGATGCCTTTGGGGTTTTAAGGCCTGCTAGCTTATATAAATAAGTAAAGTAGTATATAAAAAAATAAGTAAATAGAAGTAGCCTCTTAGCTTAGCTAGGCTAAAAGAAAGTCCGCGTTTGCTCGCCGAGTTGTCGAGTCGGCAAGACTGAGCCCAGAATAGCGCGCTTAAACATCTCACGACTGTCGCTTTTTCAAAGTGCGCAAGCAATCATATCAAAGCGCTTTACGAGCGTATTAACCTGAATTTCTGTTTTTGTGACTGCAGAACTGAATTAAAGTATGTTTATTGAACCAATGTAAAGCTTTGAAAGCTATGATTCCGTGCCTTCACTCGGCACATAGCCACTATAAAGTATAATTTTTTTTTCTTTAGCCAAATTCGGAACAGGCAAAACATTTTACTTGGAACCTCTAAAAATCTTCATGCATTATAAGGTTATTGCTGGTTATGTTACATGTTAAGCTGTGAAATCAGCGAAGTCAGTGGCATTAATTAAGAAGAATTCAGAAGTTCCAAGTTACGCTTTTACGTTCTTAGCCTAATTGATAAATTCTACGTCTCTCTAAAATATCTTGCCAATTGTAAAATAGCTTTCTCACTTTATACTTTACATCATGGTTCTCACATTTGCTACTTATAGACCTAATTCCATGTTTATCTAGCACGAAACCAATACTGATTAGAGCAAGAAAACTAAGGATTTTTATTATTCCTTTTGCTCTAACAGCCTGAAACCTTCTTCATATAAATATTTATTTACTATCTTGTTTTCTAGTTCGAAAAATCCTAAACAATGATTGTTAGTGCTTAAAAAGTCTTATTTCTATGGTGACACCATACGCGGTTGGTTCAACAAACTCTGAGGTAACACTAAACCACAATTTTCATAAATGCTTTGCAAGAGTTCAGTTCGTACAGATAGCGTGTTAAACCGTTATGTTTCATCGACCGAGAATGATATTACTACTTCTCTCTCAAAACATAGGCCCAAGTTCAAACTAGCTGCTGTTTAGAACCGATCGCCGGTTTACAAAGTAAAATATATGGGATAAAAGCTTAGTAGAAGAACAAACTGTCCAGTTTAAACCTTATAGAATTGGTTGAATCCGTTTTCTTCAACTTAACGGTCAGTGTTTGCTGGCGAAACTGCAAGGGAGAGCGGTGCAAAAAGCAGTCTGTTTAAACATAGGCCTTACTTAAATATTCTAGAGTCTATCGTAGTTTAAAGTTCCTGTTTGCTTGGTTTCTCCTCCCCGCAGTGTGGTAGCTAGAGTGGTGCAAGTACATCCACACGCTTCCTCCAATGTGACTGATATGGACTCTTGAATTGCACTCTTTTCTTCATGGGTGCTGTTGGGACGAAACAGTTTGGAATCACCTTTTTTCAATTTTTACAAATGTAAACATTAAGAATCTCCCAGGTTTATTTTACTATAGTTAAAGAGTATTTTCGTGGTGTATTTTTTATAGCCTTGAATCTATCATAGGGGTGGGCGCCTTCAAAGTCCATTCCCTCTTCTATTTTGTTTTGCATGCAACTGAATTAAGAAAAACTGATTCATTTCATCATAGTTAGTAGAGGGGTCCCCTCTACTAACTATGATTTCATGGAGTTTGAAACCCATGGTATCTTACTCCAGAATGCGTTTTCTGTTCTTCCTTAGTAGTTTACAGCTTTAAAAAGTAAAGCACGGAAACCTTACGTCCGAGGCAAGTCAAATCTTCTCGCTTTCAAAGCTTGTTTTCCCTGACACTTCTAGCTTCATTCTAAGGTCTTTACACTTCAGGGAATGGTCACGTGAAACTATATGACAGCATCTAGTAAGCGAGAGGCATTTTCCACGCACCTCCCGCGTTGATATTTAAGAGAGAAAAGAAAAGCGACCGGGGATCGAGTCAGCTATTGAAGAAGGAAAAAGGTGCTCACCAGGTGAAGACGCTATGGCCATTTACTGGGCTTTGATTTTCTTCATCTGAGTACAAGGGCATAAGCATCATTATCAGCAGCAGCAGCAGCAGCAGAAGTAGCATTACCATCATCGTCATTGTTAGCGTCATCAACAAAATCGTCAGCATCCGTCATTGCACATCATCATCATCGTCAGCGTCATCAAGGTAATCTTCAGCATCCGCCTTGTCATCATCGTTATCATCATCATCATCATCATCAGCGTCATCAACAGCATTATCAGCATCTGCAGCAATCGTTGTCATCATCATCATCATCATCATCATCATCATCATCATCGTCATCATCAATGTAATAGGCATCAGTCGTCAAGGCCTCTTCACATCGCGATGCCACATCAGGCTGCTTAGCTTGTCGACGTTCACTGCTCCTAAATCACTCAAGACAAAGTCAAGATCACACGCTTAACTGAACTTATTATCAAAGCTTAGTATCCCTCCCCCAACTCCTTCATTGGGTGCTTGCGTTTAGTCAGCTGTAATAACAGAACAGCAAAGACAAAAGCTATATTGCGTTTTCCGATATTTCCGATAGTCAAGTCGTGGTTACATAGTATGAAAGCAGCACAGTTGGAAATTTGACACAATTGTTTAAAACTTAGAAATAAATAATACAGGTCAATAGGGATAAATCTTGAAAATAATGACTTGCGCGCAAAAGAACAAAGAGAAAAGAAGGTCAAAAAAGTAAATAAATTTAGAGAATGCAACAAGAATAAACTTGCTTTAAAATAATAGTAAATAATAAATAAATAAATTTAAAGGATGTAAAAAATTTAAAATAATAGTTAATAAATAGAGTTAATAAAAAACATTTCTAATAATAATAATAATGATCACAAATAATGATTGTAATAGGAAAGGAAAAACGTTACTATTTCTAGCTGGATTTTTGAAACGTGACTGCTTAGTTACGTTTTCAAAAATCAGTCTAGTTTGTTTGTTGCAGCTGCTTGTTGAATCCTTTTCTATTATTATAATCATTATCGTGATCATTATTAATATCCCTATTACTAATTATTCATTTGGATTTATATTTAGTTTCAATATTATAGGATATTTTAGTATTTATTATTTTATCATGATTTATCTATATATTTTTTCTTTTATTCATTTTTCATTTTTAAAATTCATTTTTGCTCCATTGTCCTACATTTATTTCCTCTTTTGACCTTCTTCTTTTCTTTAATTTCGTGATTCCAATTAGTCCAGCCGCATTTTATTATTTCAAATGTTATCCCTACTGGCCTTAAAAAATCCTCCGAGAAGAACGCCTCGACGATCTGAATTATCGGGAGAACTCAAGTCGCTTTTGTCTTTGCTGTTGTGTCAATTAAAGTGCTATGGATTTAGTTGAAATAGGTGCGTTTGGATATCGTCTAAATAACTCAATGTACGTTTTGACCCATTGAATAATGACATAGCCTCCCCGCAGACGTCCGTGAATAATCGTTCGCGGGGGAGAAAATAGAAATGAATGCAAAACGAACCTCATCGGACGTCTGTTTGACATTCACCATCATCGTTGTCGTTTGACATTATCATCACCATTATCGTCGTCGTTCTGATCATCGTTATTGTCATCAGCAAGATAATTATCATAATCAATGCAATAGGTGACAGTCATTTATCTTGCCCTCTTCTCGTGACTTTGCTTCGTCAGACGCATGCGCAGTCATGAGTAGTCAGTCATGAGTAAACTAGAGAAAGATTGTACTTGCCTCTGTCGAGTTAAACAGGCTCCTTCCACATAATTTTCAAGTCACTGACTGCAGGCCTGACGAGGCGCGAGATCTGAAATCTTCTGGATCTGTACACAAAATAGATCTCAAGAACGAGATATATATTTAGCTTATTTAGCAACTAAGAGCCTATTACATATTTCGATCATCTTAGTTAAGTAGGCGTAGGTTTGAATCCCATTAACACCTTGTATTTGCTTGAAGTAACCTCACAGTTGAGCAAAGTTCACGGATCATGAGAAATCCATTGACGAAGGAGAAGACTGAGTATTTTAATATAAGGACCTTCAAATAATAGTTACGATTTGTCTCCAGGCAGTTCAATTGACAGCTACATGTAGCCAGCATAGCCTCCTCCTGCCGTCTATTTTACAATATGCCATTTTAATAATGCTCTGTAAGTTCACAACTTGAGTAAATGCGCATAGTGAGTTCTTTTATCATCAGTTTTCTTTCCTGGTATTGTTTTTGGTATTTTTTTTGGCAAGGTTGGGTTGAACGTGTTATGGTTTCTGTACCTACCTGTGATCTGCAAGGTGGTTCGTTCAAATCACTTTTTATGTAAAACTGTAGTTAAGAGACGAGACTTCCGGGTTGCTTTTCCGGTCGCTGACTTCAATCAGCAATTTTCTGACCTAAATGCAAAGTTTCTCAAGAACATGGATTAAGAATGCAAGAAAACGTTTACCCATGTTTTTAAACAAGGTTATTCTGTCACTAATTTAACTTTTAATCCTTGGATGCTCCTCCTTTGAGTTTTGGTCTATCTACGCGGTAGCCAAACCGCTGTTTCTGATATGACCACTTGGATTTGTATTTCCATTTTAACGTGACATTAAATTATCTCTGTAGAGCTTCGAATACGATGACTATTTGAGTGAAAGTCATGGCTTGAAATGATAATCAAAGGCTTTATTTCATTTCCTTTTAGAATTCTTTCGTAAACTTATTGTACCTTTCCAGTACTTACCTCGGAGCTGGTAGCTAGGGTCAAGTGTTTAAATCTCAATGCCAATGGGCCAGCTAAGACTGAGTGTTGGAAACAACTTCTGGAATTGCACAGACCTGAATAAAAAGCTTCTTGAAACAGATTATCAAAGCAACAGTTTTAAAATGGCAGTTGAAAATGAACTTTAAACTATACAGCTGCTTTCAGACACTCTGGCGATTGAATCTCAGTAACATTTCATATCGATTTGCGTACTGATGAAACAACGTTCATGGGTTGGAATCCCTGTGGAAAAATAGTATTTACCTATAAAGTTACGACTTTTGATGCAGTAGGAGCACAACTGACTTCAAAACTCTGTTCTTAAACGACCCTGTTTGGGTAAGCTTGTTTATCCTCTTGAAGACGAAGGGTCAGTTTCTATATTCTGGTACTTACAGGTTGCACATCACCGCTGATGGGTCATATCACTGCTGGACGTCTTCGACCTAAATAAAATATTTCTTAAAAACGGAATCAATAACATCAAAACACTGCCTTTTTTGCGCACTTGGAAACCAATCGCCAACTCCATTTCCTTTAAAAGACCTTGGAATTGTCTGCTAGACTACTGTCAGCTATCATCAAACAGATTCGAATTCTGTCAGCATCATGTAGAATCTCAAGTCTTGAAAATCATTGCATTCTTTGGTACACTAGGAGCACCAGTAAATAAACAAATGTCGTAGGTTTGAATCCCACTGAGGCTTGAACGAATAAATTTTACTATCATCCGAGGATAGGTCCATATCAGCACAATCAGATTTAAGGTACTCACGTTCCGTTTCATTCATCTAGACCTCTGAGATGCTGCTGTCGAACGCTAACTTCAAGCACTAAATCTGAAACCCAAATAGATAATCTAACAGTTAGAGCATCAACAGATATCTGTCTTACCTTTAGAACTTTGAGTAGTTTTCTAGTCGTAATCAGCGTCGATGTGCGTTTCTTCAGGAACGCAGCCAGAAAAAAAACTTCCAAGTGAGCTTCTAGAGAGCATACGTCACATGCATTCAGTCTTCAGAGGGCGCGCCCAAAAAGACGTCTTCGAGGTGATCGTGTTCGAGGAAAAAAAAGATTTACAAGACGACGTCCGATGTTCCTGAAATAAAACTTTTTAAGTTATTTATTATTGGTTTAAAGAAAAAATACCATGGTGAAGCGGCATTGTGTTGGTCACACTTTATTTCTTTTTCCTGAGAAGCAACTCCGTTACAACATAATCTAACTTATCTAAATTTTTTAATGCTAGTTTAATTTACAAAAAAAAACAAACAAACAAACAAGCTGATGATATACCTTTCGCTTGTTAAACTTTATTTTTCATCAACTTTTAATTATGTACAATTCAGTCACATTAAACTTGACTTAAAAGTTCCTGTCCTTCCTTCAGCACCTCAAGTACGACTTCCATATAGACAGTGCCATGCGTTTCTTCAAGAACGCATCCAAAACGCAGTAAAAAGGTCGAAAAAAAGCCATGTGTGATCTTGAGAGGGCGCGCCCAAAAAAATGTGCGTCCATTCTTTCTCGAAAAAAGTGGCGGAGGAGTGCAAAAAAGATAAGTTATTGATTTCCGAAGAACCTGAAATAAAATGAGTTAGTTATTTCTGTTTTAGCATAGCGAACACACTGATGCGACACTCAGTGTGTGTAATTAAAAGACATCACACTCACAACTTAGTGTTTTATTTTTTTTATTAATTTGTCGTCATTACAACAAGTATTATGTAATATCCCTGCAAATCAAATAATCATTAGTACTTATAATTAACTACTCTAAAGATTTAGCTTTTAAGTAAAAGAAAAAACCACACAGACAACGCATTAGATAAGTGTTTTTATTAAATTGAGTTGGCAGTTTACAGAAATTAAGTAGTCTATATAGATAGGGTGCGCTTCTAAGAATTTGACGTCCGAGCAAGACCGAGGAGTGTGACATGCGTCCATAAAACCTTGACACCTCGAATGAAACACACCAGGGTCCCCCGGACGGTACGCAGGGATATTTGGCGGCTTGCTATGGAAACTTTGTCCATTCCAAGCCTTCACATGTTTTGAAGCCGAATCCGAAATCAGATCAAAAGTCGAATCGAAAACCGGAAAAAGACGAATGGACCGAACCGAAAATCTAATCGCCTAAAATATCAAAAAAAACCACGTACCTTGTGCCACATTGGATTATTGCTTGGGCTGATTGATGTGGTTCAATGTTTACTTAAGCTACGAACCTTAGTTTCTTACAAACAAAGCGTTACGAAGAAATTCAATGCGCCGATTTTGCTATTTCAGACCGAACAGGCCAGCTTTGTGTAAACTTTGTACCAGCATAAATCAGCCCTACCTTATATGGGCTGCTGTACTCTGTCGTCATGTTCCTCAACCAAAAGACCAAGGAGACTGAGATCCACAATCCAAAAAAAGGCGTAAGTATCGGAAAAAAAGAAGTTGTAGAAGTCCATGATGACGTGAAGTTGTCCAGTGGTGAAGTTCGGCCGGCCAATTAAATTTTAATTATAACATATTGGTGGCTGTCTCAACTAACATTGGACTGTGCGATATAAACAACTGTGGAACTGTACAAAGGGGTCAGGCATGACAAAAATTCAACTATAAATTTCAGAAGTACGGTGGCTAAGAATTTTTATGAAAAATTGAAAAAGGTGTGTATGGGGGGGGATATAGGCCCTTAGGGATATCATCGTTAGTGAAGACAGCTCATTAAAGTTATTCCTATATGCTGTCTCCTCTGTTTTTACCTTGTCTTCCTAATGATAAAGTCGTTTTCACTATGATGTCATCGGCTTCTGTTTGCAAAGTAGCCAATTTACATTTTAACGTAATTTTCTTCAGTTCAATTACGACCCTAAACCAACGGTAAATAAATAAAATTTAGTCGAAGCACAACGTCTTAGTGCAAACGATCATCATCATCATAATCGTCGTCGTCATCACCATCATCCTCCTCATCATTATACTCATTGTCTGGTTTGGTCCTACGTGTTTCTTCTTCTCGATTCATCGCCGCAAAGGCAGCTACCTTGCCTACTTAATTAATTAACTGGACTATCTTTCTGTACTTCTGGAGGTTCTTTGTTCTTCTTTCTTCGGCCGGCCTCTTCCCTTGATGTAGCAATGGACCCACAATTCAATCACATACAATAAGATCAAAAGCATTTTATTCAAATTTCCAAAAGCAAATATTTCTTGTTACAAGATTCAAGGAAAAAAAATGTAAATAGACAGCTTGCTTCTTTAGGATTCCCTCCTAGACATGAAGTACTTCAAGAGCTGTCGGGGGTAGAACTCTGCAGGCCACTCTCGGATCAGGACAAAAAAACCAATAGCCACGAACGGTCGACGTGAAGACTACGTACGCCTACCATTTGTAGACGATCTCTGCCTGCGTTGTGCAATGCAGGGCTTCCTAAGAAGAAAACCCTCCAGCAAGGCAAAATAAACAAGAAGACAAATTAAATTGTCTTAATGTCAACGACGCCACGCCAGAGTATCCTCTCCTGCTTCTTACTGAAAGACTATCTATAACCTGCGAGGTTTTCACCTGAATGCCATTCAGGGACACGCATATCAAGGTATGGTGGACCTCCACATGTGTGTCCCCGAAATATTCGGCCAAATAGCATTCTCGTAATTACTTCGCAGGCTACTAACGTTGCCTAAAGGCCGATCGGCTTGTTCGTGCTCCTCCAGCGATGAAACTGCGTCGTAGATTGGTCTCGAAGACTTCCTACGCTTACGATTTGTAAACGATCTAGCCTGTGGTGTGTGGATTGTCCCATGTTACCCTGGCAACCTGCAACAAGGTGTTGGCTCTTCGCGGGAAGAAACGCCCAGTCGCAAATTACCTTCTTTGTAAGACTAAACGTGTCAACTGCTCTACCCTCACAAGTTCGAAGTCTGAAAATCAACGCGCACTTAAAAAGTTTCGCTTCGCATTCGTATCGCTTAACATGAAAAGTCAAATTGGTATACGAAGGATCAGACTCGAATTTGCGAGGCTAACCTGACTATTTACCTGTAACCAGAGAGACCATTGAGCTTGTAAGCGGAGGCCAAATGAGGTCCTCTCACCGGAGCTGGATGGTCTTGCGTCTCTAGTTTACTAAGTTACGTATTAAAATAATCGCTGTCTGGTTGAACCTTGCGAGTGATTGCTTCACTTGCCCAGCGCAATGACTATCAAGTGAAGTGTGATGAATTGAATTTGGCGCAACTAAGCGGGAGACTGCAGTGACGACGACGACGAAAACCGGCGGTGAGTCCATCCAAAGAAGGCGAAGAAAACGCGGCCGAATCTTTTCCTTGAAGCCGAGCCGAAACCTAAAAGCCGAACCTATGTTGATGACCGAACACCTGCAAAGGAACCCAACTTATGAAAAAGGGAAGGGGAGGCCCTTACCAGCCCAGGGCACCCGCTAACTAATCTAATTACAGTTAAGTTAAGCCGAAAAAAGATGTCCGAAAACTTGAGGCCGAACGTGTGTGGAAAGTATGCTTTGCAAGGTTCATCCAGAGCTCTATATACCCCCATGACCCAACCCACAAACAATGCACCTGACCTGTACCATTTCACAAAGTTGGGTGTGCTGTGCTGATTTGAAGTGGAACAGCCAAGAATGGTAGTCTGTTGGGCTGATCTGATCTGGTTGTCTGGTGTGACGGCGGTGGTCTGATCTGATCGGCTGATTTTGGTGGTCTGGTCTGACAATGGTCTGGTGTGGTAGTTGGTGCATGGTCTGATCTGTGGTCGGATCTGGGACTCCTGTAATTGTCTGGTGTTGTGGTCTGCTCTGGGGCGGATCTTATGGGCTGCTGATGTGGACTGGTTCCATGGCCTAATGTGGAGGCCTGACCAAGGAAGATTGTCTGGTCTGACGGCTGAAAATTAGAAAGATGATAAGCTTAGGAAATAGTAGTGATAAGGCTCTAAACGCTTCATAGAGCTAAGTAAAGAGAAACGATGAAAAAAAAAAAAATACGGAAATACTATATTTTTCAAATACAGATGCAATTGAAAACTCTCATGCCCTGAAAAGGTTTGCAAAGACTCAATCAAACTAATACAGCGCTGTGCTGACGATCTTTTCGAATCTTTTTCATTTGTAGCAATGCAAGAATCGTAAATTGCAATGTTCATGACCATGGTAACAACCAGGCTCGGCCGCAAAAAATTCGCGCGAGAGATCGCGCGTGATGCGGTGACATCATATGAGGTGGGAATCAAGGTTTGATTGCAAATTATCAGGGCAATTTAGGCGAAATCTAGCCAAATATATTGAAAACTATCTGACTTATGCGAAAACTGATCACTGTCTTACAACCTTATGGCAGTTTTGAAGTCATTCTTGATTTCAATCTATTTAATCGTCAATTGTCTAATTATTATGCACTTATCAATTGAAACCCCGACCCCCCCCACCCCGGGCCAAGGTGGGGATTTGACTTGACATCATTACAAATCTTAGCAAACTCCCACCCTACTGGGGCATATTGACTGGTAAAACCCCCACCCAGGTGGGGAAACCTTTTTAATTCCCTGACTGACTTTATTAATATTTCGTTCGAATTTTCAACTTCTTAATATTGACAAATTTACTACAGCAAAAAGGCAAATATGATAACAGACCAAGATATAAATACAACAAATATTTGACAATAAGTAAACATAATGACCCCTACCCACTTATAAAAAAGTCAGGGTACAAAATGGATGATGGAGTAGCACATTGCTATAAAGTTATATTAAAAGGAAATCCGTACCATCTCCATTGAAAGTAATATCTGCAATGATAATTTTAATTGAAAATAGCAGCCAACATACCTTAACCTTCACAAGCTGATGTTATAAATAGACTGCATAAAATAGTTCCTAATAGGAGCTATATTTTTTATTTTGGCTTAAAGAATGAGGAAATATAGAACTTCAGAAACCACATGGGTTTAACACTAGACGTTAAACGAGCTGTGTCATGAAATTTACCAAAATGTAGGCTGTGGGAACTGCCACCAAATTGAGTGAAACATAAAAATAACCGCTTAAGACATTAAAAGATGGTATAAATGACTCAGCAAATACAAAAGAAGGTACAGATGGGAAAACATGAAGAAGATTAAAACGGATTGAAATTTTGGTTTTTGAAAACTTGTTAACCTAACAGTTTTTCAAAGTTCATTGTTTTTGTCCGTAACGCTTGATATGCTTGGGAGAAACATCTGTTTAAAACGAAGCTTTGATTTCTTCATTTCTTTGCTAACGTAACGCTCAAAAGCGAATAGGGACCACGTAACTGGCAATATTAACAAAATGAACCAGATAGCCGTGACACAGCACCTTTTATAATAAGTAGAGGAGTTTGTATCTGCATTGTTTGAGAAGTTTTGAATAACAATAACAATTTCCAGTCAACGAACCATGAAAGCTCAAGGCAAAATCGCAAAGGATTAGTCTCAGTGAAG